ATCCGCGAAGGCCGTGTCTTCTTGAAAGGCAATGCTGGTATTGAGAAGTAAGCTACCTTGTCATGGTTGTCATGGTGATGTAATCAGTACTTGAAATACATGTCAGAGGTGTCACAGGGCAGTGAGGAGGAATGGTACAACCGGGGTCAGCGGGGAGAGAAATTCGGGGTTTCGGCCAACAGGGCACGTTTTAGCGCTCTTTTATTGCTCTTTTGGATGGATTGTGCGGACTTTCGACGCATCCTGGACAAAACGTGGTGCGACCATGGTGGTACTGGGCGTACCGTGTGTGACGTCCCTGCATGCAATCACAATACCGAAGACGGCAATTCACAGTATGATACAAGTGCTGCAATTCACAGTACGATACAAGTGCTGTTCACCTGACAGGACGACGCATGCAGCGATACGGCTTCTGTGCTCTCACTATGCCATTCTAGAGTGCTCTGTGATGTATCTTGGATTTGGGTCTGCCAAAATCCAAATTATTTTCCTGAGGCACTGCAGCATCAGTCATCTAGGCTGGAATTCCAGGCTTCCTTGTAACATGACTTAGAGTGTGTAGTATACTGTAGCTCAGCATGGTGTTGCGCGAACACAAGACAAAAAGCTGCAACGACGCCAACATGTACTTCATAATTATCAGGATTTGCCATGTGAGCTATATGATACTCGATGTTTGGGTTGATCTCAGGCTGCCATTCCGCATTCTCCTGTATCACACACTGTATTGTGTCTCTCTGTGTGCGTATAGGTATCTCTTCCTGTTCACTGACTTGCTGCTCATAGCTACGGTAAGCATCTATCCGAAAAGCAATCCGGAATCCAAAGAGTATTCTGCTGGAAGCTGTATGTGATTGACAAACAACTGTTTAGTCACACACTTGTGGGTAAAAGGCATATTATGCGTGATACCCGTGCAATCGCCTCTCTCAGCCTGTTTGCTGCTCAGATACTCTAGTATCCTTACCGGCCTGCTACAGTTTCTCTCACCTTATTCTGGTTGATTGTTACTGCTGTGTTTCAGGTTAGCAGTCGGAAGACGTACAAGTTGAAAGAGAGAGCAGCCCTATCCCAATGCTGGGTGATGAATGGAAAGACATTCGATCGCAGTTTCCTAAGCATCAGTGAGTAGTGACAAGGACTATTTACAAGAACAGTAGATGCTTCGGTGCACGCACACAAATAATGTCTGTGTGTCTGTGTAGCGGGGAGATGCATGGCTTCGCAGGTTTGCCATGATCAGTTGGAAGTTTTTTTTCTGTGTGCGTGTGTATGTGTGTCCACTTTCCTTAGCTGTTATGTTTGGAACGCCATTGCAAATGCACAACTGGGTGTTCCTACGCGAGGAGGAGAAGAATTTGTGGCTAATAGACATGGACCGGTTTGTCAGGGAGCAGAAGAACGCGTTTCTATGCGGAGTAAGCTGATTACACGGCAATCTGCATTGTAGCGACATATTGCTGCTCATCATATGCGCTGGAGTGACATAGTGCTGCTTGCCGCATGCCTTGAAGTGTCTAAATGAAGTAGCTGGTTAAAGTACAAGCATGGCTGCCCTGTGTAGCAACGGTTCTCCTCTGCATGTGTCATCCAGACCTGATGACAGCAACAGTTAATTCTGCTGCAATCATTTCTGGTATGGTGCAGCACATGTATCAGACAAGAGCAGTAATGACTATGATAGCATGTACATGCAGGTACATGATTGTACATTGGGGCTTAGTGAATGCTGGCTGCATGAGTTAATCAACACTACTGAGACAGGCACCGCTCAGTCAGCACAGCCAATGTAAGCACTGGGCTGAACATGGGGGGGGGGGGGGGGGGGTAAGTCACTGGCGCAGTCACGCTGGCCAGATTCCACTGAGAGTGGCGTTGCGCAATGCGTTCCCGTCTGTCCAGGTTGTGGACGAAACAGAGCTACCAGATGAAGTGCTTCGCTACATGACATTCAGACCCAGGTCACTGATGAAGCCAACGCTGCCCCTTGGTAAGCACGTTTTAGTTGTAGTCACTGTCATTGGAACAAATATTGAAACTGACCGGACTGTGCTACATGGCTTGATTATGTCAGTATGTATAGTCAAAGCACACGCGCTTGTGCGTGTACAACCAGTCAGTGGTGTCCGAATAGCGGATCAAAGCAGGAGTCAAGGGCGGCCTGCGTGCGTTTAACAATGCACATGTTTGATTTGGGTACTAGTATTCGTGGGTGCCCATGTGTGTGTGTGTGTCTCTCTCTCTCTCTCTTTTTCTTTAGAACTTGAGCTATCAGATAAAGAGGACGCTATCGTCATAGGATTCGAGGGCACGAATGGCAAATGGCAGCCGGTAAGTCCTACATGTCCATTCTCCGGCCTGGTCTTTAGGTGTATCATTCTTGTTCAATGTGCATGAAGACAAAGCCAGACCAGCCATACCCTGGACGTGTCCCTTCAAGTAGCACACACTTGCGTCATACCAATATACTTGCAGTGGTTTGCAAATTGATCATAGCACCGGATAAACTTCCAACAACGACATAACCTGAGCACATGTACATAGTCCAAGGCTTTTGTCTCTCCTCTCCTGCCCCCCCCCCCCTCTCTCTCTCTCTCTCTCTCCCCCTCTCTCCATTGCAAAAAATCTGCGCATTTATCTCCATCTGCGCATAAAATCTAGACTGACAAACTGCTTGATAAATCATGCACCTGCTTTCAGGCGTAAAATCCCTGTTGTATAGGTCTCAGTCCTCTTTTGTTAGACTCACCTGGTTTTATAAATGTAACTTACTCTGTCTGTCTGTCTGGCTGGCTGTCTGGCTGTTTCTCTTCCATGCAGGCATTGGCAACAACTGACCCAGAAGACACTGGTGTGGAATGGTGAGAAATGCCACTGTGGTATACATGCAGTACATGTACCTATAGCATTGTCAACACAGTGACCGGCGACATGAATACAGGTGCTAGTACATGTAGCTGTACACAGCGACATCGTGAATACAGGTAGCCACATACAGTGACATCATGAATACATGTAGCTGTACACAGTGACATCATGAGTACAGGTAGCCACGTACAGTGACATCATGAGTACAGGTAGCTGTACACAGTGACATCATGAAGCCAGGTATGACTAATATAGGTAGCTATGCATGACACATGCATGATAGTCCATTCACTGTGCCACTGTACGAAAAGAACAGACTGGGTAAACAGCACATTGGCCATTATCGGCATTCACCGTCGCGCAATATACATTGCACTTGTTTCCTACTTCAAACAAAAGCAATAGACCATGTCACATAACTTTGGAGGGTTCAATGCCTCCAGAAGGGAATCCGCAACACAGCAGCTCCAGTTTCCACCTAATCTGTTGTATCAGACTATCAGTAATCTGTGGGCAAGAGGATGTAACTGTGGTTATGGGTCAGCGTGCGCTTTGCTGCCTTCATTCACGGAACTTACTTGCCGGCATCACGCCCTGTACTCGTGCACCAAAGTCCACAATCTTGCGTATCAGCATACCCGGTTTTGCTTGATTCGTCTGAGTTCAGACGTGATCTCTAAATTGTGGGTGCAAGAACTTCAGCTCCGTATGAAAGCTGGTTTCACACCACAGGGAGTGTTGTATTTGATTTTCCGCAGTGTGGAGATGTTCATGTAGCTGCATGATGATCGTAATAAAGGCGACGCGAAGCCCCAAATGACCCATAGAAAGGTGATCAAAGCTGCATACTCTTGTTTATGGATTCTTGGTGGTATTTACTGCGGAAAGATTGCGAGGTATCAGTAGGTAGCCAATAGCCATCACACATATCACTGTCTTCGCACGGTAACTCCTGCTGTCGCTGTGTCTGCTTTTGGCCTTTCCCCTTGATACACAGGTGGTTTGGAGCATTCAATGAGCGCGTTGGATGGTTTCCAGGTAAGAAGTATTACGAGAAAGGCACATCACTACTGGTGTGGACAGTTCTGCAGCATTCCAATCACATTCACATTACCACATACCAAAGTGTAATGGCAGTGCGGTCTCTATACTTCAGCAGTGTCATCCTTACGCAACGATAGTAGCGCATCCTGATGTGCTACAGCAGCTCAGACAACCTGTCAGTACAGCTAGTTCCATGTGCTCCTATAGTGTATACCAGAGCACCGTACTTCCTGGGCGCTGTTGCAACGAATAGAAGTAAAGGAAACTCAGGTGAACGTCTCTTACACAAACAGGTATGCCTCTGAAGAATCACCGTACACATCCATATCCGTTGTCCACACCTTACGAGTCGAGATGGCATTATCACTGTCATGATTGCCCTGTTGTTATGCACAATTCCAGACTGAGATGCGTTCTGGAGTAGACACGCGCTGTGTCCGTGGTTTTAACACGGCTGTGTGTGTGTGTGTGTGTGTGTGTGTGTGTGTGTGTGTGTGTACTTGCTTCTCACACATGCTCTATTCTACAGTGGGTTGCATTCCGGAGAATGACCAGCTGTCGTTTCTGAGTACGCAAGCTTCCCAGGTGAGTGACGGGCAGTGCCCTCCTGATTAGAACAGTCCGGCCTACAATCCATGCACTATCGACTGCTTGCATGGCAACGACACACTCTGTGATCACGCACTGACAGGCCCAGGCAATAGCACAGTGTAGGGTCTTACAGGACTTCCTTACTCTACAAGGAGTAATACAAATTATGGCTTGTTGAAGTGCTGTTACTGAACTCATTCGCAGTAAAGGGAAAGGGCATGCAGTTGATAAGCCAGCGCCATTTCCAGAAGCAGTACATGATGTATGCAGCCTTCTTGCACTCATTTCACTTCCCTCTTGAATCTAGTTTGTCCTTGTTCCTTCAATTTGGTGTGTTGTATGCCAAAGCTGTGATGTTGTCTGATTGGCAATGCTGCTGTATGTACAATGTGTCTTGCTGCAGTGTACACAAGTACCGATCACCATTGCACAGCGCATGAAGCAACTCTGGACATCCGAGGTAACACTACACAAGCGTATGTGTCATACACATACACACATACTATGCTAAATACCTGGCAGCCAAAGGGAGCATTGTGCTATCAAACGAATGGCTTGAACCACTAACAACTAACAGCTATGCTCGCATGTACAATTTTAGTTGCTAATAGACTGCCACTGCTGACACTGTTGTTTTTCATATCATTTGATCTAGAGTTGCCGGAACAGTGTGACCACCCAGCTGGGAATGTGTCTAGATTGCCATATTACTTTGCCATTGCCAGCCACTGGCTATGCTCCTCTGTATTGTCGTGTGTTTGTTGTATGGGTGGAGCACACCGACTCAATGTGTTGTGTGTTTCTGCTTTACGACATTGCAGACGGGAAAGTCCATGCCGAGTCTGGGCAACCAGCGCATTGCACGTTTCTACGATGCAACCGGATCGTTCAAGGTATGGCAGTCATGTCATGTGACGAAAAGAAGCATGTATCGCGCTGTGACACACTCCTCACCTTGTGCAGTTGTTAGCCCACGTGTACATGTACTTGTATAGTTGACTTCACTCACCCTTGGCCATCAACACACACACTCCGACACTTCACTCACCCTTGGCCATCAACCCACACACTCCGACACCATGCAGAACCGAAAAAGCGCAGCAGCTCAAACTGAAGACACCCGGCCATCGATCCACACACTGAAACACCAGAACCAAGAAAGCGCTGCAAAACGAACTGAAGATGCTCACAGTTAACGAAGGCACAACCTCTTACTGTCCACCATGCTGCCATGTTCAGCAGCAGCAGAAGGATTTCTTGTTAGTGGACAAATACTGACATGTCACGTGTGCACATGCCTGGGCTTGTAATGCAGACGATGCGGGTTCAAGAAGACGCCAGCGCGGATGACTTGATCAGTGCCTACTATCACCACGGCTTGCTCTACAGTGGTAGAACGTGGGACCTGATGGAGGTGTCGGTTGACGGTACATGTAAGTGTTGCCAGCGCAGTCTACCATCTGAACAGCATAGATTTCTCACCATCTGAACAGCATAGATTTCTCACCATCTGAATAGCATAGATTTCTCACCATCTGAACAGCATAGATTTCTCACCATCTGAATAGCATAGATTTCTCACCATCTGAATAGCATAGATTTCTCACCATCTGAATAGCATAGATTTCTCACCATCTGAATAGCATAGATTTCTCACCATCTGAATAGCATAGATTTCTCACCATCTGAATAGCATAGATTTCTCATGACAATACCGCACCGGCAAGTAGGGCTAACTCAACAGTCAGCCCTGAATCGGCAAACTGCATTCCAGTGTCCCACGAGTTACAATATAAGTCCACCTTCTGCCCGCAATCACTCTGTCACACCATCCAAGTATCAGGTTTTATATGTCCAAACCTTGTACAGGGCATTCTATACAAGGACTGCAGTAACAACTAAGCTACTTCGAATGATGATGCACGCTTATGTAATACAAGCCCCAGGGCAATAATGACATGCTGACTGTGATTGTTTGCTCTGCCTTCCTCCAAACCAGATGCTAGACTTGTATCACCATCGGATTCACCAGCAAGTATCGTGGATAGATGGGGTACCAAGTACCGGGTAAGCACAGGAAAGATCAGAAAGATCAGCACCAGTTGGCCGTGTTAATTAATAGCTCCTGACATTCCACTCTGAATCCTTGTGACAGCCTCGTTAACTTACCAAACATGTCCAAGTGCTGACGCATCCATCGTGGCACATGTTAAAATCGTTGTACGAGGCTAGGACGTTCTTTGCACGCAGTCTGGATGTTCTTTGCCGGCATGTTGATTGTTCCTGCTCTCCAGGACTTACTCATGAGAGTCGATATAGACGGACTGCATCCAAAAAAAGGCTCTAGCACAGACGTGGCTGTTTGGTTGCAAATTTATTTGCAACCAATTACTGTATTTAGTAGTGTTCCACTCCACACATTCTGCAAAACTTACACTGCACATGCAATGTCTCGAAGCTTTTCCACATGCAATGTTTCGCGGCATTTCTTTATCATTCTCACACCAATGCCGCAGGACCTGATGAAATTCATCATCAAGGAGCGAGATGAGCAGCCCAGAAGCCGTCTCTTCACCAGCTCTATCAGTCCATGATGGCTGCGATAGTCATTGCTCCTTCTGGCATACGGACATTCGGCTGCTGAGCAGAAAAGAGATTGCAAAGATATCGGGAGATGGACATCCGTAGGCTGACCAATCACTGTCACTGCATTCCTGGTGGCCATGGCCACTATCTTCTCATCTAGCACTAGCGTGAAATCATTACGGATGACTGAGCAGAATTTACTTAGAGTTTGACACACATGAGTAGGTTTCAATTCTTGAATAGCATGCTAGTTTTGTTGCCATTGACGACAATAATAGCGCACACAACAGCTGCTTCCAAGCTGTTCCTCATCATTTTTTTCTCAAAAATGTCTTCTGTTCTTATTCATACACATGAAAGAAGTGCTGGTCACTTCTGAGATTGTAAATCGGTGATTGGTGGAGAGTTACTGACGTGAAGATGCTTCAGTGGGTTCACTGACATGTAGCAGCAGCAGCAGCAGCAGCAGCAGCAGCAGCAGCAGCAGCAGCAGCAGCAGCAGCAGCAGCATCGTCTTGGGTGGTGATCCAGAATTGGCATGCTCCTGACACTCCAGTATGGCTACCATGTTTCTCGGTCCACCCACCGCAGGTCGACGACAACCGGTGAGAATACAACTGCCGATACGTGGTACATGTGGATGGCAAGTGGTTGTACGCCAACGGCCATACATGCACAGAGGCGAACAGCCATAACAGCTATAGATCTCAAATAGGTAGAGCAGACAGCGTGTACGAGTAACAGGGAATGTCTGTCAGCTGATAAATGACACACACTCCAGAAAGCAAATTTTAATGATCCCATTGCCTTTTCAGCACCCTCAACTAATGAATATTCATATTTCAATGAGGTGCGATTTTGGTGAAATAACTATAAATTATGATAAGAAACAGCCAAAATCTGCCAAGAATAAATAAACCTACATGCATGACAATGATAAATACATGTAAACCAGATCTGAATGTGATCAAGGAACTAAAGGCAACCTGTGTCCAGTGCTACCACGAAGAAATCAGGTTGTGGTGGCCGGACATTCACTGCAAAAACACTACGACCAGCAAGTCAGTGAGCTAGTGTCCAGCGGTGTGCTGCGCTGTCTAGTGGTGTGCAGAAGCACAAAGCACAGTCAGTCGCAAGCGACCGTTGTCCATACGTGTATGCACGTACACATACCCAAATCTCTATCCATCGTTCTCATTTGCCCAACATACCGCTAGTCTTCTTTGTGAGTGAACACGTGAAAGGAAACGTGCACGGGTAGGGGAAGTTGAGCAAGTGCAATACTGGAGGACTTTGCGACAGCAAGTCCAACCAGCCAAGTGCACACAGCCGTTTACGGCACACCTACCTCTCACTGATCAAGGCATCTTCCGGGTCTGCTGGCAGCACAGGACGGTTGCCATCATACATGCTCGGCGTTGCTTCTTGGAAGTTCAAGGGCAGTCTGATGCAGACTGCAAGGGGACGATCTCCTCGCCACTGCCGCCGCAGACAGTCCAGACTTGCTTCAATTCCATGTCACACATACGTGATGACTGGACAGTTAAGGCCATCATGAACACTCACCAGGAAAGTACATCGACGACAGCACAACACCACCACCATTACCATAAGCATCGGGTCAAGCCGCAAGCCGGCAGGGCAGGGGCAGTGCAGCATCTCAGGCAATTATTTTCAACTATTGCCAGTTGCTGGTGCTCACCGGATCCTTGGCATGGAGTTGTGACGCTTCAAGTAGGACGCCTGCGTTCCAAACCGATCATAGAAATAGTGATCGACTTCACCCCATCTATAAGACAAAACAAGAAACAAATATTGTAGAAGAGCTGCTTCGTGATGTGTTCACTGCCGTTGCGTTAGTCAGCATGATGGCATGTATGGATGCCTGTACTACGGCATGTATGGGCACTGGTATGATAGCATGTATGGGCACCGGTATGATAGCATGTATGGGTACTGGTATGATAGCATGTATGGGCACTGGTATGATAGCATGTATGGGCACTGGTATGATAGCATGTATGGGCACTGGTATGATAGCAAGTATGGGCACTGGTATGATAGCATGTATGGGCACTGGTATGATAACATGTATGGGCACTGGTATGATAGCATGTATGGGCACTGGTATGATAGCATGTATGGGCACTGGTATGATAGCATGTATGGCACTGGTATGATCGCATGTATGGGCACTGGTATGATAGCATGTATGGGCACTGGTATGATAGCATGTATGGGCACTGGTATGATAGCATGTATGGGCACTGGTATGATAGCATGTATGGGCACTGGTATGATAACATGTATGGGCACTGGTATGATAGCATGTATGGGCACTGGTATGATAGCATGTATGGGCACTGGTATGATAGCATGTATGGCACTGGTATGATCGCATGTATGGGCACTGGTATGATAGCATGTATGGGCACTGGTATGATCGCATGTATGGGCACTGGTATGATAGCATGTATGGGCACTGGTATGATAGCATGTATGGGCACTGGTATGATAGCATGTATGGGCACTGGTATGATAGCATGTATGGGCACTGGTATGATCGCATGTATGGGCACTGGTATGATAGCATGTATGGGCACTGGTATGATCGCATGTATGGGCACTGGTATGATAGCATGTATGGGCACTGGTATGATAGCATGTATGGGCACTGGTATGATAGCATATATGGACACTGGTATGATAGCATGTATGGACACTGGTATGATAGCATGTATGGGCACTGGTATGATAGCATGTATGGGCACTGGTATGATAGCATGTATGGGCACTGGTATGATAGCATGTATGGGCACTGGTATGATAGCATGTATGGGCACTGGTATGATAGCATGTATGGGCACTGGTATGATCGCATGTATGGGCACTGGTATGATAGCATGTATGGGCACTGGTATGATAGCATGTATGGGCACTGGTATGATAGCATATATGGGCACTGGTATGATAGCATGTATGGGCACTGGTATGATAGCATGTATGGACACTGGTATGATAGCATGTATGGGCACTGGTATGATAGCATGTATGGGCACTGGTATGATAGCATGTATGGGCACTGGTATGATAGCATGTATGGGCACTGGTATGATAGCATGTATGGTCACTGGTATGATAGCATGTATGGGCACTGGTATGATAGCATGTATGGGCACTGGTATGATAGCAAGTATGGGCACTGGTGTGATAGCATGTATGGGCACTGGTATGATAGCAAGTATGGGCACTGGTGTGATAGCATGTATGGGCACTGGTATGATAGCAAGTATGGGCAATGGTATGACAGCGTGTACTGTATGGATACCTGTATGACAGTGTGTTGGGCATCTGTGTTACAGCATGCATGGGCATCTATACTACAGCATGTATGGATAGTACATGTACATGTATAGCATGGTACACCGAGATCACAGGATGTCAGTATACACAGCAGTGCTACAGCGACGTGAGGCAATACTGTTTGCTGTCCGATGGGCTACTTCATATTTACATGACAACTACCATCAACAATACATGCAAAATACTTATGGTGCATTCCAATATCATAGACGTACTGTTTTGCACAATTTTACAAAGGTCCTCTAGTCTCTGGGAAGAAGCTCATTGCTGCTATTGGGCTTTTTTTCGCTTCACGGCTATGCAGAAATGTGTTTGCTTGCTAGGAATGGGATGTGCACAGAATTCCCCTCCCTCTCCCCCCCCCCCCCTCTCTCTCTCTCTCTCTCTCTCTCTCTCTCTCTCTCTCTCTCTTTCCCACTTGATCTCCCTCCCTCCCTAGCTGCATTCCTAACGATGCCTGGTCGTAGGCTATGATTCCGAGACCTCCGGTCGGATGAGCCTCGCCAACCACATCGGCACATCGCCCCTACTCCCCTTTGTGTTGTTGTCCAGTATCATTTCAGTTGTCCTCTTCCCCTGATTATTAGTAGGGCTGTGTTTTTTAGAAAAAAAAAGAAAGAAAAAAGTACATGTATCCAATACTTCAAGTTGTACCAGTAGGCGTTACAGACAAAGTTAGTGTCCTAGTGTGATACATGCACACAGGGAGACGCCGCTGCCATTGCTAACTTACTTTCCCCCAGTGATGTAAACCAGGAACTTGTAGTAGGACTGGCGCATGTTGTGTGGCTCCATGTTGGCCTGCATGACGCAGGCAAGTTACAAAGAAATTGTCACAACAAAAGGAATGTTTTAAAGACACTGGGGGATGGGGCTTGCCGTGTCGAGACATCCACAATGTCTATGTTCCAACTTTTACTAGATTCTAGACCCTATGCTTCAAAATCTACTAGATTTTAGATTCTACATGCAGTAGAGCGCAAACCAAAATGTCCTACATCGTAAGCACAAACGAACATAGACACAGGTAAGCATGAGGATTCAGATTGAAGAGAAGTGAACAAAAAAAAGAAAAAAGAAAAGAACAAGAGCACTCACGCCATGTGTCAAGATGCCAAAGGTGAACGCGTACATCAGACAGTCAAAGTAGTAGTAGCTTGGTAACTTGCCAGCGTGGTTCAGCTCCAAGTACATCATCTGCAATCAAAACAACAGCAGAAGAACACGAACAACGTACAGGCGAGGTGCCGCTATCACATCCTGGTTACGAGCACGTATGGGCAATGAATTACCATATATATCATGTTATTAATCGCCCACCCGCGTTGGCATCGAGAGAGGAACAGCATCACTACAGGCATTACCAACATAAACAACAGCAACGGCAACAGTGGCGCTCTCTCTCCCTAGCTTTCGCTCAGGCCACTCACGTGAAAGGAAATAGTGAACTGTGCCGCTAAACAGAAAGCAGCTAGTACAAAAAAACATTCGGAGAAAAAGAGAACAACCCCCCGCGATACCTGTACATGAGGAACATCTGTCCTGGAAAGTATCCTGATTACAGAGGGTACTATCACTTGATTGGGAACAACAGGGGCTGAACAAATGTATGTCCTGAATATGGAGGTGTCCACTGAGTGACAGGTGTCCGCTAAGGAAGATTCTGTGTTCATATGTTGGTGGCGATTGTGTGTGATCAGAGCAGGGAGAGACCCTGTGAGACCCGTACACACATTCCGCCAATATCTTCTATAAAAACAATATCATTTTAGTTCAACCCATTTCATTCAACATCTACCTCTCCTCTGATGAGTTCCGAACATCAAAATGGAACGAAACAAGGCTTGTCAGGAGCAACTTCTAGCTGTTGTGGAGTGTGACTGGTGCAGTGTTCGTGCTGGTATCTGCAAGCGTCGTCGAGTCTTGTCTGGTCACAAGAAAAATCTACCACTACTATTTGACGGACCTACTGAAGATGGCATCAACAAATTACCTTCACAATATTGTAGTGCAATGTATTTTAACACCCCAAACAAGGCCGGCTGAGGCAGCTCAATGCACAAATGTGCAGAGCAGTATACACATTTAACAGAGGCGAATGACTGTGCAGCCTTTCGCCTCCGTGGTATGTGTATTTAAAAAACCGGTGATTCCGCTGGAGTCCTATATCACCCCGCTAGACTGCTGACTAATGCACATACCTCCACAACCTTGCTGCCCAGATTCGTAGCAATGGACGGTGAGGGAAAGAAGAACATAGCTAGACCTCCAATAGCACCTTTACATCATATTATACATGGCATCAAAGAAAGAGAGACACAGCGAGTACATACAATAGAGTGTCAGAAATCCACAGACGAGTAAAGTCCGAAGACAAAATCAATTGACCGTCATCACCAGGATTCGAACCATGGACCCTCACGTACGGCCAGCAATGTTCTCCCACTAAGCTATGGTGTAGTCGTACCATGTTGGCGATTTCATTCCAGAAGGGAAGAAGTGAAGAGTATTGACAACTAGTCTTGGCAAACCCAACAAGACAAAGCGTAGAACTAGGTTTACACCCCACAATGGCCAGGAATATAATTATGGTGTGTGCTCCTCACCTGCAATGGCGGTATTGATGGGATCGTCCTTGCCTCGCAGTCCATGGAGAAGAACCAGGAGAGCCTGAAATTTGACAGAGACACAGACAGTTCAACATGAACACCCACACACCCGCGCACAGACACAGACACACACACACATACACACATACACACTGAACTATCTGCATTGGTTAGCAGAACTGTTGAACAGTCCATGATAAACTAGGGAATTCAGCACATGCACTCCTGTGGGTGCATTGTACCCATACAGAAAGCAGCTCCAATGAAGGTTTCTGGTGTGACACACCCACCCACCCACCCACCCAACCACCCACACACGCAAGCACACGCACAGACACAATCACACAGACAGACAGACACGCACACGCACACACACACACACACACACACACACCTCAGACCTCAGACATGCCCATCGCGGAAGCGATGATAGCGAACAGCTATGTCAGACATAGCAACTTGTGCTGGGATTACACCATTCAACAGCTTGCAAGGCTGATGAATTGACCGCCACTATTTTTAGCCTGGTATCCACCACACAGCTGTTTGAAGTGACTTTTTCTGGCCAGTGAATCCCTATTTTGCATTTTTTCCATTTTTTTTCTACACACACACCACACCACATACTCCGGCATACACTGGCTGTTGGTAACCACCCAGGAGAATGAAAGAAAAGTCAGGAAGAGTCCGAGAAAGAGAAGAAAGACGTGTGTGACCATAATCGTCGGGAATTGAACCCGCAACCTCTCGATTGGAAATCGACTGCACATACCACTGCACCATATGGGACACACACACACACACACACACACACACACACACACACACACACACACACACACACACACACACACACACACACACACACACAGACCCCCCCCCCCACACACACACAGAGGACACAAATCACGAATCTCACCTTATAGACTCCAACAAATCCACCAAGGAAGCAACCAAACATGGCTGAGTTCTTATTGGCAAAGACACGTGATAGTGTTGTACCTGGAGCAGAGGAAGAACAGCAGCCAGGACAATGAATATTACAATCTTACTTTCCTTCAACGCGCAAACATTCTGGATGATGGGTGACAATAAACATCGGCACACTGTCTCACAGCACGCACGCACGCAAGCACCACACCTGTATTTACATGTTCAGTCACAGGGCAGGCCGAAATCTGAAGAAAATGTTGAATGGTATCTGCTTGGAAAAACGGCTACACTATACGAGCATCTACCGAACGTTTACTGGACTCATGGGCAGCAGTCACACTGGGTCAGAACAGCAGTGGCTACATCAACGCGGGCGATTCTAACGCTCATGCTGCAGAGCTTGATGCTCAAAAGCCCCTCTGTCTGTCTGTCTGTCTGTCTTAGACTCTTAGCTTAAATCTTGAGCACTGCTGGCCTATAGTGAAAGAAACGGTTCGAGTCCTGGTGGTGAGTCTGGCGACTGTCAATTTTTTGCTTCAGATTTTTCCCTTTTCCATTCCCTCAGCCTGATGAATCATAGGCCACACATGTGGGCAACACCAGATGCAACTGCTAGGAGGTGACATAGAGTAGTTCACTAACCTGGGGTTTTGAGAACAGAGCGGAGGTTTCCAAGCAGTGCCAGAGCTGTCTGCAGGCCATAGCCAAGAAGAAATCCACGCATGCCAACCTGACACAGGAATAGAAATTCACAGCACAGAATTTCACTCATTACTATCTTCTACAGGTATACATCATTGCTTACATGTGCCTGTCCGTCCGTCCGTCCGTCAGTCAGTCAGTCAGTCCGGAGAGAGAGAGAGAGAGAGAGAGAGAGAGAGAGAGAGAGAGAGAGAGAGAGAGAGAGAGAGGAGAGGGAGAGAGGAGAGAGAGAGGAGAGAGAGAGAGAGAGAGAGAGAGAGAGAGAGAGAGGAGAGAGAGAGGAGAGAGAGAGAGAGAGAGAGGGGGGGGGAATACCCATAGCTGGCCATGCTAGTACATGCACATGTGTGCTGGACTTGCACAGGGCCAGTCTTAGGGGTTAGATAAACATATACCTTTACCACACTACTAGCCGGGAACAAGATGACAGAGTGGTAGTATCTACTGGTCTAGGGAGATGGCACAAGACAAAGTGTACCCGAAGTGATGTACACCTCAACCCTGGATCGGGAAGTTCTATGTGGTCCATGTCTAGGGGACACGGGGTCATCCAGACCAGTCGTGCCATAAGCGAGCGTGGATAAATCGACTCTGCCCCGAGAGGCGACCGGAATGAGCAAGACAAGAGCAAAACGCACATCATTTCACACATGCCACTCGCCCATGCCATCTCCCTAACAGTTAGCTACTGCGACTCCCCAATCAAGACTGCACGTCTTGACAACATGTACTGAAGTACCTACCTCCACACTGTTGAACAGCGGCTTAGTCAGAGGGTGACGGGGTAGCCTGGCACACACTACTCTACTCCATCTATACATGAGCCAGCAGACAACAGACAACATCGTACAATCATGTACAAACACAAACACGCGGGGACACATGCACACACATACAGAGTGACACGTAAGCACAGTGATGCATAAAGGCCAACACAGTGACAAACTTATGACTTGGGGCTCCCCGCGTGCTAGTTTGTACGTGAAGTCTGTGGGTTACAGTGAGGGCTGCGTCCCACCCGCCTGTATGGATTCACAGGACGTGCGAGTTACGAAGTCTGAAGAAAATGTCGAACGGTCTCTGCTGGGATGACGGCTACACCTTAGCTCAGTGGTTAGAGCATAGCTGGCCTCAGGCGAAGGTCCCCGGTTTGAATCCTGGTGGTGACAGTCGATTTTTTCTTCAGACTTTTCCCGTTTGAGTCTTTCCCTCAAACCAGTGAACAGTGACAAACATACAGAAAATACAAGTACAAACGGAGAAGCGGGACAGAATGTTGTTGCTAATCGAGTGTGAACGTGAAACTCTACGTATTGTTTCGATTCTTTTAAAGTAAAAACAACAATTATGTCATAATTCTGGTCCACCTCTTGTGTAAGGGCAATGAGGATTATGTACGTCACATGCAGGCACATCCGTCACATGAAGGTCAATACCATACAATGTCATATCCATGTCATGGAACTGCTGTCCAGGCAAGGCAGTACTCCAAACACACACACACACACACACACACAGAGGAAGAACGCTTTTTTCCGTTGGATTTTACGCAACTTACTTTTGGTAGAACTGTCTCAAGGTTTCAACGCTCTGTCGGTACATGCTTTCATTGAGGCTACGACCAGCTGGCGCTTCTGATCGGCTTTCTCCATTTCCTGACTGGTTCTCCCACATTAGGAATCTGTGAAGAAATGCCATGACAATTTACAACTCCATTAACAAAAGGCCAATGGTTCTAGATGAGTAGCAAGTGTCAACTCAAAACACACGTAATTTCGAATATTTTCTCATTGCTGAGAATCAGTCGGCTGGACAAGCTGTCACCCAGGAGTTCTCCAAGGAGTGTTCACCAAAGAGTGTTGTCCAAGGAGTGTTGTCCAAGGAGTGTTGTCCAAGGAGTATTGTCCAAGGACTGTTGTCCAAGGAGTGTTGTCCAAGGAGTGTTGTCCAAGGAGTGTTCTCTAAGGAGTGAGGTTATCAAAACATGCCCAACTGTACGCCTCCCTAACCATGTATAACAGTGAGCTATCGTGCTGTGGTGACGTTCTGCTCAACATGTCTGGAGTGATGCAGCTCAGACTGCAACATTTTCACTGTGATTGCTGATGACATGCTGGATGAAAGCAACCGGGAGCAGATGCCTGTCATCCTGCTGGTACCGTGTGACTGCCGGCATTACCATGATGCCTGGGGGGGGGGGGGTCCAGGACCGTGCAATTAGGATGAGAGAGGTATGTCTAGACAGGGTCTGTGTACAGCATGCATCCCACAGCTCAGGTGTGTGTGTGGCGGTGTGCCTTTGTCAACCAACACGGAACAGAAAGACATGGTAGAGTCGTAGATTTGCAAAGTCAATCAATATGTACAGGTACTCAGTGTGCGGATGGCACCCATTCCACCCATTTCACCCATTTCACCCATTCCACCCATTTCACCCTTTCGGACTCATCAATGCAGCACCATTTTTTTTACTCTTTGGACTCATTGACACAGCACATATCATATCGTTGCACAAGCGTTCCCTCACCGTGTAATAGAGCCCATAAAACCACTACGAGACACTGCACCATGTCTGCAAGTGAACAGGCAACACACGACAGGCATTCATCAACACACAACACAAGTACGCATGCAAGTCATGTTCAGTAAAAACTAAAAAGAACACACACACGCACACACACGCACACACACACACACACACACACACACACACACACACACGGACACACGCACACGCACACGGACACACGCACAGAAGCACATGTGTGCAAGTAGGTGCGTGTGGCTACTTCTTTGAAGTAGGTACCAGGTAACTGGACCGGATGCACACAGCATGCACACAGCATGTACACAGCACAAGAAGAAAACAAGTGACACCCATGTACGAGTCGTAAGTGCATACAAAATTGTGCGTCATGGTAATTATGGCACTTCAGCCTGACATGCGACATGTTACATTCAAGTCCAAACCAGAAGATACTAAGCTGCACTGGGTAACCGGAAAAGACTTACTAAGAACTACAGCTACTATAGCAAGAAGATGATAGTACAGCCGCTCAAGGCCTCAACAATCAACATACCTGTACATACACATCATCAAGGCTGCCATCACACTGAAGAGATACACCTACAGCATGGATCATGCATACATCATACATACACACACACGTACACACACACACGTACACACACACACACCATTGGACCATTGGACGCCCATCGCTGTAGGCGATGATAGCGATGCTACAGCAGAAGCCATAGCAGCTTGTGCTGGGATTGCACCATTCAACAGCTTGCAAGGCACACACACACACACACACACACACACACACCTCAGACCTCAGACCTCAGACATGCCCATCGCGGGAGCGATGATAGCGAACAGCTATGTTTTAGACATAGCAACTTGTGCTGGGATTACACCATTCAACAGCTTGCAAGGCTGATGAATTGACCGCCACTATTTTTAGCCTGGTATCCACCACACAGCTGTTTGAAGTGACTTTTTCTGGCCAGTGAATCCCTATTTTTCCCGACACACACACACACACACACACACACACACACACACACACACACACACACACACACACACACACACACACACACACACACACACACACTACTACTACTACTATGTACAACTGCCACAAAATGGCCACGTCGCTCCCAGAAGCGGGAGACAACAGCGAGAAAGGAAAAAGAAACAAGGAGAATAATTGAGGTGAAAGGGGACCGTTCTACACATAGCTAGTGTTTCTGTCTTCGGTGGCGGGTGAGGTCCTGCGGGCGGGAGAATCGTTCGTTACATAGGCTGCATTGAATGGGCAGATTAGTCCTCTGGTCCTTTCGCAGTCGTTTGCCTCGAGTACAATTATGGCGGTTAAAACCAGCCTGACTCTTCATGCAGCGATCACAGGTCGAGCAATGGTGCTGGCAGCAGTCCAAATTCAGGCTGCATCTCGTTGAAACAGCTGGTATTTCGTCCGATGTCTGACGCTCCACACAACGATGAACTGCAAAACCGCCAGCGCTTTGAAACCAGCGGTCACAAACTCCACAGTGACGGGCCCCAGGCTGCTGGGCAACAGGTAAGGACCGTACAGCTGAGCACTTGTGACGGTGAATCCCACGAGCAGTGAATGATCGGTTGCAAACCTTGCAGGTGACTTTGTTGTTGTTGCACTCCACGAGATCATCCGGAGTCTTTGCAATTGCCTCGCGCCATGCTGGGCGATCCCGAGCCAAAGTGAGCCAATTCACTATGCCACCGAAACGAAGATCACGTGCGACGAGGTCTTTCCATCGCAGTCGTGGCCCACAGGCTGGGCGTGGATCTGAGAAGAAGCTAAACAGTATCAGCTTCGGAAGCCGGTTATCTGGCATTCTGGCGACATGCCCAAGCCACTGCAGACGGCGGTGTCTGACGGTATCAGATGGCAGTGCCATATCACCCCAGCGTCTTCGCAGCTCCTGGTTGTTGACATGCTGCAGCTGTTGATCGAGCCGGGATACACCCAGAATGAACCTGAGGGAGCGGTGGTGGAAGTTGTTGATGGCAACCATGTCTCTCTTCAGCGGAGTCCATCACTCACAGGCATAGAGCAATGTGGACAGAACGCAAACATCGTAAAGATGGCGCTTGGTGGCGATGGAAAGGTTTCGGTCAAGAAAGACACGGCGCATAAGGTCGAAAGCTGCCGCTGCCTTACCGAGTCTTCTGGCCACATCTGCAGATGAGCGGGTGTCAGCAGTTATCACAGAGCCAAGATACACAAAGGATTTGACACTTTCGATCTCCTCCGGACCAACAAAGAGCGGAAGGCGGTCAGCACATGATAAATTTGCACCAACGGCCATGAACTTGGTCTTCGCTGTACTCAGAGTCAAGCCGAAGGAAGAAGCAACGTTGCTGAACAGCTCCAAAGCCAGTTGAGCTGACTCACGGGATGGTGCAAGTAGTGCTGCATCATCTGCAAACTCCAGGTCGTTGACCGATGTCGTGCCAGTTTGACGGGTTCGCTTGGGAAATAGATTGCCACTTCCATGGATTGAAGATATCAGGGACACACCGTTAACACACACACACACACACACACACCTCAGACCTCAGACATGCCCATCGCGGAAGCGATGATAGCGAACAGCTATGTTAGACATAGCAACTTGTCCTGGGATTACACCATTCAACAGCTTGCAAGGCTGATGAATTGACCGCCACTATCTATTTTTAGCCTTGTATCCACCACACAGCTGTTTGAAGTGACTTTTTCTGGCCAGTGAATCCCTCATTCTCACACAGACACACACACACACACACACACACACACACACACACACACACACACACACACACACACACACACACACACACACACACACAGACACACACACGTACACATATAGGTATGATATAAACACTGGTTAAAAACCAGTTTTAGATAAACCTTGTTATAGTTCACGCAATTGTTAGATTGACAGCATGAAACAAGGCGGAGGACACTGTGTTCGAAAACAGTGACCTTACTACAACCTTCCGCGGTTGGCAGAGCCCCGGTCTCTGCGGACCATTTGAACCATATGGGTATCGCACCCGGTTCTGACCCTCATTATGCTAGGGGGTTAGGAGACTACTCCTGATGTCGTCTTGTTTTCTTCGCTCTTTTCTTTAACTTGTATAAAGACTTCTTTTTCTTTTTTCTTCCAACTTCTGCCCATGGCGTCCTTCTCTCAGCTCGTCAACTGTCAACAGTTTTTTTGTCATCACCATGACACTGTCGCGAGAAGGTGCTCTCTGTAGATGGGGTTGGTGATGTCCCGACGTGGCCATGGGTAGGCCTTCACCACGTCGGAACAGCTACACGTTGGTTACCTCCACTCGTTAACCTGCCTGCTGTTGATGCTGCCACGCAAACTAGTACTGGTCAAGAAAACTTGAATTTCATCTACAAACCTGAGGAACTGCTTCAATTTTGCTACACGTTGGTTACCTTCATCAGTACCGCTTGGAAATAACTCGTATGTTGTTGATGTTGTCACGTAAACTTGAACTGTCAAAAAAACTTGAATTTTATCTGCAAACCTAAACAACTACAAGTGCCTCAATTTGATCATGCAGTTTTGTTAGCTACGTGCATACCCTCACAAATTTAAAGTCAGAACCGGGTGCGATACCCATATGGTTCAAATGGTCCGCAGGGACCGGGGCTCACTGTTTCCGAACACAGTGTCCTCCACCTTGTTTCATGCTGTCAATCTAACAATTACGTACACACATGTATACACGCGCGCGCACACATACACATGTACGCACACGTACACACACACACACACACACACACACACACACACACACGCGCGCGTACACACACACGCGTACACACACACACACACACACACACACACTGGCCGGCATGCACACAAGCAGCACCAGCACTGGGACGTCTGTAGTTAGGAGGGAGAATGTGATACTTTATGTGACGATCAGATTTCATCGAGATCAACGTACATGTATGTATACAGACTCACATGTGTGCAAAATGTATGCACACTGGCACTAGCACGTACACATAGACACACAAACATACACACACAAACACACACACACGCACGCAGACTTATGCCCACCAGCATATGCAATATCCAGAAGAAAAGTGCCACTAACACTAACCTCTCCAGACGCAATACCGTTGGTAATTCCTCTGAACTTCAGCTGGTGAAATATAAAGTCAACTGCCTATCAGGGAGCAAAAATTACACGTACACACACAGCAATTATGTACCACCATACTGCACTCTTGATTGGGAGATGCATTGACTGGGGTACCACCATACTGCACTCACCATACTGCACTGTTGATTGGGAGATGCATTGACTGGGGTCAGAATGAGAACAAGCACGAACACCTAGACCTTTTAAAACATACATAGTACGACTGTGCAGAGTCATGTGTGAAATCAACACTGGCAGGGAAAGGAGTGAAAGATATGAGGGTGGGGTGAGGCGCGGGGCAAGGTGTGGCGTACACACAACCACTGAAGCTCACCATCTGTGATGTGTACAAGCCCAGCACACTCCGCCTACAGGAAACAGAGGAGACAAAAAAAGAGGATTCATAAGCAGTGCAATTTCTGAGTCAGCGCCCTCCGGCCACACGCCATGGTCTAGATATCACCATGGAAGATGAGAAATCCTTTAGTCCTACTCGATGATCACACTGCTAGCACTGAGCTAAAGCACTGCACTGTACACACGTCAGCTGTGTGTGCTATTTAGATAGACACCAGCACATCATGGCATTGCGCAATTCACCTGCTACATGACCTACTACAGACGTGGCCAAAGAAATCCGACCCACTTGCCGAAAGCAGCGCCACGGCTCATGCGGCCCCCAGATTGGTTGTTTGGAGTGTACATGATGTAATTGAAATGGAAACACGGTGCTACTTTTTGACTCGTGCGTGAGGTTTCAGTGAGCGCAACTGTACATGAGGTGATCCTGTGAACACAGGTACATGCTCTGTGGGTGACACATGTGTGTGGGTGACACAGGTGGGTGGGTGACACATGTGTGTGGGTGACACATGTGTGTGGGTGACACATGTGTGTGGGTGACACATGTGTGTGGGTGACACATGTGTGTGGGTGACACATGTGTGTGGGTGACACATGCCATGTGGTGCACAAGCCAGTGTGAACACATTGTAATGCAGCTTTCCATGCAATCAGCTACCTGCTCCCCATCATGGATAAGTTACACGTGTGTGTGTGTGTGTGCGCGCGCGCGTGTGCGCGTATGTGTATGAGTGAGTATGAGTGAGTATGTGTGTGTATGTGTGTGTGTGTGTGTGTGTGCGCGTGTGCGTGCGTGTGTGTGTATGAGAGAGAGAGAGAAATAAAGAGAGAGACAGAGAGGGACAGAGAGGGGGAGAGGAGAGAGAGAGAGAGAGAGAGAGAGAGAGAGAGAGAGAGAGAGAGAGAGAGAGAGAGAGAGAGAGAGAGAGAGAGAGAGAGAGAGAGAGAGAGAGAGAGAGAGAGTAGAAAGCATACCTTGATTTGCGCTCTGCCAGAATGGCCATCATGCCCCCACAGAACCCAGGTATAAAGGAGCTAAAGTAGTTTTGACCGCCTTGCAGCTTTCTACATAGAGCAATAGAGGAAAGGTGCACAGAACAAAAACAGGAAATGAGGGAAAGTAGAATAAGCCATGATCTTTCAAGTGTGGATACATGGTGTTTCGCAGCATCAGTGTTGCAGAACAGGATAGGTGGCTCTAGTACACTTCATAATGCGACATTGTCCGGAAAACATCATGCATACTTAGTAATCGTTTTTATTGAGAACGGTCCAAACGTCAGTTGAACATGCACAAAAACTTCAAGAAGTCAAAACTCCATATCGACACTCAACAGTAAATCCTTACGTTAAGGCGCAGTAGGAAGTGACGAATCCAAAGCCATTGAGGGCTAGAAAGATGGACGAGCGGAACGAATCCATCAGCGTGCGCGGCAAGTGCTCAATACCCTTTCCTCGCAAGATCATGGCAATCTAGTGATTCAGATCATTCACAAAAACAGACATCACGTTACACAGCGAGACACCACAAGGTCACAGAAGGAGACAGGAGTGAGTACGGTGCATGTAATTACTAGCTTAGACTAGCTTAGAGGCATTATGAGTGAGCCAAGCCAAAGACAATAGGCCAATACTACTGTCACGTGATGCTGCTACTGCCATTAAACCTCACCAAAGTGCCTCCTCGCCTTTAGTCAGGGTTTTGTTTATTTTAATTTTATATTATTTCACTCAACTCGTGGTCCATGACCAATTGGCACACAAAGTGTGAGAGGGGGGTGATAGCCAACCACGGCAAGAAAAGAAAGTTTGAGGATCAATCTCTGTAGTGTGGACACAGCAGCACCGTGGAGAGATTGGCAGAGCAGCACTTTGGACCCAGCAGCACCATGGAGATCTCCAATCTGCACCACCACACGTTCAAAGCACAGGAGTCTAAGTGAAGGCACATGGCCGTGGCGATAGTTTACGATGATGACTCCACGAGATTATTATACAGTGCAATGTGCTTCGGTGTTGCAAGAGAGATGAAGTGCACAGCCCTGGGAACATTTCGCAATGAAGCACTTCAGTATCTCGGCTGCAATGTAGTGGCGATATAATGCTTGGCTAAAACAGCCTGATATTCACACCGTATAGCCCCCCCCCCCCTCTCTCTCTCTCTCTCTCTCTCTCTCTCTCTCTCTCTCTCTCTCTCTCTCTCTCTCTCTCTCTCTGTATGTCTGTCTCTCTGTCTGTCTGTGTCTCTCTGTCTGTCTGTCTCTGTCTACCCTCTTCCCATTCCAAAATTGGGACCTCTTGCAAGACGCGTTTCCATGTCCACAGTAGCGGTGTGTACAGCAGGGACAGCATAGTAGCATCTAAACTTTCTAAAGCGCAAACTACACTCCAGCAGACACATCACCTTGAGATGCTGATCTCTCTTTAGTGCCCTTTACAATTCCAACATATCAAGTTGATCAACCCATTGTGAGAATCCTAAGGATTTCCGGGCGTTCACGTGACTATTGCAGTGTACATTCACACGGACAAGAACTGCGCGTCTAGTGGGTACACATGTCATTCGAAGTCTGATCCAAACCAGTCCAGGAATGCACAGAACGCTATACATAACGTGGATGCCGTGTGCACGGGAGATTGGCTGTGTGTGCTCGTATACATGTACATGTGTCCGACATGTTTTACGATGTCCATGCGAACGTGCCCTAACACTAGTAACAGCACTGCAAACGGCACAGAAAAATCCACGTACCAGCTCATTTTCCAAAACATGTTAAATCCAACTTCACATTCCTTCCTTTATAAGGTCAACTCATTTTCCAAAGTATTTGACAGATTTTCCACGCTGTTTCATTATTGACACATGTAGTATTTTGTGCAAACAAGTCTCTGCTTCATGTTTTCTTGTTTCCTGCTGTACTCATTTTATGGCAGCATAAAAAAAACTTGAATGGGAGTGATCCAATGGACAATTATTAAAAAAAAGTACATGCATTCGAATTTGAAAGAAAATAATAATAATTGGAATTAGCTCATTCAGCTCCACCCACCAGATACAGCGGCGGATAGATTCCTGGACATACTCTCATCACGTCAAGAAAGATTTCAGCAGATGCCGCAAAGCAAGACGGGTGCCATGTGTGTCCCACATCAGCACACGTACATTCGTGAATACGCAGCAGAGTCGATAAAACCGAAGGCATGATGACCGACCAAGGCAGAAAATACTAGTTGACGGCCGCAGTGAAATAAATAGTTACATGAAATGTAGACCACTCGATATCCTAAAAGGGAAATAATAATTATTAGAATAGTCTCTTGAACATTCTGGTAGCTGGCAATACAACTGATCCAGTCAGTTTTCTTTGTTTTTGAAACTACTGTACTTCTGATAGCAAGATAAGCCGGGAATGCCGGATCGACTGAGGAATCGTAAAACCGGGTTTGTATAACTCCCGGGGATCCCTGGTGCAAACCTCCCGGGGATCCCTGGTGCAAACCCGGGCCAACTATCACACATACAATGACACTATCCATTATAGCAATAAAAACTGCTTTATGGCAGTTTTCTAAAAAAAGTTATTGTGTTCTAGTCCATGGACCCCGTCTAAAAAGTAAGAAATTAACGAAATGTGATAGCTGAAAATTAAAATTTCACACAAAACCTCACAATAATCACAACACTTGAAATGCTGCTTTCAACACTAAACTTGTACTCCACCAACAATTGGCAACATGCATGCATAGGAAAGAGGATCACGAGGAGAAAAGGTCTTCTACATGTAGCTTTTCATTCTGTGTGTGATTATTGTGAGGTTTTGTGTGAAATTTTAATTTTCAGCTATCACATTTCGTTAATTTCTTACTTTTTAGACGGGGTCCATGGACTAGAACACAATAACTTTTTTTAGAAAACTGCCATAAAGCAGTTTTTATTGCTATAATTTCTTCTGTTTTTTTTCTGTCACCAATCAATGAAATGCCCTATCAATATGTAAATGATGGCCTTCACATCATATCAATACGGGATTACCGTATTATACGCATTGATGTGCAAGTCTTTTCTTGCAGAAAATGGGACTAGCATGTTCTTCTGCGGGGATACATGTGAGTAGTGGTGGACCGTGGTGATACCTTTTTTATACGGAGGTCATTCTGTGCATGTTGCTGTAGCAGAATTTCATGACTGTCATAAAATTGTCTTGCCTTTCAGATATTTCAGATTTCCCCACCCTCGATCAGATTTATTTGAGAAATGTAACCAGGTGCGTGTCGCAGATGTTTTTGTTGATTCTGTGTTTATAATGGTTTATAATCATGGGTTATCGTGATAAGGTCATCCTGCACCATATTGCACTGAAATCGTAACCCTGTTGATGTCGATACAACTTTTGGAAGTAGTTCAATGACTTCGAACTGTTAGTCCACGATTTTCTAAAACAACACAGCAAAGGAGGAACAATAAACATGTATTAAAATGTAAACAAATACATTGCTGAGTCCGACACCTCGTTCCAACAACTACACTGATCCTGAGGATAAAAGGGGCAAGGCTATGGTTGGAGGTACTGAGAGATAAACAAGGCACTTCATAATAATAGAATCGTACACATTTTTTGGTGAGTATGAATGATATCCAGTCGAACCTCTTTAGGACGAACACCAAGGGACCGATGGTATTTATTCTGTGAGTTTGTCTTAACCTATTTTATACCCAGTGAATACAATTATTTCTCCAATAGACATACGAATAGATTTCTTCTACAGCGAAAGATTCTAAGCCACACCAACTCATTGACTCGTCTCGTATGAAACAAATGAGTCACTAGAGAGGTTCTGCAAAACGAAAATGCGTACAAACAGTCGTTCCACGTCCTGAAGTGCGAAACTTCGCACGAACTTTCGCAACTTTGGACGCGAAACTTGCAGGGAACGCGAAATGAACAGTCGTACACACTTTCGCGAGATCGGGTCATGGCGTACGTGCACTTGGCCCGGCAAACTACGAAAACGTGCAGAACGCAAAGTTTGTGCAAAAATTCGTACACACTTTCGCAATGACTGTCGCGAAACTTCGTTCGAATTTTCGTTTTGCAGAACCTCTCTACTGAACGTTTCTTTAGCAACATGACGGCAACTGAAACAGCAACAGAGAATGTATGATACATGTACAGCACATTCTTGCAGGTACTACAAACAGATTGCAGATCGTAATTCTTGCCTTGGCGGCACGAAACTTCATTTGGGGCAGTGCAATCTCGGCGGAACTCACAAATAATAAATCAAACAGCCCAGACTCGAGTAAACAAATCTAATCATACAAGTTTACTGAACCTCTCCACAATGGAGATTTTCCCTGATATGCGAATTTATTTTTGCAAACTCGGTCAATGGGTCCTTGAACCTTTCCCTCCAGATTGGGAACTGCCAACGATAGTATGCCACTGACCAGTGCCTTACTTGTAACGTACCAATGTACAATGAACATGAGTATTTCTACAACACATCTAACATAAGCCTTACCGTCAAGAAGGTGAACTCGCGTTCTTCGCACACTGTAGACAAGGGCAAAGAGATAAAAATGGATCTAAATCCGAATAAAATCAGCACACGTTTCCGTAAATGAAAGGGTGAGCATAAGCAAATGAATCGAAGGAAACCGGTCAACTCAGAGATCACCTGTCATCGAGTATTCCGTAAAAGGGGGCCTCGGCAGCGGAAAAGCTAAATTTAGAAAAGAGATCCTGCCAGCTTTTCCATTATTAATTTTATTGCATTCCGCCCAAAATGAGCACACTTTTCGTAAATGAAAGAGTCAACACAAGCAAAAGAATCAAAGGTAACTGGTCAACTCACCTGTCGATATTGAGTAATATTCCGCGAAAGGAGGTCTCAGCAGCGCCGAAACGAAATAAGCCAGGCCAGGATCTAGGAGACGAAATATCCGAAACAGCTCATACAAGAAGCAGTTCCAAAGGAGGAAGTTCCTCGCGCATGCACATCCGAACACGGACTGTGCATGCAACACAATGTCTGCCGTGCACGTGCACAGCACGCGGCTACCAACCGTTGCGCGTTGGTAGATCTATACCGAGCACCTTACGTAGAGACTTACGTAGCCTAAGTGAAATACCGAGCACCTTACGTAGAAACTTACGTAGCATAGCGGTGTCGTTTTTCTTGCCATGTGAACACAATAATAGAAAAGCTGACAGGATCGCTTTTCTAAATATAAAAATCGCTCTGTGAGCGGTTCTGAAAAACCTTTACTGGTACTGCCCCGTCGTAAAAGTAAGAAATTAGAACTGGCCCATTGTCCCCCCAAATGCGAACTGATCCACCTAAATCGCGAATGACGGGACCCGAACGCACCAGTAGCACGAGGTCGGGAGGGCACAGGATCACGGCAATTATCATAGGGTAACACCAATAGTAGCAGTAGAATTTATTATTTTGATAGGGAAGCCTACCACTAGTACAGTACATGGCCTATGGTCCGGACCAACGTCCCCATCTGCATCCACAGGTAGGAACCTCGTGCTACTGGTGCGTTCGGGTCCCGTCATTCGCGATTTAGGTGGATCAGTTCGCATTTGGGGGGACAATGGGCCAGTTCTAATTTCTTACTTTTACGACGGGGCAGTACCAGTAAAGGTTTTTCAGAACCGCTCACAGAGCGATTTTTATATGGATAGTTTCAGCTCTTTTTCCGTTCCCTCCCCACCCCAACCCCGAAGGTAAACATGTTGACCACGCGCGCGATGTACTGTATGTAGCCATGCGACTGCAATAACACACTGATACATACCAGCCCTCCCCGCCTCGCTACCCCGCACACAGATACACAAACATGTGTATGCACACGGCACACACACGTGGCCACGCACACATACGCACATGCACACGACACAAACAGGAAATTCTTCATGTATAATGCCATGCAAAGCAGTGGCCACCGTACTTGAGGAAGTCAGTTGTGAAACAAAAATAATTCAACTACAGCGTGTAGACAAGCTGACGGCCAAAGCACAACATAGCAAACATGACATTTGCCCAAGGATTGCAGTTTGCAGACCATGCCATGGAAGCAGCGAATACAGAATGTAATATCATACAAAGTGACAAGCAAGGACGTGGCCATCATACACCAGAAACTTGCAGAAAGTCACATATCCAACAGATAGAGAAGTGAACAGCAATCTGATACAGCCCACACAGGACAAAGCGGACCTGATACTCGTCCCAGGATCGCAAGTGGCAAACCCTTTTCAATGCATAACATGCAGGTGTACGTTAGACGCATGAACACCTGACCGTGTCGCCAGCATACAATGTCATCACATGTTTACCCCACAAGTTACACACATGCACAGTAGAAGCACAATGAAAGCAATGGAAAAGTACGATGTGGTTGCTGAAGCATCTTCACACTTCAAATTCAGACTTCAATGTGGTCGTCACGGGATGATATACCTGCAAGATACAAGTGATGAAGAAAGGAAGCAGAAGGTCGTGAGGTAGGCTATGAGACACCCATGTCTGTTCAGGGCTAGTGCACTCACACGGAGAATTGTCATAATCGAGCATTTCCCAAACTGAGAAGTGCAATGAAATCCACTTGCATGCACAGGAGCAATTTTGCAATACAGTCGTCCCTCTCTAATCCAGCACTTTGTAAACCAGCACCCTCGATAAACCAGCACAATTTTCAGTAGCCAAAATGTCCTTTTCATGCGCATTGCAGCAGTAAATCCGATTTGTTAATCCAGCACCCTCCTCAATCCAGCAGATTTCCGTGGCACAAACGGTGCCGGATTATAGAGGGACCACTGTATTATGATGCGCAATTCGACACGATCTGCGATGCTGCGTGCGATGTGCCCTGCTGTCATGATAGGGACAGTCACCGCAGTATGTTTTGTCAACGTCGCCCGTGCACTCTTCTGTCAAGTCCAAAGTGCTCACATACTTGGCAATGTTTTTGCAGTGATTCACTTTTATCCTAGTTATGTCACGGGTAACTTTAATGAAGTACCCGCAGGCCGTGTCGATCTGCACATCGTCCACTCTCTCATGTACTTGGCCTGCTTTGTCTGTGTATCCATTTCATGTGCGATCCACAAAATCGACTAGACAGTGGGTGCAATACGCTCTCTACCTGAAGACGTTCTTCTGGCGACATCTCGCCATGTACTTGGCCTGGCTTTGTCTGTGTATCCATTTCATGTTCGATCAACAAAATCTCAATGCACTACAGAGACTAGACAGTGGGTGCAATACGCTCTCTATCTGAAGACGTGAACCATTTAAAAAATTTTTGGAAAAGTTATACGTACACCTGAAACGTAATGAAGTACAGGAATAGAGAGAGTGACTACAATACGCTCTCGACCTGATATAGTGATAACGTGAGTACAAGACACTCTCCACCTGATAACGTGTTAGAAGGTAACATGTCTACAGTCCCACCGTACCCTTCCGACACGACTGTAGACCATTACATTTTTTTGAGAAGTTATACGTACACCTTAAACGTAATGAAGTGCAGGAATAGAGAGAGTGACTACAATACGCTCTCGACCTGATAACGTAAGTACAAGACACTCTCCACCTGATAACGTGTTAGTAGAAGGTAACAGGTCTACAGTCCCACCGTACCCTTCCTCATTCCTCATTCACCATCGCGCGATACCCTGGCACACACTGGCAACATATCAATGGGGTGCCTTACCGTGGTCTAGAGGAGACGTCTTCGCAGCAATATTTTCCCTCCTGCGCATTCAGTCGCCGACGCGACAGCGTTCACGGGGCCGTTCCAGTTGCGGAAGACATTCGATTCATCGGGCCAATTCAGCAACAGGGCCGTGGACACACAGGGGGCAGAGGAGAGACATTGTTAGTGGACAAGAAATATGCAGTGGCAAGTGGCGAGTGCCGCATGGATGTCAAGTTGTCATGCACAATTCAGCTATTACTTACGGTCCAGCTAGTCCTGCCATTGCTCGCTCGTCCTGGTTCCTCCTCGTTCGTCTTCCTGCACGTCTGCACTTCTCCTTCCCCACCGTTGGCTTTGCGGTACGGGGGTGCCGGAAGGAATTCCCACCATGTATCCATGTACATGAAGTCCCACCATGACTCTCCAAGTACATGTCCACGGCCACGTCAGCAGTTTGTATAGTACCGGAAGGAGTTCCCACGATGTCTCCAAAGGCCTAGAGCGGACGTCTTTGCAGCAATTCTTTTCGCCCTGCGCATTCAGTTCGCCGACGATGTCTCCAAAGGCAAAGGCCTAGAGCCTAGTAGAGGGGACGTCTTTGCAGCAATTCTTTTCACCCTGCAAAGTACCCTGCACATTCACTCCGCCGACACGACAGCGTTTACGGGGCCGTTCCAGGTGCAAAAGGTCCACGTCAGCAGTTCTCAACTATTTCGCGTACGGGATAGTCGCCGCGACAGCGTTTAAGGGGTCGTTCCAGGTGCAAAAGGTATCCATCAATGGCACTTTGCAGTATGGGGTACGGAAAAGGGGCCTCCTCGTTCGACTTCGTCGACTTCTGCAGTTCTCCTTCCCGTCAGGGGTACCGAAAGGGGCCTCCTCGCAGTTGTCCTTGCCGTCAGGTCCACGTCATGCAATTCTCAACTATTTCGCGTACGGGATAGTCGTCTTTGTCGTACGCGACATCGACGTTTACCGAGTGGCATTGGCACAAAGCAGACCGTTGACGGGGTCACGTGTCAAAAAAGTATCAACAACGTGTCGACTACGTGTCGACCACGTGTATAGCGGTACACTCAGCGGTACACTAATTCTCGTGCCATTCTCGTGTCACAAAACTGGAACATCGAGTGCCAGTATGGAAAGGCTTCAGACAGGAAGCCTTTCCAATACAGCTGACACAGGTCAATGTGTAAGTGTGCCTGCACTTGCACTTGGTAGTCTACCAAGTGCATGTGCATGCAGGCACTGTCTTTCTGCTTGGAGATGGACAGAAATTTAATAATTATTCACCGACTACGTAAATCGTTTCCGCTCGTACAGTGTACATGTACACAGGGTTCCCTCAGTAACAAGACGGCAACGCCTGTAGCGCCTTCCCTATCAATAATAAATTCTACTACTACTACTAATTCTACTACAGCTACCATCATCATAATACACATCTACCCAGTACTACAACCCGGGGTGGGGGTACTAACGAGGGTAGGCTCCATATACCTAGTATCAAGCAAAGTTTACGTCATTACAAGTAACGTACGTATATGCGCCGGAAGTCATGACTGAGCATGTACTGATAGAATGCTATTCCTACATGGCGGCACCGTGACCGGGTTTCCAACTGACACACACACAGGTTTGCACCGGTTGAGCTTGGTCTATATTTTCATGTGACGCCGGAATAACATTTTGAAGTCTGTGTATGTGATACTTTTTTTAAAATAATAACAGAGGTGTGCTGCTCAAATGTTGCATGATTACAAGAAAAGAGTTCCTTCGGTCCAGGCCAGGAAGCCTGTCTATACGGGCTATTGAATTGCTACAGTGTGTACTCGTCACATACTGGCAAGTCACCAGTGTGCACCATGAAGTCTAACTGAAGTAAGAGTGATTGAGACTGGAAGTAAACGGGCAGAGCAGCAAGGTGGGCAGGCAGGGCTGTCGCACAAACCAGCTGGGCCCGCGCTGGGCCCTGAGTTGCATGTAGGAGAATAAGTTGCTGAGTGGAGTCGGGCATCCCAGTGTAAAGTGCAATATATGCTTCCGCTTAGAATAGATAAATTTATAATTTGAAACAATGGCTCATTTCATGGGTAATGTGCATGTGAATAGCATTATTGTAAATCTCTCATGATATCCAGCAGCAAGTTAACTAATACCCTGTGACCCACGGCCCGGTTGTTGATTCACTTGCTGTGCCAGATTGTCATGTTAATATTGGTCTTCATATCCAGCACCGTCCTCATCATCCACATCCCGGTGGTCGTAGGGGTGGTCATCGCCAGGCGGTGGTGGTGGTAGGTCGCGACCGTACAGCTGCCTGCACTTGGCCTTGATGCACTTCTCGCTCTGGGCCGCGTCCGCGTCGGGACCGCAGTTGTTGGGCGTGACGCTGCAGACGCGCGTACGGCTGCGCACGCCGCTGCATCCCAGGTCTAGCGGCTGCTCCAACTTGCATGTTGTCCATGCTCCCCAGCTCTGCCATTCACCTAATTATAGACCATACACGGCAGAATCGTATACATTGAAGTTAGGAACATGAGATGGCGGCATGTAGTCACATCTTGCACACAGCCATATCAAACACAACCATAGCAATTATGAATACTTCCAGCGTCCTGCTTGCAAGATGCGGCTCAGTGCTTTCCTGCATCTTCCTAATACATGTGTACCGGCAAATTAGCTCAAGTTGTGACATGTTAAAAGCATCCTCGGTTCATTTCAACAAAGTGTTCGCTATCAACTTCTGTCCCAGGAGCACAGTGTCCGGTCTATGGGACCTAAGTTAGCTTCACACTGAGGCGCTGCCCACGTCCTTACTTTGATGGCACATGCACAAACAATCATGTACAATGCACTGCATGTATGTTCAAGACTCTAAATGGTTGCAATGCTTCTTCAGCACAGATAACAGTGTGCTACGAAGGTTCACTTGTTACATGCCGATCGTCTCACCTTTGCACGGCACGTCAGTGTTGCACTCCATCCTCTCCACGGCATCACCAATACACTGACGACCACCATTCATGGGCGCTGGCTCAGTACACGTGCGACTGCGCTTCCTCTCACCTCCATCGCATGACACGCTGCATGTGCTGAACTCAGACCATTGTGACCATTCGCCGTTCACTGTGTGTTCCAAAAATGGAATGTGCACAAAACAGGCAAACGCAATACGGCAATGGAGGGAGGCGGTGGATATAAGGAGTAGACCATGCCAAGGCTAAAGTGGCGGGACAGTTATGATAATGCCTCCGGGAAGTCTCCCCTACACATTTTAAACTGAGAATTGTGAGGACTTATCATCCTAGAGGGAGGCAGGATACTTGTCGTCTCTTCAGGTGGTCCCACTTTTAACCCCTCTGCTGTACTCACTGGTGATTCCAGGAGCAGGAGCTATGACCCAAAGGAGAAGCTTATAATCAAGACATTGCACTACAGCATTGAATACAGGGAACGCCAGGGCAGGATAAAGTTTCCCCAACACGTATAAGTGTCGGTTGCAGGGTTGATCAACACCAAACCCGCAAGCACAAACGTACCTGGACAGCCATTTTCTCCACACGCACGATAATCAACATCATCTCCCCGACAGTCCGCTCCACCATCAGCCGGTGCAGGGTTGCTGCAAGTACGCGACCGCACCTGCGACCCGCCACCGCATGTAGCGCTGCACGCACCGAATGGTGACCATGGCGACCAGTTACCATCCACTGGAGATTCAAACATAAGACACACCAGCGGACAAGCAGTGACCATGACTTTTACCGGCAACATATATTACAGTTTTAATGTCTTTCTTTTTGCATAGCTTCAGGAGTAAAGTAAAGTTGATGTACCAAATCAGGGGCGTAGGAGGGGTTTTGGAAGTGGTACGACCGAAGGTCGGTGTGGCCAAAGGCCGTGTTGGAGGGGGGGGGGGGGGTCCGGGGACCTCCCGCGGAAAAATTTTGTAAAAAAGACACAAAATCCTGCGTTCTGGGACTGTTCCGTGTGCAGTCGAGTCGAGCACAGTATAGTACTGTACTCAGTACAACTACAGATGCATGGCATGATGGCATATCTACGAGTACAACTGCAGATGCATGGCATGATGGCATATCTACGAATACAACTGCAGATGCATGGCATGATGGCATATCTACGAGTACAACTGCAGATGCATGGCATGATGGCATATCTACGAATACAACTGCAGATGCATGGCATGATGGCAGATCTACGAATACAACTGCAGATGCATGGCATGATGGCATATCTACGAATACAACTGCAGATGCATGGCATGATGGCATATCTACGAATACAACTGCAGATGCATGGCATGATGGCATATCTACGAATACAACTGCAGATGCATGGCATGATGGCATATCTACGAATACAACTGCAGATGCATGGCATGATGGCATATCTACGAATACAACTGCAGATGCATGGCATGATGGCATATCTACGAATACAACTGCAGATGCATGGCATGATGGCATATCTACGAATACAACTGCAGATGCATGGCATGATGGCATATCTACGAATACAACTGCAGATGCATGGCATGATGGCATATCTACGAATACAACTGCAGATGCATGGCATGATGGCATATCTACGAATACAACTGCAGATGCATGGCATGATGGCATATCTACGAATACAACTGCAGATGCATGGCATGATGGCATATCTACGAATACAACTGCAGATGCATGGCATGATGGCATATCTACGAATACAACTGCAGATGCATGGCAGATCTACGAATACAACTGCAGATGCATGGCATGATGGCATATCTACGAATACAACTGCAGATGCATGGCATGATGGCAGATCTACGAATACAACTGCAGATGCATGGCATGATGGCATATCTACGAATACAACTGCAGATGCATGGCAGATCTACGAATACAACTGCAGATGCATGGCATGATGGCATATCTACGAATACAACTGCAGATGCATGGCATGATGGCAGATCTACGAATACAACTGCAGATGCATGGCATGATGGCAGATCTACGAATACAACTGCAGATGCATGGCATGATGGCAGATCTACGAGTACAACTGCAGATGCATGGCATGATGGCATATCTACGAATACAACTGCAGATGCATGGCATGATGGCATATCTACGAATACAACTGCAGATGCATGGCATGATGGCATATCTACGAATACAACTGCAGATGCATGGCAGATCTACGAATACAACTGCAGATGCATGGCATGATGGCATATCTACGAATACAACTGCAGATGCATGGCATGATGGCAGATCTACGAATACAACTGCAGATGCATGGCATGATGGCAGATCTACGAATACAACTGCAGATGCATGGCATGATGGCAGATCTACGAGTACAACTGCAGATGCATGGCATGATGGCAGATCTACGAATACAACTGCAGATGCATGGCATGATGGCAGATCTACGAATACAACTGCAGATGCATGGCATGATGGCAGATCTACGAGTACAACTGCAGATGCATGGCAGATCTACGAGTACGACTGCAGATGCATGGCAGATCTACGAGTACAACTGCAGATGCATGGCAGATCTACGAGTACAACTGCAGATGCATGGCAGATCTACGAGTACGACTGCAGATGCATGGCAGATCTACGAGTACGACTGCAGATGCATGGCAGATCTACGAGTACGACTGCAGATGCATGGCAGATCTACGAGTACGACTGCAGATGCATGGCAGATCTACGAGTACAACTGCAGATGCATGGCAGATCTACGAGTACGACTGCAGATGCATGGCAGATCTACGAGTACGACTGCAGATGCATGGCAGATCTACGAGTACGACTGCAGATGCATGGCAGATCTACGAGTACAACTGCAGATGCATGGCAGATCTACAACTACAGATGCATGGCATGATGGCATATCTACGAATACAACTGCAGATGCATGGCAGATCTACGAGTACGACTGCAGATGCATGGCAGATCTACGAGTACGACTGCAGATGCATGGCAGATCTACGAGTACAACTGCAGATGCATGGCAGATCTACAACTACAGATGCATGGCATGATGGCATATCTACGAATACAACTGCAGATGCATGGCAGATCTACGAGTACGACTGCAGATGCATGGCAGATCTACGAGTACGACTGCAGATGCATGGCAGATCTACGAGTACAACTGCAGATGCATGGCAGATCTACAACTACAGATGCATGGCATGATGGCATATCTACGAATACAACTGCAGATGCATGGCAGATCTACGAGTACGACTGCAGATGCATGGCAGATCTACGAGTACGACTGCAGATGCATGGCAGATCTACGAGTACAACTGCAGATGCATGGCAGATCTACGAGTACAACTGCAGATGCATGGCAGATCTACGAGTACGACTGCAGATGCATGGCAGATCTACGAGTACAACTGCAGATGCATGGCAGATCTACAACTACAGATGCATGGCATGATGGCAGATCTACGAGTACAACTGCAGATGCATGGCAGATCTACGAGTACGACTGCAGATGCATGGCAGATCTACGAGTACAACTGCAGATGCATGGCAGATCTACGAGTACGACTGCAGATGCATGGCAGATCTACGAGTACGACTGCAGATGCATGGCAGATCTACGAGTACGACTGCAGATGCATGGCAGATCTACGAGTACAACTGCAGATGCATGGCAGATCTACAACTACAGATGCATGGCATGATGGCATATCTACGAATACAACTGCAGATGCATGGCAGATCTACGAGTACGACTGCAGATGCATGGCAGATCTACGAGTACGACTGCAGATGCATGGCAGATCTACGAGTACAACTGCAGATGCATGGCAGATCTACAACTACAGATGCATGGCATGATGGCATATCTACGAATACAACTGCAGATGCATGGCAGATCTACGAGTACGACTGCAGATGCATGGCAGATCTACGAGTACGACTGCAGATGCATGGCAGATCTACGAGTACAACTGCAGATGCATGGCAGATCTACAACTACAGATGCATGGCATGATGGCATATCTACGAATACAACTGCAGATGCATGGCAGATCTACGAGTACGACTGCAGATGCATGGCAGATCTACGAGTACGACTGCAGATGCATGGCAGATCTACGAGTACAACTGCAGATGCATGGCAGATCTACGAGTACAACTGCAGATGCATGGCAGATCTACAACTACAGATGCATGGCATGATGGCATATCTACGAATACAACTGCAGATGCATGGCAGATCTACGAGTACGACTGCAGATGCATGGCAGATCTACGAGTACGACTGCAGATGCATGGCAGATCTACGAGTACAACTGCAGATGCATGGCAGATCTACAACTACAGATGCATGGCATGATGGCATATCTACGAATACAACTGCAGATGCATGGCAGATCTACGAGTACGACTGCAGATGCATGGCAGATCTACGAGTACGACTGCAGATGCATGGCAGATCTACGAGTACAACTGCAGATGCATGGCAGATCTACAACTACAGATGCATGGCATGATGGCATATCTACGAATACAACTGCAGATGCATGGCAGATCTACGAGTACGACTGCAGATGCATGGCAGATCTACGAGTACGACTGCAGATGCATGGCAGATCTACGAGTACGACTGCAGATGCATGGCAGATCTACGAGTACAACTGCAGATGCATGGCAGATCTACGAGTACAACTGCAGATGCATGGCAGATCTACAACTACAGATGCATGGCATGATGGCATATCTACGAATACAACTGCAGATGCATGGCAGATCTACGAGTACGACTGCAGATGCATGGCAGATCTACGAGTACGACTGCAGATGCATGGCAGATCTACGAGTACAACTGCAGATGCATGGCAGATCTACAACTACAGATGCATGGCATGATGGCATATCTACGAATACAACTGCAGATGCATGGCAGATCTACGAGTACGACTGCAGATGCATGGCAGATCTACGAGTACGACTGCAGATGCATGGCAGATCTACGAGTACAACTGCAGATGCATGGCAGATCTACAACTACAGATGCATGGCATGATGGCATATCTACGAATACAACTGCAGATGCATGGCAGATCTACGAGTACGACTGCAGATGCATGGCAGATCTACGAGTACGACTGCAGATGCATGGCAGATCTACGAGTACAACTGCAGATGCATGGCAGATCTACGAGTACAACTGCAGATGCATGGCAGATCTACAACTACAGATGCATGGCATGATGGCATATCTACGAATACAACTGCAGATGCATGGCAGATCTACGAGTACGACTGCAGATGCATGGCAGATCTACGAGTACGACTGCAGATGCATGGCAGATCTACGAGTACAACTGCAGATGCATGGCAGATCTACAACTACAGATGCATGGCATGATGGCATATCTACGAATACAACTGCAGATGCATGGCAGATCTACGAGTACGACTGCAGATGCATGGCAGATCTACGAGTACGACTGCAGATGCATGGCAGATCTACGAGTACAACTGCAGATGCATGGCAGATCTACAACTACAGATGCATGGCATGATGGCATATCTACGAATACAACTGCAGATGCATGGCAGATCTACGAGTACGACTGCAGATGCATGGCAGATCTACGAGTACGACTGCAGATGCATGGCAGATCTACGAGTACGACTGCAGATGCATGGCAGATCTACGAGTACAACTGCAGATGCATGGCAGATCTACGAGTACAACTGCAGATGCATGGCAGATCTACGAGTACGACTGCAGATGCATGGCAGATCTACGAGTACGACTGCAGATGCATGGCAGATCTACGAGTACGACTGCAGATGCATGGCAGATCTACGAGTACGACTGCAGATGCATGGCAGATCTACGAGTACAACTGCAGATGCATGGCAGATCTACGAGTACGACTGCAGATGCATGGCAGATCTACGAGTACGACTGCAGATGCATGGCAGATCTACGAGTACGACTGCAGATGCATGGCAGATCTACGAGTACGACTGCAGATGCATGGCAGATCTACGAGTACAACTGCAGATGCATGGCATATCTACGAATACAACTGCAGATGCATGGCATGATGGCATATCTACGAATACAACTGCAGATGCATGGCATATCTACGAATACAACTGCAGATGCATGGCATGATGGCATATCTACGAATACAACTGCAGATGCATGGCATATCTACGAATACAACTGCAGATGCATGGCATGATGGCAGATCTACGAATACAACTGCAGATGCATGGCATATCTACGAATACAACTGCAGATGCATGGCATATCTACGAATACAACTGCAGATGCATGGCATATCTACGAATACAACTGCAGATGCATGGCATATCTACGAATACAACTGCAGATGCATGGCATGATGGCATATCTACGAATACAACTGCAGATGCATGGCATATCTACGAATACAACTGCAGATGCATGGCATATCTACGAATACAACTGCAGATGCATGGCATGATGGCATATCTACGAATACAACTGCAGATGCATGGCATATCTACGAATACAACTGCAGATGCATGGCATGATGGCATATCTACGAATACAACTGCAGATGCATGGCATATCTACGAATACAACTGCAGATGCATGGCATGATGGCATATCTACGAATACAACTGCAGATGCATGGCAGATCTACGAGTACAACTGCAGATGCATGGCAGATCTACGAGTACGACTGCAGATGCATGGCAGATCTACGAGTACAACTGCAGATGCATGGCAGATCTACGAGTACGACTGCAGATGCATGGCAGATCTACGAGTACAACTGCAGATGCATGGCAGATCTACGAGTACGACTGCAGATGCATGGCAGATCTACGAGTACAACTGCAGATGCATGGCAGATCTACGAGTACGACTGCAGATGCATGGCAGATCTACGAGTACAACTGCAGATGCATGGCAGATCTACGAGTACGACTGCAGATGCATGGCAGATCTACGAGTACAACTGCAGATGCATGGCAGATCTACGAGTACGACTGCAGATGCATGGCAGATCTACGAGTACAACTGCAGATGCATGGCAGATCTACGAGTACGACTGCAGATGCATGGCAGATCTACGAGTACAACTGCAGATGCATGGCAGATCTACGAGTACGACTGCAGATGCATGGCAGATCTACGAGTACAACTGCAGATGCATGGCAGATCTACAACTACAGATGCATGGCATGATGGCATATCTACGAATACAACTGCAGATGCATGGCAGATCTACGAGTACGACTGCAGATGCATGGCAGATCTACGAGTACGACTGCAGATGCATGGCAGATCTACGAGTACAACTGCAGATGCATGGCAGATCTACAACTACAGATGCATGGCATGATGGCATATCTACGAATACAACTGCAGATGCATGGCAGATCTACGAGTACGACTGCAGATGCATGGCAGATCTACGAGTACGACTGCAGATGCATGGCAGATCTACGAGTACAACTGCAGATGCATGGCAGATCTACAACTACAGATGCATGGCATGATGGCATATCTACGAATACAACTGCAGATGCATGGCAGATCTACGAGTACGACTGCAGATGCATGGCAGATCTACGAGTACGACTGCAGATGCATGGCAGATCTACGAGTACGACTGCAGATGCATGGCAGATCTACGAGTACAACTGCAGATGCATGGCAGATCTACGAGTACAACTGCAGATGCATGGCAGATCTACGAGTACGACTGCAGATGCATGGCAGATCTACGAGTACGACTGCAGATGCATGGCAGATCTACGAGTACGACTGCAGATGCATGGCAGATCTACGAGTACGACTGCAGATGCATGGCAGATCTACGAGTACAACTGCAGATGCATGGCAGATCTACGAGTACGACTGCAGATGCATGGCAGATCTACGAGTACGACTGCAGATGCATGGCAGATCTACGAGTACGACTGCAGATGCATGGCAGATCTACGAGTACGACTGCAGATGCATGGCAGATCTACGAGTACAACTGCAGATGCATGGCATATCTACGAATACAACTGCAGATGCATGGCATGATGGCATATCTACGAATACAACTGCAGATGCATGGCATATCTACGAATACAACTGCAGATGCATGGCATGATGGCATATCTACGAATACAACTGCAGATGCATGGCATATCTACGAATACAACTGCAGATGCATGGCATGATGGCAGATCTACGAATACAACTGCAGATGCATGGCATATCTACGAATACAACTGCAGATGCATGGCATATCTACGAATACAACTGCAGATGCATGGCATATCTACGAATACAACTGCAGATGCATGGCATATCTACGAATACAACTGCAGATGCATGGCATGATGGCATATCTACGAATACAACTGCAGATGCATGGCATATCTACGAATACAACTGCAGATGCATGGCATATCTACGAATACAACTGCAGATGCATGGCATGATGGCATATCTACGAATACAACTGCAGATGCATGGCATATCTACGAATACAACTGCAGATGCATGGCATGATGGCATATCTACGAATACAACTGCAGATGCATGGCATATCTACGAATACAACTGCAGATGCATGGCATGATGGCATATCTACGAATACAACTGCAGATGCATGGCAGATCTACGAGTACAACTGCAGATGCATGGCAGATCTACGAGTACGACTGCAGATGCATGGCAGATCTACGAGTACAACTGCAGATGCATGGCAGATCTACGAGTACGACTGCAGATGCATGGCAGATCTACGAGTACAACTGCAGATGCATGGCAGATCTACGAGTACGACTGCAGATGCATGGCAGATCTACGAGTACAACTGCAGATGCATGGCAGATCTACGAGTACGACTGCAGATGCATGGCAGATCTACGAGTACAACTGCAGATGCATGGCAGATCTACGAGTACGACTGCAGATGCATGGCAGATCTACGAGTACAACTGCAGATGCATGGCAGATCTACGAGTACGACTGCAGATGCATGGCAGATCTACGAGTACAACTGCAGATGCATGGCAGATCTACGAGTACGACTGCAGATGCATGGCAGATCTACGAGTACAACTGCAGATGCATGGCAGATCTACGAGTACGACTGCAGATGCATGGCAGATCTACGAGTACGACTGCAGATGCATGGCAGATCTACGAGTACGACTGCAGATGCATGGCAGATCTACGAGTACGAGTCTAGAAAAAGGTCAAAGTCTGATGCATATGCATCGATGGATCCTGATTTTTTTATTACTGTTTTGCACGTTCCGGACGGACCACGCTTTTCGAAAAGTGGTACGGCCATAGTCGTACCAGTCGTAGCGGGTGCTACGCCCCTGCAAATAATCACAGAAGAAGTGTAACTCTCTTGAAGAGTCTCTTCCCACCAGACTTAGCTCTGGCGTTCCATAATGCCATTTTGTTCTTATCTCACCGCTAGTACACTTGAAGTACTAACATTTGGCTTGAGTCAGGATACATGTACGCAAATGCTTCTGTGATGGACCATACTATTTTTAAGTCTATTCTATATTTCCACAACAGAACTGGTCAGTGTGGTGTAATAAGTAACATCATGACAGAACTCTATCCCTGGGCATAGCATTGTCTGGGCCTGCAACTCTTTCCGTTAGGGGAGATGTAGTGTAATGAGTAGCATCATGACAGAACTCTATCCCTAGGCATATCATTGTCTGTCTCCAGGTTTCTCCTTCCTACTCCCTACACTCACTCGCATTGATCTAACGTGTGTACTTGTATAAGAACCGCAGCCTGCCTGCTGTACCATTGACTCATGCATTCATGTACCGCTGCACTTGCTGGCTGCGCATCACTAACCCTTCCCCTTCTATGGCACAGTCTCCGCATGCACTGAATGCAGTACTCGGGTGCGCGTGCGTATTCATGTCTGAGTGCACTGCCCTCGGGCTCCATCTATTATGGCATCCCGTACTGGGCACGCTGCTTCCGGTCGCTGCTGTGTGCACGCAGCACCGCCGTCCATTCCGCTCTCTGTCTTCTTTACACAGTGATTCCCGATTGGAATCACCTCTTCGTTTCTGCTCTCCTTACAGCAGTTGTGCTTTTCCGTGTCCGATAATGTCCCCCCTTTTGCAATAAACAGTCAGGCGAAACTACTCTAAGTAGCTACCGCTACAGTCAGTAGAGGTGACAATTTTTTTTAACAAACCTGGATTTAGGCATCTTTGAGTAGCACAGTCTCTGACATCTTCGGCTTGGCCTACGCAAACAGCTCCACCGTCGAACGGTGCAGGGTCAGTGCAGGTACGGGTGCGGACTTGTTGACCCCCACCGCAAGTAGCGCTGCATCCTCCAAACGATGACCATGGTGACCAGTTACCATCCACTGAAGATTAAAAACAGTCAGAGGCAGCCCACCAAATGCAGTGTTTGCCTTTGCAAAAGTGTTCCCACTTGAGCTGTGCTATCTCACATTGGGCAATACATGAAGACGTTTTGTTGTTTTCTGTGCAACCTGAAAGCTTGAGTCACAGAGAATCCGACTGTGCTATCTTAATACTAAATGTTCACAACAGAAAATTGGTTAGAGGAGTGTACACACATATTTCCAACAAACCTGGGTTTAGGCATCTTTGAGTAGCACAGTCCCTGACATCCTCGGCTTGGCCTACGCAAACAGCTCCACCGTCGAACGGTGCAGGGTCCGTGCAGGTACGGCCGCGCACTTGCTGACCTCCACCGCATGTAGCGCTGCATCCTCCAAACGATGACCACGGTGACCAGTTGCCATCCACTGAAGATTTAAAACAATCATGAAACCAACCAAGTATAGTGGTAACGTATCAATGGTGGATATGGGACTATCACAGCTATGTACATGTGCTTATGGTGTGCAGTGCCAGAGCTAGTGCAGTTACGCCACGTGAAATCTGACCCAAATTGCCCTGTTCTTGTACGGTCTTTTGACACCTAGGAACTGGTATGAATGCTGCTGGACCTAGACATGTAAAACTACAGTGATGTACCGTAGTTTTCCTGTCACGTCTAAGTCGACCTTTTGAGACTAAAAAATTGAAGGAAAAAGGGTGGGGGTCGACTTACAACCGGGATTCGTCTTATAACCGGGAATTATCAGTATCTTACAAAAAATGACCTGCACTGCATGCACGAGTGCACCATGTGTACACATTTTTGCCAGTTTATTGGCCTTTTTCAAGGATTGGGACTTTATACCCTCCAATAAGGAATGTTTACGCGATTCGTTGATGTGTTAGTAGCAGGGAGTGGTTAGTAGTGCTTCTTTGGGTGAACACTTTAAAACGCAGAATTGAGACCTCAGGATACGGGGGTCGACCTATCACGGGGTCGACTTAAAACCGGTAAAATACGGTAGTGGAGGGGGGGGGGGGGGACTGGTGCAATGTCTGAAAATGTTGGTCCAATCAGTGCCATCTTCCACAATAAAAGTGATACAGCGAGTGCACAATCATGTGCATGATTGCAACTAACCTGGGTTAAGGCATCGTTGGGTTGCACAGCTTCTCGTGTCTTCAGCAAAACCCTGGCAGTCCGCTCCACCATCGACAGGTGCTGGGTTGGTGCAGGTACGAGTGCGCACTTGATCACCTCCATCACAAGTGGCACTGCATGCACCGAATGGTGACCACTCCGACCATTGACCGTCGACTGTGAAATAAATCAGATCAGCGCCATTTTAGTTTCAGCGGTCAGCAATGCTTCTGTAAATCCAAACCCACTCACGTATGAGTAATGATCAATCTCTCTAAAAATTGGCGTGCCTGTGTTCGTGCTTCACAAAAGTTGACCCAAATGCCTCCTCACCTGGGTTCAAGCATCCCTGAGTTCCACACTCCCGGAAATCTTCAGCGAAGCCCTGGCAGTCCTCTCCTCCGTCGACAGGTGCTGGGTTTGTGCAGGTACGGGTACGTACTTGCTCACCTCCATCACAAGTGGCACTGCATGCACCGAATGGTGACCAAGCCGACCACTGACCGTTAACTGTATGGGCCGCGAATGCACACATAAAAACTTACTTATAAAATCACACTTCGTGACTACTGCTCAGAATCAACCAAGCTACATCACTGAACGGTGCCTTTATGGTACCTATGCCCCCCCCCCCCCCCACCACCACCACCACCACACTAGAATCTTACGCATCAAGTATAACCAGAGCCTGCAATAAGACAATGATCCTTCACTTCAACCCTATGCCTGCTTTTTAAAATGTTACTCGTATAAGTCATAGCCTGTGCATGGCATGCATGCAGTGCAGTTTGAATACTGTTGACAAGGAAGCTATGTCATGGAACTTATTCCCATCAGTTAATTCACCAGATTCAGATTGCACGGGTAAATTATTCAGAAGGGCTCAATAACCGTGGCACGCTTTACAACATTTCAAAATCGGATGTGACAGAACGGAGATGCAATGAGTGTATCAGGCGCGTGCGCCGGTGCCCTTGAAGGGGGGTTCTGGGGGCCTCCCCCGTGAAAATTTTCAAAATTTGAAGCAAAATCCTGCATTTTGAGCGGAAAAAAGGGGGTTCCGGGCACCCAGGAACCCATACGGGGCACGCGCCTGTGTATTCAAGAACACACACTGCTGCCGCACCAATTCCACGCACAATCCAGCGGCCACAATGAAAGTGTAGAAAGAAACCGACCTGGATTTAAGCAGGACTGCAGATTGCATTCCTGGAAGTCCTCAGCGAAGCCCTGGCAGTCCTCTCCTCCATCAACTGGTGGTGGGTTGGTGCAGGTACGAGTACGTGTTTGCTCACCTCCATCACAAGTGGCACTGCATGCACCGAATGGTGACCAAGCTGACCATTGGCCATTAACTGGACAGAATGAATCCACAATCAAACATCACCAGGAACTGTGTAACTAAGAGCAAACTTTGGTGCAGCAGTACTGGCAATATACATGTATCTGCAAATGCTTACACAACGAATATGACGATATCGCGAGGTTTTTAATAGGATAACCAGAGTATAAGCACGAGCTGTGTGAATATACAAGCCTACCTGGGTTCAAACAGGATTGGAAGTTGCACTCTCGAACGTCTTCAGCAAAGCCTTGGCAGTCCGCTCCTCCATCGACAGGTGCTGGGTTAGTGCAGGTACGAGTACGTACTTGTTCACCTCCATCACAAGTGGCACTGCATGCACCGAATGGTGACCAAGCCGACCACTGGCCGTTCACTAGTTAAGTGGGATAGACAAATAGAAAAGCCCAGCAAGACAGAACATGTTGCATTAGAATGCTTGTCAAGGTGCACATGGCGGTTGTATCACGGGTCCAATACAAAGCAAGTAATGTAGTTCTCGAATCAAAACAGAAACGGAAAAATACACGACAGACTCGGTTACTGTATTACCTCGGCTCAGATCCAATTCTGATATGGATAATGCAAGGGGTTCAGTGCAACATTCCAAATTGCACAGTAGAAACAAAGGAACCGTGGGTAGTCAAGTACCATGCTGATTTGAGAAGTGAATGGTACGAAAGGCGTCACAACAGGCTTCATCACTTCATGTGCCAATATGGTAGTCAAGTTGTCATTATAAGCTATGCAGCCAGGCTAGTTTTTACAGCTACAGTCACAGAGGTGATTATACTATGCTAATAATATGTAGTCAAGTTGCTATTATAAGATATTCAGGCTAGATGTGTTACAGATACTAGTACAGTGGTGACCATAGGATTACAGCTCACCAGGGAATAGGCAGGGCTGGACATTGCACTCCCGGACATCTTCATTGACTCCCACACAATTGGCTCCTCCGTTGGCCGGTGCTGGGTTAGTACAGGTACGAGTACGTACTTGTTCACCTCCATCACAAGTGGCACTGCATGCACCGAATGGTGACCAAGCTGACCACTGACCGTTCACTAGTTATAAGAAAAGGATGCAGCAAAAGTAGTGCTGATCTGTAAGAGTTAACCGACTGTACTGACGTGTTACAACCCAGCTTTGCATGAAGCAAATTCAAAAGCCGCTTGCTATGTGCATCATCATTTTATTGATAAACAGTCGAAAGATTTATCATAGTGGAATCCCCTATAAAATGCTGGATTAACAATATAAAAGATAATCAGTCTAGGTTCAGTCACCGCATCTGCAAGGGGATGCTTTGGCCATGCCCATGGATAGACACGGTGACAATAATTCATTAGTTGACATGTGGATGTCATATAGAAAAAATACAATTGCGTCGCCATGTGTATTGAGTTTCACACAGAAGCGATCCGGCATCAGCCAGCGACTGATGATGTCATCAGCTATCTGATGATCGCTCCTGCATGAAAGTCAGACTAAGGGCCGTGCAGCATTACACCTAAGTGTATCGAGCACTCTCTCCATCTACTACAGCTCAACCCAAGGATGCATCCCATACATATACATGCATGCATGTTTTCATGTAAAAAGCTTTGCTGATGAGACCTACGGTTGAAACAGCTAGCTGTCCAGAGATGGTGTATGCGATAGTCATACATGTATTATCTGGGTGGTGGTTGGAAAGTGAAACTTCACTACTATTCTCACACGTCAAAGACTACAAACAGGATAATTATCTTTAAAAAGTTTCTAAATAACTTCAATTACCACATACTAGTACCTGGTCGAGGTTGCGGCCTTGGACGCGGTACCGGGCGTGGCCTTGGGCGAGGTCTTGGGCGGGGTCTTGGACGAGGTATCGGGCGGGGTCTTGGGCGGGGAACCCTCGGTCGGGGTCTTGGGCGGGGTCTCAGCCGGGGAACCCTCGGGCGGGGTCTTGGGCGGGGTCTCGGACGGGGAACCCTCGGTCGGGGTGTTGGGCGAGGTCTCCGTCGGGGTGTTGGGCGAGGTCTCCGTCGGGGTGTTGGGCGAGGTCTCCGTCGGGGTGTTGGGCGAGGTCTCCGTCGGGGTGTTGGGCGGGGTCTCCGTCGGGGTGTTGGGCGGGGTCTCCGTCGGGGTGTTGGGCGGGGTCTCCGTCGGGGTGTTGGGCGGGGTCTCCGTCGGGGTGTTGGGCGAGGTCTCGGCCGGGGAACCCTTGGTTTTGGTCTGGCCCTTATGCGAGGTCTCGGTCTGGCTCTTGGGCGTGGTTTCGGTCTGGCTCTTGGGCGAGCACGACCACCACGGGATGTGTGCCCTCGAGACGGTCGGCCACGGGATGTATGTCCTCGAGACGATCGGCCACGGGATGTATGTCCTCGAGATGATCGGCCGCGGGATGTATGTCCTCGAGACGATCGGCTCAAGACACCGCGGGATGGACGTCCTCCACCTCGTTTGGCAGACCTCTCTGCAACAGACAAAAAGGCATTTGTACACAATCACTAACACAATGGTGAAGATGTTTGTGACAAATACATGTATGTTCAGTGGCGTTGCTTTGACCCGGCAATATCGTACACCCTGGACCATCAGCCGAAAGCAAAGCAAATCCAACTTGAAAGATTTCCATCCTGAAATCAGGAATCAACAATGATCCAATTCTTAATCCCCCGACTAGTGAATATTCTTGATTACCCTCGTACTATTCTTGATTGTGAAATATAAACAACTTACTGCCTTCGGAGACAGAAACTTTGTTACGTATTTTATTTAAAATTTTAAGAAGTTACTGTGCTCAAGAAATTTGGTTCCCCGGAACCAAACAGTGCAAGACAATGAGAGGACACACTAGAAGTTTGCACATTTTTAGCCTGAAGAAAATAACACCACAGTTTGAGTCTCACTCGGAGTCATTATTGCTCGATTGCTCAAAGCTCAATTCACCATATATAACTGACAGGTCAATCAATATCACGCAGTTGTTTTGTCTCTGAAGGAAGTCTTCTCTTGCTGTTGACTTACTCTCACGGCTGACTTCTTCAGAGGAGTCATCATAGTCAATTTGCAGAGCACCGTCTTCACTATCTTCTTCATCATCCTCATCCTCATCAACACTGTCATAATCTTCATCATCTTCAACCTCCAGGCCTTCGTCGTTGCCCTCGTCAAACTGTTGCACGTCCTCCTCTGCTTCATCCTCACTCACGCTGTCGTCGTTGTCGTCATCATCGTTGTCATCATCTTGCATGTCTGCCTCCTCGGCATCCTCACCTGTCAATGCATCACCCTGGATGCCTGTAGTCACATTCAATTTGTAATCACATACACATACACACAGACACAGAATCACATACTCAAGTATGAATATCAATAACTGTTACTGCTCAGCTCACTGTGGGCTGAGCCTGACTCACTATGATAGCACGCCGCGGATACGCTAATATTCGCTGCTCGTGACAGGTGAGCAGTGGTAAGGAACGAGGAATTAACATAGGGGATGCCGCATGTGATACCTTGGCTTGGGAGTGGTGGAGTGCCTGCGGAACTTGAACAGCCAGTCTGGACAACTCTGACCGAGGCATTATAATGATAGTCATACTTTGGTGGTATGTATTTTTCGGTACGTGAAGTTTTGAAGCGACGGATCGCGTGTATGTGTGTGCGTGTGTGTGTGGGGGGGGGGGGGGGTGTTCACACAAAGGAATCCCTGAGCACTATGATGTGAATGGAATGACGTGCGGTAGTGCAAAGAGATTATGGATGGAGCAATTACACCCAGAATTGGACTAACCTCCCCTGTGACTTGAAGCTGCTCAGGTTGGCTCTGGGTTGCCTTGGTAACAACTAGCCTGATTCCATACACTAATATTGTGGTGGCATGCAGCATAGGCTTACACACAGAGTTGACAACAAAGTCAGTTGTATGAGAATTCCTCCCAATATTAGTATATTACCTTCCATAGCCTGGTCATCGTACAAAAACTCACCCTGCACTTCCAAGGCACTAACATCAGTGTCGTCTTCAGCGACACCGTCATCATCAAATGCATCATCGTTGCTCTCCTCATCCTTACTGTCATCATCATCATCGTCATCGTCGTCATCAACTTGATCAGCATCACCATATTGCTGTTCCTCATCACTCTCAATCATGTCCTCTCCTTCATCCTCAGCATAATCACCATCATCTTCACCATCATCACTATCTTCAGCACTTTCACTGTCACTGTCACTGGCATCATTGTCATAGTCGACGTCATGAGCGACACTCAAGGCATCCTCCTCTTCATCAGCGTCATCATTGCTGACATCATCAGCATTACCTTCCATGACTGCATCGCTGTCCCCATCCTCCTCAATGTCAGCATTATCTGGGGCATAATCCGCGGCATCATCTTCGTTGATGTCATCATCGACGAAGTCATCACTGGCATTGTCTGCGTTTACATCATCCATGATGTCATTGCTAACATCATCCTCGCTGATGTGATCACTGACATCATCTTCCTCAGCATCATCCTCCGCAAAGTCATCATTGGCATCATCCTCGCCTGTGTCATCCTCATCAACGCTGTCTCCATCTTCATCAACAGTGTCACGTTGAGTGTCTTGAAGATCTGCAGAGGAAAAGCCGGGAATATACACAGAGCTTGCTTCTCACAAGGCGATTGGGCAAGATGATCACTAACGTAGCAGGCAAGTAGTCAACACACGATTTGATGAACTCTGAACAGGATTCACTGCCTCCTCAATGTCATTCTCCCCGATCCCTAGGTGCGAGATCTACACCAGTGGAGAGCTACTGTAGCCGGGCAGCTGCTAACACATACATGGTAGTGACGCACATAAAGGTCCATGTGCCGCTTACGAGGGGGGTTCGCGTTATTTCGCTACTATTTTGCGGGTCGTTTTGCCTCACACATAGGCGCATGCAGTTGCTAGTGTGCCGATACATTCGCGGGGTGGACTACATTTAGGTTCACGTATAAGCCCATGCGCTTATTTGTGAGGATGCGCTTATGCCCGGAGATAGGTACATGCGCTTAAATGCGCCTCACTACGGTACATGGTATTGTATCTCTCCTACAGTGTTGGTACGCACACGATGATTTTGCATCCAGAACTGCATAACACTTACTCTACGAGTACTAGTAACATGGGCAAAGTCTGAAAGCACCATTAGACCGGCACACAGAAGTTGAAAAATGGATCTTGTACACTGCTGCGGGCTTACCATCAGCGTCGAGGGTGTCGACAGTCAGGCCTTCAAGTCCCAGCTCATCAACGTCATACGCATCGTTGTCATTTTCGATTTCAGCCGCTTCTTCACGATTGTTAGCTTCACTGGCCTGGAGAACTAAATTGTATAAACAAAAAGGACAAAGACACTCTCAAGGCCATACAACGTGCTAAATCGTTACGAGTACACTTTCAGGAAATACAACAAACAGTGAAGTGATAGGTGATAGGTGATGGGCTCTTCTGCTCCATACACTATACAGGGCTTGAATGTGATGACGTGAGAAAGCAGCAAAGTGATAATGACTTCTGGGTCACATTGGATCAGCTCCCCCATAGGGCCATAGTGGAGTGCAGTGTCTGGTGTGTTAGGCCCCTTGTATCTCCGGTGCACAGATCTGACTTTGTATCGGTACCAGCTGTGAATCCCCGACCAGGAAGGTCCAGTCCAGTCACAACCGGTGGATATAGATGTATGTCGTGAAAACCACCCAAACCGTGTGTGGAGCCAAACAAAAATTGGACTCGAATAGATCCAGAAGTCAGCGATATGACTCCAGCCCAGGCTGTGATGTGGCACTTTCAGCCTTCGTACAGTACATGCATACAGTATAGATGGTATGCAACGAATGATGTCATGACGGTAAAACTAGCGGCACCGCTTATGGGCGCTGCTAAGTATGCTGCGTGAGCCAGTGGATTTGCTTAATGGGAGTTTTAACTGCACACCGTGAGAGTTGGTGGTTTCGCTTCAGCTAGGGCATCGCTGCACCACAGCTTTGCCAAAGCATCTCCACTGTTGATGTATGTAATCACATAACCTATACTACAATTGTAGTCACTAGCGGTACTAGTCGTAGTCGTGTGCCTGTGTCTGGGTATGGTCACTATGGGCAGTACCCATGACCTGGACCCAGGCAGTGGCCACGTAGATGATGTAAGTTAAAGTAGCACATACAAAGTCGTAATCATTGTCCACGAGACCGTCTCTGTCTCAAACTGTCCCCAGACCAACACCATGCGAACTGAACGTGTGAAAATCTCAAAGACTCAGCATGCAAGCGTGCGATGCATTGCTGTGGGCATAACACTACAGCGGGGTAACACCGTTGCCATCGCCACCTGCACATACCTGTTTCCTGTTCATCGGCGGCTGCTGAGCGAGCTGCGAGAATCGCTTTGGACGGGATAGGCTCCGCGGTTGTCCTGCTCACAGCCAACGCCAGCAGAAGCAGCAGAGCTGCTTTCGACACGGCAAGGCAGCGCATGATGCTGCCTGTTCTGTGTTACCGAAATCCAGTCGCCGGGAAGGAAGGAACTGTTCCTCACCTCCGCTCTTCTCGAACAAGTGAACGCCATCGTCTTCTTATACCCGCTCCCGACGACCACATTTTGCCAACGACTTCCTGTTCGCAGCATGATCGAGTTATCCATAGTGGAGCCCCAGGAACGTGATCTTTCTCGGTCTGGGGAGTATTCGCGTAACGACAACGCACCAACTACATCATTGTATTGCTATATTTTCCACTCTCGAATAAACATGATAAACACGACTATCTGCATTTGCTCGGAGCAGCCGGTGAGTTGTGCTGACGCTGAGCCAATTCGCTCCAGACATTCCTGCCCAGGTTACCATCTCCGAGTCCTGTGCTCAGAAAATAACAACAGCGACAACAAAAGCAGAAGCAGCATCTCTCGGACCGACACATGCCAAGTCTGGGGTATGAACATACAGTATGAAGTACACCCATAGGCCATGCAGATCCACATGTACATGACACTAGCAACTGTCGAGTGCCATCTGTAGCCACGTGTTACGTTCTCGTGTGATCAGGGTGGATGCACTGATCTGACTGTCCTAAAATCGATGCATGTGGTGATGAAACTACTTCAAAAAAGGGCAAGTGTGGAAATCCCGAGTGAGCACCGCCGGCGACACAAGTCCGATTTGTCATTCCGCCGAAACAGTCAGAATAAGAATGCAGGTAGAATCGACTAGACTACAACTACAGGTAGAGATACCGACCGGTAGGCAGTACATCTGCCACATACACATACAGGTAGCTGATTTGCACCGATGAGGCGATGACCCTGAAGAGTGAGTGATAGTCCGAGCAGAACTCAGTGTAATGCTTATGATCATGATTGATATCTGCGAGGTGGATTTCCAGTCCTCACGATTATTCTCCTCCGTCTAAAAATATGGCGAACAATGCGCGTGCGCTCTACTCTCAGCTCTGCGGCGGCGTGTGAGGTCGGAACAGAAAGCAGGCCCGGCGGCGAGTTGAGTGTAACAGGGTGCTGGCGAGGCGATGTACCAGAACACGACCGAGTACACCATGGTCAGTGGGCGATCAGCTTCTGAGATCGAGGAACTTCGGAAATCCGAAGATCCGGCTCGGGGTTGAAGCACGTAGCAGAAGGCATGCAGAGCAGGAGACCATGGCCGGCATTGAACAATGCAAAGGATGTGAGGTTGTATCCCTTCTTTTCTACAGGAAGTGTACGTACGTGTAGGCGTATTCTTCATTGACCAGCCGAGGTTGCACGACGTTTCAATGATTATGTACGTGTACCAAGTGGATCTCTGCCATCGTGTGCACACAAAGACTTTTTTAATGCGCTATTCGTGTTACTACTAGTAGTAGACTACCAAGAGTATAATAATTATAACCATGGGGGGAGGGGGGGGGGGGGGTTACATGTATATTATACTCTTGAGATTACCTACAAAAGTCACCGACCTACTTCTTACGTAGGGTCCTGGTCCGGAATGTCAATTGAATTATTATCCTATCCACGATGGGAATTAATTTTAATTTGAAAGGATCGGTCGCGCAATACGGTTAAAACCGTATTGCGCGACCGATCCTTTCAATGTTCTTATCTTTAGTTTTCCACCTGGACTCCTCCTTGGTTTCCCTTTTTCTCTCTAGCTCTTCTCTTGTACCTTCTTGCTATTATTCATATCCCACCTATATAATGAAGTTGATTGTTCCAACTAGGAACACACGCTTCTTGCCGAACTTGACACTTGACTGACTCACGACTGCCATCCGGAGCACACGAGGAGCACGTCGCACCTTCCACTCGGCAAACCTGCAAGAAAGCATATAAGTCATGTATGTAGAAGGTGCTGCCGCCGTAGATCTACCGGCCGAATGGAGGATTTCAGTTGTAGTACAGTAGACTAGTACTAGTAGTAGTGTAGCCTTTTCTTCTAATCGCACCGTGTAGAGGAGTCTACCATACCGTGTAGAGGAGTCTACCATACCAGCCACCGACCGGATCACAGAATAATATTCTACAAGTCATGTAGGTCAGATTCTAGATATGGCGAAGAAGGCAGGACTCCTGCGGAGTGACGAAAGGCTTTGTGAGATCCGAGTTGAAATGTCTGGCACTTGGGCACGATTTTCCCATCATGACTCTACTTTGTAGCGTGACCAAGTGAAGAGTAGACTGAAATAGCTCCCGCACCCCCCACCGGACATCATTTCGCACAGTCATGCTGACGTGCAGACTCCCCACTGCTAATTACATATGTAGCCGCAGAGGATAGACAGTGACTACATAGAGTCTAAGACTCTACTAGAGAGTCGAGACTGAGTGCTGACCCTGACTGGGTTGCTTCACAACCGGCTATACAATTGTGTTGAGAAACACAATACAACCAGCTTTAAGAAGTTTCGCTTGTGCCAGGCCACCACCATGTCTGTGAATGATACCAGGGTGGCAGATATACTAGTAATACAGCTAACGGCGAGGGTGAGGTGGTAAGTCTCACAACCAATGCCCGACAAGGGGGCGAACGTCGTTAGCTGCAATCCATGTTACCCTCACTCCGAGTAGTGAGTACCCAGTTGACCGTGAGTGGTTGATTGATTTAAAATTCCAGCTCTACGCAGGGTGTGTGGTCGGAGTCTAAGCTTCCCTTTGCCGGCAACCAGATGAGCTGCAGCTAAATGAGGATTGGCTCTCATCCCGTGCTGCACCTTGACCGTCAGACAGGCCTGCATCATCATGCATGCCTGTCCACACGTGCTCAACTACAACCACCATGGACATTGGTTCAATAAGATTCTCCCAAAGAACACTCGGACTGGATGAGCAAAGTCGGTAAATAAAAAAATGAGGTGAAGCCGCGGGTGTCGGGGTAACCAAGCAGGCTGCAGTAGGCTGCAGGCTGCCCCCCCCCCCCTCCTCCCCAGTGGGCTGACTGGGCACGAGAACCCTAATGGAGTGGTCGTGGGGAAGATGTAATGCAGGTAGTTATAGTGAATCAGTGCCTGCCTGCCTCTGACTACCGGTAGGTCAAGTAACAGTTAGTTGACGAAATGGTCAGACTGTTCCGTCTGTTCACGGTCCCAATCATGTCTCACTAGAACCAGTACAGTACACTGTACAGGCAGTAGTGTGCTGTTACGATGGTTACGATGAACGGTACCCGGCCATCATCACCGCGGTGTTCTGTTCATTGCATACACGGACGGTTATTACAGTCAGACCCTGCTCGTCTATACCGTGAATAATGAATTCCCTGGTTACATGCGTCACCTGAACTCCGAATCAGGTGACAGAGGACCCTAACATTAGCATGTACCTGCCACACGTACAGTGCCAATAGGAGTATTCTGTTGGTCAATAGCTGAATTGTATCAGTCGCACATTATCATGTTTCCGGTATCCCAGTCCAAGTCACCCGCCATAGACCCAGCCATGCCCTCACGCATTCTCCAGGATAGTGTGAAGGCAATAAATTATTCCGTTGGAACACTGAGTTTAAATTAAAGATAATACTGATGTTCTTCTTGATCTGAATCTCTTCCTCCAATCCACATTATCTGCTTGTGATATGCTTGCAGCGTGAGAAAATCACACTATAGAATCTCTGAGAAAATCACACCGTATAGAATCTGTTAGAGAACACATCTATTTCCAGCGAGAAGTGTGCTGCCAATCACCAGCAGCAGCAATACGGCAGTAAGAAGATCTGTATCTGTGATAAAAGTTACATTAGTGATAGGTTATCTGAGGTGATGTTCTTTTAAATTATGGTGTAAGCAGCATGATCATGGATTGAAAGTAAATACTGACTGAGCGATGGTCAGGGTAAGCGACCATTACTATGATCAGTCATGCATGCTGCCATACGGTTGAGTGTTCAATAGCGCTTGTGGTGATATGGGCCCTTCTTGCACTTTCCTGCAAAGCACTTCTTCTTCTGCTGTCCATCGCCTGGCGGACCGCAGTTGTTAGCAGAGCTGCTGCACGACCGAGTCCTGAGTCTCTTGCCCAGGCCGCAGCCAAGGCGCTGGTCTAGGGGCCTGCACGATGACCAGGAGCCCCAGCTCTGCCATTGTCCTGTGGAGAAAGAGTCCAATAATAGAAATGGGACGTGTCATCAATGAGCTAAAAGGCACTGTATGGTATTCTGTAGCAATGACCTCCCTCTCTCTCATACAATCAGTCAATGCAGTATGCACAGTTATGCCAGTAGGCAAGGCCAGTATGGTACTCCGAAAAACACCACAGGACAATGAAACGGACGATGGACTAGCATCCAGTGAGTTGTCACATCGTCGCATATCGATTGCATGGGCGTTGTGAGCTGTATGTCTTGATTGGCCAGACGATATCCATAGAGTTCACACATCAATTGTCTGTGAAACTGTTAATCATGTCCGTGATGTGTTACTGCAAAGGCATCCAGTTCATATCTTGCAAAGTGAAGGGAAATTCCATACCCGGTGCAAATGTATATACTAGTACATGTATGCTTGTCAGTTTGAGCACTCTGGCAAGGTACATTCGGGCCTGGTTTAAATCTGGCTTTGGAAAATTTATTTTTCATTGCTATCAGGTTTGACCTCATTTTCTCTGTGCTGCGCTGATGAATCCACAGTGGACGGAACAGTTCTGTCCGCAGATTGAATGTATGCTGACGAGAATACTCTACCTTTGCAGGGTATGTTTTCGTTGCACTCCTTGCTGTCCTCGTCATCACCCTCACAGTCGTCTCCACCGTCCTGTGGCTCTGGCTCAGTGCAAGTGCGTGTGCGGAGCTTGATACCGCCATCGCAGCTGGCACTGCATGCACCGAACGGCGACCATTGGGACCACTCGCCATCGACTGTGGAGAAGTAGACCCATACATGTGTACACAGATGCATTTTGGTGAGCCGCATGCCAGATTTATTATAATTATTATTTTTTTACTGAAGACACAACCTACTCATAAGAAGAGGGGAGAGAAGTAGCAGGACAACACAACACTGGGAAGAGTAGCGGCTCCAAGAAGGAACCTGTGCTGGTGAGGCAAGCCAACGAGCGTGTAGTTCTAGACTGGTTATGCTGGAACAATAGACGTCCTCACTGAACAATGTGTAAGAGAATTCACAGAGTACAGCTATGCAGGATCAGCTGACAGTATTCATCATGGTGTGGCATACTGTTGGACCCTGTATTGATTCTCACACACACCAGCTATGCGATCTTGCCAGTCAAATTATCCCAGAAGTGCCGACGTACCTGGGTTCAAGCAAGCCTCTGTCCCGCACTCCTGGAAATCTTCATCATCTCCGTCGCAGTCCGCTCCGCCATCGACAGGTGCTGGGTTGGTGCAGGTACGGGTACGCACTTGTTCACCTCCATCACAAGTAGCACTGCACGCTCCGAATGGTGACCACTCCGACCATTCACCATCGACTGCATCAACAAAGAAAGAACAAGATCCAGATACATCACTTTAGATTGAGGATACATTAATTTATATAGCCGAAACATGCGCACACTCTCAGACCCACAAGATGGTTCTGCTAAGCTCAGGAACAGTCAAACACTTGGACACATGCTGTGCTGCACATCTGATCTGCTTGATGAAACATATAGGACACCAAAGCTCATGCATGGCATGCCCCACTGGCCGCAAGAAGAACAACGGTCAGTCCCGGTCATGAAGGCTGGACTACACACCGACTAAGCCAGTGCTACACCCATTTATTGAAATGGTTCTGAGAAAGATTGACCTTTCCCTTAGCGTTTTCAGGGACCAGCAGGACCCGAGACATGTTTCATAACCTGTTCACAAGGGTTGTCCCTGTTTTTGTACAATTGCTTTTAAGTTTGCTGCTGCTGCCCAATGATCTGCAAGGTCAAGGATTGGAAAGTTAAGGGAACAGGAATGGTTGCGTGGTAATAATCTCTCCGTGCACCTTGCCGCCACTGTGGGAAAGGTGAACCGAACATACGGAATGGCATATTGCTATCGCACGAACTATCAGCACTGGCCTGTGTGCTACTGTTGCAGCTCGGTATGCTAAGTATGCTGACCTGGAAACAGACAACGCTCCGTTCCACACTCCTGGAAATCTTCATCGTCTCCTTGGCAGTCCTCTCCACCGTCGACAGGTGCTGGGTTAGTGCAGGTACGAGTACGTGTTTGCTCACCTCCATCACAAGTGGCACTGCATGCACCGAATGGTGACCACTCCGACCATTGACCATCGACTGCATCAACAAAGAAAACAGATGTTCGGTGCACCTTAGGCTACTGCGGTATGGAGGGTGGGCATATGTAGCTGCTGATTACTGGATGATATAACAGTCACGCCGCGCTTCCTCTCAGGAATTTCTTCAACTCATGATCTGATAGACAGCTAAGAAGACTATGTTGAAGAGCTACACACCTGGATTCAAGCAACGGTCGGTTCCGCATTCCTGATAGTCTTCATCGTCTCCTTGGCAGTCCGCTCCACCATCGACAGGTGCTGGGTTGGTGCAGGTACGAGTGCGCACTTGTTCACCTCCATCACAAGTAGCACTGCATGCTCCGAACGGTGACCACTCCGACCATTGACCATCGACTGCACCAACAGAGAAAGAACAGGATGAGGCTAGCTGCATCCACTATGGGGCCAAACCTTGCTAAGCGGAGGTGCCCCCACCCAAGGCGAGGGAAAGGTGGATCAAACCTTCTATACTCTAACTACGTAAAAGCTGAGGACCATGAAGAACGTGTACACACCTGGGTTCAGGCAACGGTCCGTTCCACACTCCTGGAAGTCCTCATCATCTCCTTGGCAGTCCTCTCCTCCGTCGACAGGTGCTGGGTTGGTGCAGGTACGGGTACGTACTTGCTCACCTCCATCACAAGTGGCACTGCATGCACCGAATGGTGACCACTCCGACCACTGACCATCGACTGTAAGAGAATCAGATCAGTGTCATTTAGATCCAATGCTTCTGTAAATCCGAGCCCACTCACACATGAGAAATGATCAATCTCTTTAAAAATTGGTGTGCCTGGGTCTATGCTTCACATAAGTTGCTCAAAATGCCTCCTCACCTGGGTTCAAGCATCCCTGAGTTCCACACTCCTGGAAATCTTCATCGTCTCCTTGGCAGTCAGCTCCACCATCGGCAGGTGCTGGGTTGGTGCATGTACGAGTACGTGTTTGCTCACCTCCATCACAAGTGGCACTGCATGCACCGAATGGTGACCACTCCGACCACTGGCCATCGACTGTCACACCAGAAGATCAAAACAGAAGAAATAGGCTGGAGGATGGCACTTCTAGGTGTATTGTAAGAAATGCATGACTAATTTGTGACCATTGCAGACATAACCAAACGTGTACTTGACCCTTCTCCCATGAGAGTAAGTCTGACCGATTATCCCACATTTTTTAAAACTCCTGCATCGCTTGGGATCTAAGCAAAGGTGTGCTAAAAAAGAAGGTGGAATATATTTTTTCTCACATCATCTCTGATCTCTACATGATTGAAAGCTACTCACCTGGGTTTAGGCAAGACTGCTTGTTGCAACCCTGTGTCTGCACTGCCGCTCCCTTGCACTTTGCGCCGCCAAACTTGGGTGCTGGGCTGGTGCAGGTACGGCTGCGCTTCTGTGAGCCACCGCCGCATGATGCTGAGCACTGTGAGTAGGCTGACCAGGACGACCATCCGCCATTGACTGCAACGGGCAAACAGAGCAGAGCACTGACGTGTTGATGCTAATGGAATGAACAAATCACTGAGTGAAGTTGAAAATAATAGTTAATGCACTTGTTCGAGTCCTGGTAGGGTTGGCATTTTTAAATCTTTTCAGGCAGTTCACTTCCCAACAGATCCTTTGAAATTCGAAGTTCTCCCATTCCTTAAAAATTATTGTACTTTTTGAGGGTCCCTGGTTCGAGTACTGGTGGTGACAGCCAATTTTTTCTTCAGACTTTTCCCGTTTGTGTCTTTCCCTCAAACTAGTCAAGATTTTAAAATTTACATGTAATATTTCTATAGCAATAGATATGCCAGTAGTATGAGTACAGCATTAGATTGTCTGCCATTCTTAATGCTGATGTCTGTCTCCAAACCCGGCACTAGAAGATTACCGTCCAGTATAGGCCATGGCCAGCACCAAGTACCTTTTTTGGGGACACGGACACGGACACGTGACCTGCGGCGGCTAGTTGGCTTGCGAGACCTTCTGCGCCTGGTGCGGATGGGCTTGCGAACAGGCTTGCGAACTGGCTTGCGGACTGGCGGGCGCACTGGCTTGCGGACTGGCGGGCGCACTGGCTTGCGGACGGGCGGGCGCACTGGCTTGCGAACTGGCTTGCGGACTGGCTTGCGAACAGGCTTGCGTGTCACACGACGGCTGCTTCTGCTGCTACGGCGGCGAGAAGACGATGATCTGCGTCTTCTGGTGGAGCTGCGCTTGCTGCCTGACCTCTTAGACGAGCGCTTCTTGTATGTACCGGCAGCCGCACGTTCTGCAGGCACACGCAGAGACACACAAAGTGTAAAAACCATCGTTCAAGTTAGCATACCCACATGCAGATAGCCCTTGCATGGGAGGGGGGGGGGGGGGTGCTGGCAGACCAATCCGCATAATTAATTTTAGTGCATTTCCTGAGATGTATCATGCATGTTTTATAATAATATTGAAGCGGAAGATGTGCACAATGAACGGAATTGTCAGTCGGATGGTTTTCATGGTTCGGCCCATTTCAATGCTTTTCAAGCAGAATCTGCCTATTTTCCCAGCATTATCGTGTACCACCATGGATTGAACTGTTGTATGCAGAAACACCAGAGTGACCTGACCTCTACCCCTACCCCTACTCCCAAAACACACAAAATAGCTTCTCTAAAAGTGACTGAGCCATCCATTCAGAGGGATTCGGAATGCCGCCCCAAATAATTGGCCAAAAGGTGATGGATGGGTTACATGCAGACACTGCCACAGGAGCAATGGTCATGCATGCATGCATAAAGCAGTGCTACTATGGCCCTATGGGTCAAGATCAAGACGCTACAGCACACTGTTTTGCAACATAGATCTGATCTACGGCGTTACCCATTGACAAGCATCATGACCCGGTATCAGGCGATGGGACCTCCTCACACTCGGGCACAGTCACGGCCTTCGACTATGAGTATGACTATGGTTTCCAACAGGGATCAACGTCAAGGGACAGAACATGTCTTACTTGAGATATCATGAGCTTCCTCATCCTCATCCTCATCCACGTCCTCCTCATCTTCCAAAATGGAGTCAGCCAACTCGCTCTTTTCGATTTCCTCGTTCAGAGCTGAAAAGGGGAGAATGAAAAATCGACAGGACACATGCAGTGCACTAGTGCAGATCAGTGTTTCGTCCCGATACCCAAGGAGCAATCACAAGAGCAGGAAACACATTCCAGCCGTTGAAAACCACGTAGTTCCCGTCGAGCATAGTTCGAGTATGCACTCACCGAGCTCTTTGGCCTCCATCTCAGCATACTGCACTGACTCAGAGGCAACATGGCCGATAAGAGCGACCAGCAGCAAAGCTGCAGCCAATGCTAGAACACGCATCGTTACCGAAATGGTTGGTGTTGATGATCTTCAACAGCTGATGTTTACAGGAAGAAGTGCTTGTAAACAGCTCGATGAAGTTCTCTTGTCAACAAGTCCTTCTTATACTCCTCTGAGGATGGGGCACGGCTACACGAAATCATGTCCGAAGCAGCGCAACTACCTACTGCAACAAAAATACCTCTCCTCCATCTTCTCACCGGTGCAATGTTCGAGTTTCTACAGGGAGACAACGGCTGTGCCGTAGTCCTAGTTTGGTTATAATTATGTCTTGATTGTCTTACTCTCGGACATTGCATGGTCATTAGGGAAGGCAAGTAAGTTTTGGGTAGCTGCAGCCTCAGCATTCCCCTGCTGCTTTTCTCCGGCGCTCCAGCTTCCAACGACTTGTTTTTACGTAACCCAGCCGGGAAAGAAGACTGACGCTTTCGGCGAAGACCAAGTCTGGTGCACTATCCATTCTCTAGACCTCTGACTGGCTAAGTACTACTACTAGTACATGACAGAAATACGTAAGACTAGTAAGAGCAATCCCGCATACCGGCCGCGTATCATTACTATGGCCTTTTGGCACACTGAACGACAACTTGGCCGTTTGACTTGAATGTTAGACTTGAAGTTGGAGCAAAATGAAGAAGTCTGTGGCAACTGCACCGCGGTCTGTGGGGGCCACCAAATCTCGCATCACCTAGGAAAAGGCGATAGGCAAGTCACGGCAAACTGACGTGACGGAGACGAAACCGGGGCTCATATCGGTATTGCGCGCTATGATCAAGCGAGCATCTCCTTATCCGACTTTCCCGAAAAAGCCCGAGCGAAGAAGAAGCCGTTCAGGAAAGACAAAGACATGAGAGCCGGATTCACCCAGCAAGACCTCTACTACTAGTACTAGCAGGTCACGTTTGAACGCCATGTGATGCAGCGAAAATATTGTCATTTTACGTGCATCTGGTGACTATCTGGTAAGAGACTATACTATACTGTAAGCGCTAGCGGTCGCGTCGACATCTGCCGGAACTACTAAAAAAATGGTTCATACTTCAAAGGCCATGGAATGCGTGACCGTGAAGCAGTCAAATAAATCAAATCGGAATATGTTTTACTTTTACGCTACTTGCTAGTTTTAGACAACTAACATTAACAATGTAACATACTTGCACTTGATCCACCCAACTCCCAAGCCATACATTCCACACACCACTCTTGTCGAGCTTTGACTGTTTGACTGACTCGACTGCACAGCTAGCTGGAGCTGATGCCGCACCATGGATGTAAGATGTTGGCGATATCACCGTAGTTTCACGGCTTGTTGACCAAGGAAGTTAGTTAGATGGGAGAAAGTGATACAGCATGCATTAGCACAGGCAGCTACACGAACTACACGTATTCAGCAATAGCGCTATAGCCTGCGCAAAAGAGCTTGCTTCTGTTAGTCGAAAAAGTGGTTGAGAGGGGGACAGCCTGTTCTTTGTCTATGGTTAACTTAGTCCTGCAAGGAAGACGTGGCCTAAGGCTATGTATGTGTGTTGTCTTGTGGTGGTACAGTTTGTGGAGACTAGGCTACCTCCCGGGGGGGGGGGGGGGGGAGGTACTTCAAACATGTACACTCAGTGTGACTTCCAACCAGTCGTCATAATAATTATCTGCATATTTTCTCGTTACTGAGGGCGCGTTCGAATTGTCACTCTTTGACTTTTCGAGGAGCTTCGTTTTCTGAAGAGGTGGCCTTATTGGCCTCTTCAGAAAAACGAAGCTCCTCGAAGCTCATCCGATGGGAAGGTGGATTAGTTTCGAAGAGTTTGGAATAGCTACGTCACGTAGTACGTGGAGATGGTCGATCTGATCGGACGTCATCATCGCCATAACAATTCCACTGAAAAACTCTGAAATGATAGAAATCGTTCTAATGGGACACTTCAACTAATCTCTTTATAAAATTTGTTAGAACAGTTGATGAAGACAATTCGAACGCGCCCTTAGTCTGCCATGGCGTCAGATGATACACGTAAATGTATCTACCCATAATGGTGACGTATGATATCCGTTCCCTAGGCCCTGCCCATCACATCCAGAGAATAACTGCCCCCAGGCCCTCTTAGTCTTACAATCATCCCATTGACTGTGCATTGCCATTGTATCATTGGTCACAACACAGTCACTGATTGTGTCAGTGCCGTACACTCCTCTTCATTACATCTCTTTGGGTGAGATAGTGTAGATCTACACACCGAGCACTCTGTAGCGTAGGTGACCATGCGTTCAATACTAATAATTATAATTATTTATGAGCCCGTGTAGCCACCAGGAATGCCCCACAGGCTGACCTTTAGCTGTACATTCCGCAATCGTATTTGTGTTTGTAGCACTGTATTCCACATAAAACTGCGTCATTTTAGTGTTTTACCTGTATCCATGGTCCATGAGGCCTATCACTTGTAAGCTGTAGACAAGGCTAAGGGAGTACGGCTTACACACATACACTGAATACACACAGTATGATACACACAGTAGGGCCAGGGCAGGGGTGCACTAAGGCGTTACAGTTAATGTTTAGAACTCGAAAGCCATTCACCCTAGCCAGATGGTTGGCTGGAGTGAGAACGTGCCTTTACTGTTTCGAGGCAAATTCAAACTGTGAACTCCATAGAAATTGCAAAAATAATAATAATTATTATAATGTTGGGGTCATACATTGCTTGTGGTTTCTCAAGTAGAGTTCAGGCTAGCTTCCAAGACCAGATCATTGCAGGAATTGTGTACACAACACATCACAGTTCAGATGGCATGTACAAGTATGAGTACATGAGACACATTTAAAAACAATCAGCTGCGATCGTTGTCACATGCATAACTACTACCTAGTTACAGTAGCAGCCCACGTAGAAGACACCACTGAACACATGTGCCGTCATACAGAGTCACATACTGTCAAATCAGCCGGTTGCTGCAGCAAACACTGCACCGGACCGCTCACTCCTTTCCCTACTCTGCTAGTTGAAGCCATAGGAGGACTGCGTATTGCTTTTGAGCAGTGTTGCTAGGGATTCCGGCGGCGCAACATGCTGCAGGATGGGATGGTGGAGGAGTGAGTTAGCAGTGGCTCTCTGCGCAGCGTTGTGCACCAGCATTTGTTGCAGGAAGCTGAGCAATGGTCTGGAAACCTGTAAAGGAAGACAGACAGTACATGTACATGGTCATAGTGTAGATGCAGCACATGATGGTGGAGGAATGGACAACAACGTTAACGGATGATGCCCATATTTTCCGGAGTATAAGTCGCACTTAAAACACCAGTAATTCACCCCAAAAACAGTCGGTGTGGCTTATACTACACTGGTCAAATTAACAGTCGTAAACAGGGTAGATGTCCGTATTTTCGGGACAACACATCTGGGTCCGGCTTATACTCCGGAAAATACGGTACACCTTCATAGAGAGGTGTCACAGACATGCTGCAACGCAAGCTAAAAGTGTGCATGGTTCTACAGTAGTCTGCAGAAGGAGTGGTTCAGCAGCTCATCCAACAAGCACGGTTGTGTTTGGAATGGCATAAAATCCTTTTCAAACATGCATGAAATCCGTATGGTGAGGATACCAGGGGGGGGGGGGGGGGCAAGAATAAAACACAACTTCAATTGAAGACAAAATGTGTGTAGATGCATGTTTCAATCAAGGGTGCGGTCCAAAGTTCTATTGCAACCTTATACTTGTACTTCAAAGTACTGTGAACCAAGCGCTTTAATCCCTGCAGGGTACGAAGACCCCTGTCGAAGCACAGCCGGGAAAAACAGAGCATGAATAATTCAACTCACACTAGAGCTGTCCTTGAAGGCTGGTGGCTGCATGTCTCGCACTTTCCTCATGGCCTGCAATGGCGGTTCATTGAAGTACGGCGGTTCTCCATCCACCATTTCTATCACCATGACGCCTAGAGACCAGATATCAACCTGGTCAGAGAGATCACACAGGCATCACAGGAGTTACACAAAACCAAAGGTCAGTCTGGATGAGATTGCCAATACTAGGGTGACAGTATTGCATTGCGCAAACTGTACGCAATGGTTTCTGACCCTATCGTATCTGACCAGATCAACTCTTTCAGATCGCAACTCACCAGAACTCGGACCACAAAGGAAAAAAAGACTTGACTCTTCAGACCTACTTCAAAGTAAATTGTACTGGACACTGCAGAGGCCCACTATGATGTCCCCCAATTCTAGACAAGAAATCGGGTTTCACTGGTCACAATCATGTGACACTGGACAATGCAGACAGTATCAACGCGGGTTGAACATGGGCCATGTTGGAAGCTCGGTGTTGGCTGACATTGAGAAGAGCACTCTGAGAGATACTAGTACATAGGGCAATTCAACAGTTCCATCAGGGAGAACGTGTTGTTCCAGGGAGAACGTGTTGTTCCAGGGAGAACGTGTTGTTCCAGGGAGAACGTGTTGTTCCAGGGAGAACGTGTTGTTCCAGGGAGAACGTGTTGTTCCAGGGAGAACGTGTTGTTCCAGGGAGAACGTGTTGTTCCAGGGAGAACGTGTTGTTCCAGGGAGAACGTGTTGTTCCAGGGAGAACGTGTTGTTCCAGGGAGAACGTGTTGTTCCAGGGAGAACGTGTTGTTCCAGGGAGAACGTGTTGTTCCAGGGAGAACGTGTTGTTCCAGGGAGAACGTGTTGTTCCAGGGAGAACGTGTTGTTCCAACAAAACCAATATACACATAGAGTCGGGTTTGCCAAATGAAAACTCATCTTCGTACACTGAGTAGTGTGAGGTCAGTGCCCAACTCGGTGTCCGGCTCTAGTATCCACCCCCCCCCCCCCCCTGAAGTATAATCGTGCTGTTGGTGACATATGCATTGCTTCGTGTGTGCTTAGTTGCTAGAGCAGGAACAGCTTTGTGTGGTTTGTTGATGTGGAGGCAGGAGGTCAGGCCTTGTTACAGAGTACCGCAATGGTACACGCTGCTTGTGCGATGATTGCATTGTGCCCCCTTAGTGATTTCTATTATTAGGGCGTTGGAACGTGATCTAAACTGCCAAGTGTGCCTGTGCAAGGAAGTTGCATTGCAATGTCAACATTGCAATAGATTTAGTTGGGTGGAAGCACCTTGTCTGCCATCTGTGTGATGACCTCGGACAAGTAACTTGCCTGCTTTGCTATGTTCTGTTTGCACCATTTTGCACGATCTCCGATCTCTGCTCGCCCTATGCATTATGGTTTTCACCTATCATCTTATTGTATTATCCTACTAATGTTCTGTTTCATGGTAAGAAGTAACCCAGTGCTACGGTTGTTGGTTGTGAGAAAGAAGACGTCTGTCCTGGAACTGTGTGGTGGACGAGAGGTACATGAGTTTTGCATGTTCTCTAACAGCGTGGTGCCGAAACCCGGGAACCAGTTTTAGGAGAGATGTCAAAAGCTCAGGGATACTTACGCCCGTATCGCGGGAGTGAGGATGACTTCGAGACATTTTGGGCCAAATTCGAGGTGCTCGCGACGATCAAGGAATGGGATTCCGACGAGAAGAAAATGCCGCAGCTACTGCTGTTTCTGGAGAAGGACGCTTTCCTTGTCTCAACAGGATGTCCGCGGAGGACAGGAAGAGCTCCACAGCAGTGAAGAAGAAGATGCAGAAGGCGTTCTGTGTCACACGAGCGCGAGCTTTCAGCTTGCTGACGAATCGGACGTTGAAGATTGACGAGTCGCCCGACGCATTTGTTGCGGACCTGAAGCGTCTGGGCAAACTAGCTGGACAAGAGTCCAGCGATAAGGATGACAACAGTGTCATCGTCGAGCAGCTAATGGCCGGTATTCCGTCTTCTTGGTCTCGCCAAATTCGTCTGTCAATGGCAGGAAAGGCGCTCACGGTGAGTGGGTGCTTAGAACTAGTCCGAGCCCTCAAGTTTAGTGACGACGGTCGATCTAGCAGTGCGGAGTATGGAACTGGAAGTGCGGCTGCGCTTGGCCCTGCTTCGAGTTCGAAACCGACAAAGAATGTGATATGCTTCCGGTGCAAGGAGCAAGGCCACATGAAACGTGATTGCCCGCAGGGTCAGCGCAAGCAGCCTGGACCATCGACTAGCTCGAGTCGCGCACGCGGAATTACGTGCTTCTTTTGTGACAAGAGTGGACACCGTAACGGCGTAAGGCTGATTGTCCTGAACGGAAGGCCTGGCAGGCCACGCAGTCAAGTAAGGGCACTGCCGCGGCTGCTGCCGAGATCGACGATGCTGCGCTCTGTTCTGTTGCTGTACCAGTGCTGACTGCAGGTGCCAGGCTCCCTAGGATTTATGTTGATGTCTGGAAAGGGGGGCAGTCGGGACAGTGCGCAATGGAAGGTGGCGGTCATTGACACTGGAGCCACAAGAACGCTGATGACCAATCAATGTGCTATGGATGGAGTACTGCAGTTGGCTGAGTCTGGCAGTCACATCATTGCCCTAGATGGCCAGCCACTGGGCATCATTGGCAAGGCCAGCGTGTGTGTACGACGACTGGACGACTGGACGGGTGGCGTGTTGCCACTGCTCGCGCGTACTCAGGAGCATAAGGCCAGTACGCCAGTTCGGCCATGTTTAGATTATCGCGGCGTGAACAAGCTGATCCAATCGCAACCGGGCTACGAGGCTCCCGTCTGTGCGGAGAAGATCAGGAAGTGGCGGCAGACTAGCGGTGGTGAGTGGAAGATGCTCGATATCAAGAAGGCCTACCTCCAGGTACACGTCAGCCCAGAGCTTGCACGATATCAAGCTGTGCTGTGGAAGGAGAAAGTCTATCTCATGACGAGAATGGGCTTCGGCCTAGCGATTGCGCCTAAGATCATGCACATGATTGTGCAGTGGGTCACCCGCAGCCATCCATCGGTTGACAACTATGTCGACGATATCCGCACCCCGGCTGGAGAAACGGAGCAGGTTGCCGCTGAGTTGGCTGCATATGGTCTGCCAACAAAGCCAGCTGAGCCACTGACGAAATCCCGTGTGCTTGGCATGCAGCTCAGGAACGATGACGACAACGACTGCAGGACCCAATGGACTAGAAGGGACATCGACCTGGAGCCACCGCCCAAGCTGACCAAACGTAGCTTGTTCGCATGGTGTGGGCGACTAATAGGCCACTATCCTATATGCTCTTGGCTACGACCTGCGTGCAGCTATCTCAAGCGGTTGGCCAGTCCAGAGGGAAGCGCGTGGGACGATCCGGTATCCCAAGCTGCAGTGCAATGCTGTGCCAACTTGTGTGTGTATGAAGCATGCTGAGGACGACCCAGTCCATGGCTGTTGGGATGTGGTGGCGGACGACGACTCGGTCTGGACGGTCTGGTGTGACGCGTCCGACCTCGCAATCGGTGTTGTCCTGGAGCTGCACGACGAAGTCATAGAGGATGCCTGCTGGCTGCGGCCAAAGCAGGACTAGCGTCATGTCAACGTGGCTGAACTCGACTCAGCAATCAAGGGCCTGAGTCTCGTAACCAAGTGGAAGGCTAAGCGTGTGAAGCTGGTGACCGACTCAAAAACAGTGGCAGGGTGGCTGACCCAAGTTGTCGATGGCACACGGCGTGTGCGAGCTGGTGGCCTGTATGAAGTTCTCGTGCAACGCCGACTGCAAATCGTAGACGACCTCATCGCAACAACTGGCTTGCAGGTCCAGGTCGTCTGGGTGCCGACATATCAGAACGTGGCGGATAAGATGACCCGTGTGCCATTTCGCTGCCCCAAGACGAGCAACAACGTGGCAGCCGCTGTACCGGCTGGTTCCGCTCCTGTCGAGCTGGCGGGGGTGAAGCAGGCGCAGCAAAACAACGGCCAGGTACGTGCCGTCATGGAACAAGTGTCGGTGGGCATGCCTGTGACAGATGACGACTTCAAGGCAGTGCGTTCCCAGCTCTGCATCAAAGATGACCTTCTCTGCCGGAGTGTGAAGGTCCCTGCTGACGGTGTGGTACTCGCACCAGTTCTTCCTGGCGAGATGGAAGATGGCGTCATTCGAGCGGCCCATGCCGGGTCTGGCCATGCATCATGGCAGACGGTCTATGAGATCCTACGCCAGAAGTGTTACTTTCCGCACATGGCAGAGAAGTGCCAGCAGTACGTCAGCCAGTGCCAGCAGTGTCGTGCAGCCAACAGCTCCGGAAGTCAGTCTGTGTCGCCAACTCGACACGAGATTCCTGGGAGCCCGTGGAGCACAGTCGTGATGGACACGCTCGAGCTAGGACTGTGTCGCAGCGGCAGATTCGCATGTGTCTTGATGGTAGTCGATGTCCTGACACGGTGGGCAGAGATTGTCCCGCTGCGCCGACATGACGGGCCCTTGGTTGCTGAAGCATTTACCGAGCTATGTCATTGTTGGGGCCCACCGGACACCGTCCGTATCGACAACAGTACCCAGCCCCAGTAGCAAGCCCCAGTACCCAGCCCCGTAGCAAGCCCCCCCCCCCCCCCCCCCCCCCCAGTACCCAGCCCCAGCACCCAGCCCCAGTAGCAAGCCCCAGTACCCAGCCCCAGTAGCAAGCCCCCCCCAGTACCCAGCTCCAGTACCCAGCCCCCAGTACCCATCGCTACTTATAGAGACACAGCAGCCGCCAGTCCTAGCTCACTTCAGTGGAGTATGCTTGTCGCGCAATGACCTGTGGTGCCATCCAGTAAGGTGTGCCAACCAGTGACCATCTCTTCGGCCGAGCATCATCCACACGAGCACAGAACCCAAAGTCAGATAGCTTCACCTGAAGTGGCAAGAAAGAGCATGATAAGAATGTCGAAGAGCATTCCGTTAACTTATCCGACGCATAGCACACAGACCAAGAAAGGATTTCGGGCATTCTGCTAAGCGTGGATGGGTGAACAGTTCTCAGCATGAATGCAACCATATCAATATCATCGAGGACGCAGGGTTAGGTGTGTCAGTGATGTTGGTAGTTTCAGCCTTGACACTGACTATATACATGTACATGTGCATCTTGTGAACGGTTCATCAAACGTAAAGTGCACTGGCAAAGAATAAATTCCCTTTCGTACTGCTTTCACTGGTCACGATGCATCGTCCCCGGAATGTGAATGCTCACCGGGCATCCCGAAAACACTCCGGCCAGATCACACTGAACTTGTGATAGAGCCTACTGCAGCTATGGTACAATACAAGCATCCTTGGTGCAAAATCATACTTTTAAAAAAAAGTACAGTGCATATAGAGAGTCACTCGCATCAAACAGAACAACTCCTCGTCTGCATCCTTCGAAGTAAAGTACTGTGTTACACATTATTTTCGGTATAACGTGAATTTCGGTAATTCCGGTAGAGAAATCAGGCACCAAACTTTAGATCACACCTAAAAGGCACCATGGCATGCACTGCTGATACAGGATGTAAGGAATAACTTACGTGTCCCTGCTGCGAGAGTAGAATACTATCACTCTTGATGTCCCGATGAATAATACCTTGCTCGTGTAAGTAGCTCAGTGCTTGCAGGCAACTCTTGCACACTGCAGCGATCTGATCCTCATCCATCCTGGAAAGCCGTGGCGGCGGCCACACCAAATTAACGGAAGTATATACATGTACATACAGTCGACCTACCCTTATAACGATATTTGCGTCACACCAAGAAATATTGTTATAAGGGTAATATAATATTATTGTTATAGGGGTAGCTGGTTCATTTCATACACATACGTCATAATGCATGGATTTTGTTCATTTTTACACTCTTCATAGCATAAAAAACTGACATACATGCACATTATGTGCACAGAAAGGTGCCCACTGGTGCCCCATTGCATTTCGTCATGTCCCAACGACTTATCAAGTGAAGCTTGCCCTACCTGGATACCGTAAAAGTTCGTAAATAAGTACGTATTTACTTTCGAATTTAGTGACCACACCCGTACCAACTTTCGGGCGGGTACTGACTTTCAGGCACGAACTAACTTTCGGACCTGACTCGTGTGTAGTGGAGAAGTCATTTTTCATGGTGATGTACATGCTACGTGCTGCATGTGCGCACCGTACCGGTACTTATTTCGGGCAGTATGTTTATCGGGCTTGACTTGACTTCAACAGACAGAGCCAAAAGAATGAAAGGGGTATTTCTTTCGGGCAGGTACTTATTAGACACCCTTAGCAAAAAACGTTATGTTGTAACGGTATTATCGTAAGGGGGGAAATACCGTGATTTGGGTTCAACCTTTAGCAAGATGCACGCTATATTTAGTACGCTGTTGCCACGAGAATAGCTTTGATTTCGCGCGGTACAACCATTTTTGTCACCATATACGCGATACAAGGTGAAATGCGTACGGACTATGCAATAATTGGCCAAAACACGTACCGTTGGTCACAACGATAAATCAGCCCCCATAATGTTTATACGCTGCAGCTTCAACGCTATTTGGGTGATCAAGGTACGAGTACCGTAAAAAATAGCGTTACCGTTGTTTGCTAAGGGTGTCTAATTACGGACTTTTACGGTAGTCGGCTCTACATATTTCCTGCTAGATATTGTTATAAAATGGAAAATGTCGATTGGTCAGCCCATTTTATATCGTTATAGGGGTAATATCGTTATAGCAATATTGTTATCGAGGTAAGGCATTGTATACACAAGTCAATGGAGTGATTTGGTTTGGCAGAAAAATATCGTTATAAGGGTAATATCATTATAGAGGTTATCGTTATAAGGGTAGGTCGACTGTACTAGTACACTATCCTGGTAACACCTCAGGGTTCTAGCCAAAGGGGGGTAGGGGGCGCAGCGCCCCCCCCCCCCCCCCCCCTGTGAAATAGTGCCGCCCCCCTACTCATTTTCCGATTTTTGTGTTTTTCACGCCATTCAACGAAAATACAGTCGATAGTCACTACTAGAGGGTTCATAAAGGCACATTTGTAAGGGGTGAAGTCGGGGTTCACCCTGTATGTTACATTTTGCATGGCAAGACAATTTTGGACAATGGAAAAAGTGGGTCATGGGGTAACTTTTTCCCATGCCCACCCCCTACTATATTGACCTGGCTAGAACACTGCACCTGGCATCCACCTAATCTATAAATTCAATGTGTTGCCACGCGCATATTTTTAACACCGACTGGCTGGTCAGTCTAGGCAGAGGCCAGTCCACTCCTCAGTGAGTGGTTGAGCATATGGACACACATCAGCTAAAATGCCAGCTGGCCGTGTCATCATTTTCGTTCAACTTCGGCGTTCGAACAAGTTGCATCGCAATAAGGGTGTTCAAACAGGACAGATTATAGATCTGTTGTCACAGTATCTAACACGCTATAATAGATGCATTCTCCCAGGGTTAGATCTACCTCTATACCCGTGCCGTGCGTGGGCACAGCATACCTACAATATAGCCAATTGGTCATCCGGCATGCACTGCATACCTACCTTAGATGAGTGACGATGTCCGTGAGTGCACCACCATTCATGTACTCCATCACCACCCACAGTTCATCGCGCACCAGGAACGAATCGAACATTTCCACCACGTTGGCATGGTGATAGTCGCGCATAATCACAACCTGACAGCAGCGTTGCGATACAAAAAGAGGAAAATAATAAAGGTGACTTCTAAAGACCATACCAAAGTCTCTACGTACCCAGCCGGAGTTGCCGGAGTTGGCTTTTACAGCATGTCCCACTGCTGTTTCAATGGTTACAATGTGACGGGCGGCAAATATAGATCCTTTTCTCGAATCAAATTATTAATTTTGCCCCCCGCCCCCTACCCCCTAACTAACACACATGTATGCATTGCATGCTATAACTTTGATACTTTTTCTCAATTCATCAACCAGGCGAATAGCACCTATCGTCTGGCAGGTGCAGCCATACACCACCCTGCATTGGACATTCCGTGCTGAGTGGAGAATGCTCGCTCTCTCTCTCTCTGCCGCCAGCACTGATGCAATGCACATGCACCAACAGTATGCGGTAGATATTGCATCCGTCACTCGGCACCCACTCTTCCAGCACACACACACATACAGTGGAGGAAGCACGGCTATTGTAGGTATTGTTTACCTCGTTAAATAGTAGCTCCCTACGCTGCTGCTTCTTGAGATCCATTTTCTTGATGGCGACCGTACGTTTTCGGACAAGATCCTTGGCGGTCACTACAACTCCAGTCGAGCCTTCGCCGACACGTACAAAGTTTTCATATTGATGGCGATTGCTCTCCGCACTCACGTGTCTCTCTAGCTGCAATCGGAATTCTTCATGGCTGACGGCTGTCCCATTGATGTTCATGTGTTTCTGTGCTGGTGAGCCAGGCTTTCTGGCTACCTCGCCTGATGCACTGGAAGCAGCCTTCGCTGCTGCTGCTGCTGCAGCCTGACTGGCAGCAGCTGCAGTGGCAGACACATCATTTGCAACTGTTGTGTTTGCTTGTGCTCCCTGATGACTGGCCACCGTTGGGTCAGTTCCTGTTGAGGCTGGACCAGCAACACCGTTACTAACGGACGATGGTTGCGCACCGACCCGCTCTACACTTTCCCTGGCATCGACAGACTGGCCTGCAGAGGAATTTTCCGCGTGGGTCGCAGCAGGAAATTCCCTGCGAACGTCCCCTGCGATTCGAACTGCTTCTGGAGCCGCTGCTCCATTGTCTTCGATTTCAGTTTCTGGATGAATGGGAGGCAAAGCAGCTAGAATTCTCCGTGTTTCTTCATCTGACAGAGCTAAACCTTCAACGATAGGTTTTGGCCTGGGCCCCTGGTTGATCAGGGTTTTCCACTGTGGAGGCAAGCCTTTGTACTGACGACTCTCCGGAATGTACTCCGTGTGGACTCGATGATGGAAATCTGTCGGAACGGAAATTGTCGGCTTGGACGAGCGGGAACCTCCGAAACACGACATTTTTTCTTGAATACGGATCCGTCACCGACCACGGCCTCACCGGACAGAACAGAACTATGTTCTTCGGACACTGCTTCAGCAACGTTATGGCAGAGCCGAACAGGTCAGCTGGCGTATCTCGCTGTCCCGACGGTCGCGGACTTTCAAGGTTTGGTCACTCAGAGTGCTATGTGCAGTGTTGTAATTATTATTATTTTCCAATGGATAAACCTCCAGGGGTTGGGTCAGAACAAAATCCTACGAAGTACAGGATAGTTAGTTGGAGTATGCAACACTACAAACAACACGGTAACCGACGAAGTAGAGCCATGCTGATAGATATCTGGCAAGATCAACAAGCGAACGAACGAGCGACACTTGTAAGTGTAGTTCATACTCATCACCGTAGGTCTACGCAACGACCACTCTGTCTCTCACCTGCTTTATCACGACTGTGTGACAGTGTGACAGGAGATACGGTCAGCTCCTGTTTCAAAAAATTTCATGAGCACTGACATGACTGGAGTCAAGCGATTGCCTTCTTTGTACATACAAAAAAGTGTAGATCTACCAGTCCAGTGTCCATGACATCCAACAGGCAACAGTCATCAACTACGGACTAGACTACTAGTACAGCTTAGCTAACAAGCACTCTCTTCGTTGTCCTATTCAAACAACTGACATAGTGACAGCCTAGCTAGCCAGGCAGTAGGGAGTCTGGCGACTTGAACGGTCCCATCTTTCACTTGTCACCAGGCCATGGGAGGGCAAGAGGAAAGATTGGGAGACAGCAACAAGAACAAAACAGCGGGGATAGTAGGCCGGGCTCCAGGGTAGAGCATGTGCTGGCGAGGCACACCAACAGCACTGGCAGAGCAGGCGCGTAGCACTGCCGTTGGAGATGGTCCCACGGAGGGTCCCCCCTGGGAAAATTTTGAAATAATTATGGTGCAAAATCCTGCATTCTGGGCACTTTTGGCATTGTGTTAAAAAAAGTGGTCCGGCCAAAGCCGGACCGGCTGCTACGCCCCTGCCTCTGCTCTTAGCGCTGGCGCTGTCGTGCGTCTTCACCTTGGCCACAGGTCACGATCCACAGGCCGAGTCCTGACAATACCCCCCCCCCCCCCACACACACACACACACGGCCCACCCCAGCCTCTCCCCAGCCAAGATAAGTGCTACTAGTACTAGTACAGTCATGTAGTATGTATTACCATGGTTACCGGTGTTCATCTACAGACTACACTCTATACACACCCCCACTCAGTGCACCAGACCAGAACATTTAGAATAAACACAATCACACATTTTTCATGACGATTACGTATGGAATCATTGTACATGATTCAGTGTAAGGACTCTCTTAGAATCTGGTCCCGATCAATACTGACATACACCGTACTTGTAAGATAAGCTAGCATCCAGCTCATTGTATAATGATAGGGTGAAGTGATAGCAGCTGAAGTGACAGATGATGGAGAGCCAAGGGACGTGTATCAAGCCATTTTCTCAGCCGATTGTTACCTTACGTCAGCCCTACAACCTGCACAGGGCAGGCCCGTCACTGACGTCTATGCTGGACAACTAATACTTCATTCAGTTGACGCAAGTGACAGACACATGCTGCAGCCGTCATCACCTGCTTGACAGCACAGCCATGCAGTCTCAATGCACATAACAAGCAAGATGGTAAAATCTGACCCTGAGGCATTCCCAGATGCTTAGGTCAAGAAAACAGAGAAAAAAGAAGCACTGGAGTTTGATTCAGACATATCAACAGGAGAGTCTCGGAACTGTTGCAAACCGGTGATCTAACCAGTGATTTTACACATATTGTCAGAACCAATAAGGAATGCCACACATCTACGGTAACATTAGGAGGAGAGTAGAGACATAGGTGCATCCTGAGCGACAAATGAATGCTCATCAGCATGTCCAGTCCTTTCCCTTGGCCTGGACCACACTGTAGCTATCAGGGATAAAGGCCTCACAAGGCCGCATCATGCACGTGCTTCATGAGGCCCGGGGTCTTCTTTCATGTCCTTTTGCAAATTACACAAGCAGCCCTCATTCTGATACACAAGCACACCTCACATGCAACACATGGCATAATTTTAAAGTGAATCACAATACCAAAATGAGATCGGACAATATGCTTGATTTTGTATTTCATTCAAATGGTTCATCTTGAAAAACGAATCGCTGTAAATTGGTTGCCCCAAACATGTCTTCAGAATTTGAAAATATCGATACTCCGATGCGAAACTAGTAGTGCGGCGTTGCAGAACTGCCAGAGAGACCGATGGTGAATAGGGGGAGGTCAACAATGCAGTACCTAGAAGTTTGGTCGTAAGTGGTTTCGACTGGTAGATCCTATCAACAACAGCAGCACAGCAGCAGGAGCGGCGGCGGTGAGGTCAGCCGCAGCGCTGCATGACAGTGCAAACATACAGCAGATCAAGGTGCTCTGAATGGCTGAGACAGCTGGACTAGGGTAATTGGCCAACAGATCTCAGTGGAATATCTAGATAACATGCATGAAACCTCAACGTTACCAAGCAGCACAAACTTGGCAAAGGGATAAATAATCCTCCATCTGTGAAATGTCTAGGATATAATCTGACTCTCGAGTGAGTTCAAGCCATGCTCATGAGCACACCGTGATGCTGTAGAAGTGAGCTCAAGCCATGCTCATGAGCACACAATGCTCGAGTGAGTTCAAGCCATGCTCATGAGCACACAATGCTGTAGATTTCTGCCACATGCATGGATCAAGGACTTTCAAATAGCTCCCTTCCATTGTCATCCTCCTCACTTCGCAGGTACTGCGCAACGCGAGGTAGAATCCTGGAGGAGGCGCGTATGTGACTGTTCATGATCCGGGTGAGCTCCTTGTCAAACGGATCGTAATTCTTGTATGATTGGGAATGGCTACGTTTGTTCACGCCCTGTCTATGATCAATAATACACTGGAAGCGGTCAGCGGGCACCTCCATGTTCAGGAAGTTTGCGATCCTCTGCAGCTCGCCTTTCAAATCCGCCACCAAGTCCTCAAAGTACACAATGTGCACAGGCCTACCGTTACTAACTCCAATCCAGAATGAAACAAGCTTCTCAAAACGACCTCCAATCACCGCCACGTTGTCCTTGAATAGATCTGGAGGAAAGCAATTTCAAACAATCGGAGAAATCAAAAACAGAACATCTTGAACATGTCACAGTGCTACATGTATTATAAACTCTCAATGTATATTCCGTTCCGCCATGGTTGGCTCTGTCTCCTCATCTAAATTGATTAACTTAATTGGCCGTCTTTCGACATGCCAGGAGATGTCACAGTGTCTAATGATAAAAATATAACGTAATCAGTTGCCTGATGATCGTGACTACGTGAAACTCGAAGTTGCAACACAGCCTCCCCTCTCTCACTTGTGTGGATAAAAAGTAAAATAAAAAAATGAAAAATCTCTTATGCTTGCCTGAACAACGGCAGCCAGATAGCCTTTCTTGGATTCAAAAGAAACCGACAGCAGTTCAGAAGTAAGCCCACCTTCGGGAGAGGAGGTTGGGGGGGGGGGGGGCAGTAGAATAAGTCATTTCGAATACTGCCAGAGCTATGTGCAACTACAGGATCCATAAAAATCGACCCCGCATGTGAGTTTTTGCTACGGGTGAAACGAGTCACATGTATATGTATATCAGAGCACTAGCTCGAAAATTTGAAAAGAGCGAGTACTCGTTTCCCAAAAAATACGCTAAGCATACTAGGCACAGCTGGCAACTGGAGGGCAGAATATTTCTGCCCTCCAGTTGCCAGCTGTGGTGTGTGTATGCACGTGTGCACATGCGGACATCCGATGTGTTTTGTGTGTGTGTGTGTGTGTGTGTGTGTGTGTGTGTGTGTGTGTGTGTGTGTGTGTGTGTGTGTGTGTGTGTGTGTCAATCCTTTTTCTGCACCTCGTCCTCACCCACTTACTGAGGTGTGGTGAGCCCATAAGTGGGATCATTTTCAAGTCCACCCAGAGTTTTGGGGATTTCAGGGGGTGTCGGCCGTTGGGCGGTTCAATAACCAATTGAGTCATCTTTCCAAGATTCCTTTTGAGTCTCTCTCCCCTCTCCCGGGGGGGGGGGGGGGGGGGGGGACTCACGTGACCAGTTCTGGCAGTGAGCAACAAGTACAGTACAGTACAGTACAGTGTGTGTTATGTGGTGTATGTGTGTGTGTGTGCAGATGTGTACTCACATGTGTTGTGTGTGCTGCACATGTACATGTATGTGTGTGTGTATAATATTGTGTGTATACGTGTGCACAATATTCATGTGTGTGGTGCCCTACAACCCAATGTAGTATTCCCAAATCAAACTGCTAAAAAATGTTCTTACCCCGTTTCGTTTTAAACATTTCCAGTGCGGCTGCTTCTCGATGGTTTCCCGTGGCTTCGCGGCTAAACTCGGCCTTTGCAGCATCAAACGGATTGCGTAGCAGCAGGATCGTACCTTCGTACTTCAACTCGTCGCCGAGCAGGAGCGAATGCGCCTTGACGACAACAACGGACGCGTTACTCCACGTGCCGCCACCCATACGTGTCTTGGACAGTTTCTCGGCGTATATTGATCCACTGTACACTCCGGTCATCTGCTCAATTAAATAGCGAGTCCAGAAGTTCCCACTCCCCGGAACACTGGTTAGCACTATTATGGGTCTCTTGCGCTGTAAGAATACAGGCTGCACGCACACATGGCCCATCAGTACGTGGTCATTTTCTGAAAACTGCTCACTCGCTGCCTTCATGGTCATTGCGATCCTGTCCCGCTCGGTCACACGTGGCCAGGACACCTCTTTGCCATGATTCCATACCGTAATGGGATGCAGCCTCCGGGGTGGCGAGGACCATGATGACTGTTTCCAGCCGAAAACAAACACAGTTATCACGACGATCGCCGTGCACGTCAATACGGCTCTCGGCTTCACTGCATCCAGGCTAAATGGCATGGCAGCGGCAGATAGAGTAACATTACCGGTACTAGCAACAGCACGCTGCCATTCTACACTTGGCTACTGACTACCGGACACTATCGTGGTCAATGACAAACGAACCGTTTGCACACATCTTCCTTCAGGACGATGCTGCTGCTGCCACACGAGAAAATAGTGAGCTGGCCCTGCTGTAGACCTACCAGTCACCTGTGCAGCTGCTGACTTGCAGCTGCGCAGCGAATAAAGCTACGATGCAGCCTTTGCTTTGCTTTGCAGAAAGCACCAAGATAAAAATATTTATACCTTTCGAGTTCGGGAGCCAAATTACATCCAGGATAGACGGATTCTGCTGAGCAGTTGGCGTAGATATCTGTGCACGAGTGATGTCAAGCGATTTGTTTAGCGACCCGTAACACGGAACACCTAGATCAGTCTGCGCTGCGCGCGCTTCGCAGATCTACCATACACACAGGACACCTCTTTATAATAGAGAGGTTCTGCAAAACGAAAATGTGTACGAACTTTCGCTCTACGTCACAAAGTGAGAAACTTCGCACGAACTTTCGCAACTTTGGACGCGAAACTTGCAGGGAACGCGAAATGAACTTTCGTAGGAAGTTTCGTGAGATCGGATCATGGCGTACGTGCACTTGGCGCATGCAAACTACGAAAATGTGCAGAACACAAAGTTCGTGCGAAAATTCGTACACATTTTCGCAAGACCTGTCGCGAAACTTCGTTCGAATTTTCGTTGTGCAGAACCTCTCTAATTATTTTAATTTGCTTCGTCGCGACTTCTTGCACAACTACTGCCTGCAGCCTGGCATTGTGTATTTGTGGCAAGTGGCAGTCGACAAGTAGTTACATTGTACTTGCGACGCGTGTTAGACAATCATGCAGAGCATGCGATCATCTGATCATGGGCCATGGCCACTCACCATGCATGCTCACTGATTCAGTCAGAAATCGTGTCACGTCTAAAGAATGCAGCTGAAGAATGACGTGAACCTTACAAAATAAAAATACAAGATGTAGATGACATCTACGTGGTGTCTACCCGTCACTCAGCGTCACGTCGACAGGGAGGAAAGTAGTAAAAATACAACTCCCTGCTACCGGTATACCCGTAGCCGTACCCGGGCCGTAGTGACATTAGTAGTAGTACTAGTAGTAGTGACCGTACCATGGTGACCAGTCAGGCCTTGTTCATGTTGTCAGTTGACGTCTACTACTACTAGTAGTAGTACAGTAGTAGTACTACTACCGTACTAGTACTAGTAGCGATGGCATGGCCGCCGGCGCAGCATGGAGCCAGGACTCAGGAGTCAGGACTGGTGATTTTCCAGACTCTACGGCCAGACGACTCACATCACGAATAGCCGAAAACCTCTGCTGGCCCTAGCCCCTCTCTGGATCATGTGCATGATGTGGATAGCTTCTGGCCGTCTCGGTCATCCCATACATGTACATGTACCCATGGCCCTAAGGGGGGGGGGGGCGATGATGTGCAAGAGTACCTCGGCTCGCTCACTGTCACTGACGCTCAGGCATGCAAAGACTCAATTAGTTACTAAGTCTAATCTTAGTTGCAAGGACGGATTGACAGCGTGTGTCTGTCGCCAGTCTGTCATGCTCTTCGACTACTGTAACTGAGTACTACTACTAGTACTACAGTACTACTTACTACTAGTACTAGTACTAGTACTAGTAGTAGTAACCTCAACTCAAGCTAGCTGTGTGTGCTTGCGACACCCGGACCAGACTCCAGAGTCCAGAGGCAGGCTTGCCGCGCCGCTGGGCAAAGACAGTAGTACTAGACGGTGCATGCTTGCGTGGACGTCTGGCGATGATGCCTGTACAGCTGTGCACCGCTAGCGCTCTCCCCTGACTGACTCAGTGACCATGGTGACTGTACTAGTACTAGTGAGACAACAGCGCTAGTGCCCGTACTAGTGCGAGTAGTGGTGCTGTGCCGGTCCAAGAACTAATTATTTTTTATTATGATCTGAATCACACAGCACAGGGTTTTCACGACTCCTAGACCTAGACCTGATAATTAAAAGTCCCTGGTACTGTACTGCCTCTCTCTACCAGACTCTAGTCTAGTACATAGTCATTATGTGATATAATGAAGCATATTAGTTTACTAGTATTAGTATTACGATTACGGATCTACACCACAGCCAGTCTCGCCACCATCATCGCACTGACACTGAGTCTGACATTCTGTACTGGAGCTGGAGGGCCCCGCCCGGGAGGATATCACCATGGAGATCATGATCGCTGACTTCGCACGCGCAAGCCGGGTCATCATCATGATCATGATTCCATGAACCTTTCCTGGCTTGAAAAGTAATTAAATTAGTTTAGTCGCACATCTGACTGCAAAATCCCCACAACACAGCTTACCAGACCAAGGTGTGGGTCCTCTGCACTCAGCTCAGTAGAGTCAAGTCGAGCGAGCTGCAACTCCCGGCGCCGAAAGGCGGGCTCACGCCCCGACACTAGGCTACATTATACATAACCATGATAACAAGGCTACTTCCCCTTGTCTAACCCACAAGACGAAAATGATAGTAGTAGTAATTAGTTCTAGGCACTTCAGTCACGTGACAGGACCTGTCAAAATTTGCTAAGGTGAGAGTGCGTACTGTACTTGCGTGGCACCAGTCAAGTGCATGCGCAAAACTGTACAGGTACGCGCTATGCTTCGTTGTACGGGCTGATAGTTGGGCGCATCGTGTTGCTCTGACGTTCAGCTTTCAGTAGATCCCGCATACGTCATAGTGCGTACATTTTTTGCGAGTTGTAGATCACGTACACTACCGGTAAAGAGTTTTTCACAAAGAACTGTTGTTTGCTCGCGTTTGAAACGCTGCCTATCGTCTTCAGCGTCGTCTTTCCATTCGGAAACAGTAGAGTTCTTGTTTACCAGGGCTTGCGCATCGCTGCGCAAGGAGACATTATGTACGTAGGCACTGAGAAGTATGCGCTTTAGGCGGAGGAGAACGACGATGCGTCGTCCTACCTGGGCGAATTCTCAAAGCGTACTGAAAGCCAAGTTTTGACACGGTTGCGCTGAAAGGCCTACTGATGTTTACGAACAATCAAAAAGCACAGTGGCTGCTGGAGAAACCCTCTGATGAGGGGATGCTTTGATATACGCAGCCAGGTACGCTTCACCAAAATTTCAAAGCTCACCAGCAGGCAATTCATGACTGCTGCATGGAGCAGTTGAAGGAGAGGGAGGCAGATATCACACCATGGAAAGAAGCTACCAACAGAGGTCCTGAGGAACTTCTTGCCAATTTGGAATCACTTGAGATGGCATGACTGTGGGCACGAATGTCCTGTGCAGCAATTCGCGCGCGCGCGCTTACCCTCCACGTTGCGGTGTACGGCGTACAACGAGGAAGTTGTGTGTTGTTTTTGTGCCAGAAGAATGTCTTTATAGCTCTTACGCTTTAGTACCCGCAGGAGCCTGCCAGTATGTCGTTATCAGTTCATTTCACAGCAAACTGAAGCTGTTACTATGGGTTACTATGGCGTTGCTATGGGTTGCTATGGAGTTGCTATAGTGATTGCGGTCACAATTGCCGTATTCTTGCCTATTCTGAACTTTTATCTGTATTGTTTCGATCCATACAGGGTTGTTGGTGTGAGTGAGTGATGTGTGCTTGAAAAAAACACTCTGATGTTTTGTGACTATATCCACTGATGATACTTCGGAGATGCTGTTGGTGCCACAAATTGTATTGATTTCGCCTTATGCAACTGCCTATCTTCAACCCTTCATATCTGAGTGGTATCACTGTGGATTTCAATAAAATTTTCTGTGTGACCTTGTGATACCCACCACCATCGATTACCGATGATAAACCTGGAAAAAACGCGATTTCAAAAAATGGGGTGAAGTGCCTGTCTGTGGCGTCGAAGTGCAGTACCATTCCGCAGCCTAGCCATGTGCAACACTGCCATGGGCTGTGAACTGGTGCGGGGCGCAAACGTACTTGACTCACGCACACAACGGCTTCATTGAGCCGCAGTATATTATTATTATACAATACCATCATATTTGCCGTAGTGTAGTTGACAAGGTTAGCACGTCGTTCAGGGGAGTGGCTGACACTCCGTCTTTCTGTGTCACGGAATACTCTACTACTACTACTACTGCTGTACATTGTAGTTTTCTTCAAAATGAATGGCCCGAAACTACCCCTTCTCGAAACTTTACTTGTAGCGAGGTGCCAACGTAATTACTTCTTGCAACATTTCTGACCTTAGTTCGTAGTTTCAACCCTCGAGCTTCACTGTCAGCTCTCGTCTTCAATTAACAGGGTGATCACTACTGTAGACCCATGGCGATCCAAGTCAGAAGACTGGCTACCAGTGCTGTTTCAGGAGTGTTCCTTGTGTTCCTTCTGCTGGGAAGGTTTCCGCAGAATGGCGCTGCCAACACAGTCAACACGACCACGGGTCCTGTGTCCGGCAAATCTGCCATCGTGGAAAGCAGAAAGGTACGTCACGGACGATGTTCCTAATTTCCTATCGCTATTGAACAAGATAAATACGCCACCTACAGGTACATGTTCATCACTCGGGTACATCGTAGCAGCTCAGTCCATGTAGTCCATGTAGTGCGCTGAGACAGTGAGAGCTCACACACCCGGGTAACAGTCACTCAGCCAGTGCAGGCTGGTACTTTACTACAATGATTATGTACAACTAGCAGCACCCCCGCCAGCGTTGCCTGGCCGAATGTGGCATGCGGGTGAAGCAAGTACATGAACAGCACACGTGCTCAGCACGTGGTGGTGGCCAGACCGCTGAAGTCCTGGTGAGGGAGGTTCTTCATCGTTGGAAGGAGAAGGAGGGACGTCTGTTACGCCTTCGGGAGGCTGGTCAGGGTTGTCCATCACCTAGCACCTGGTGGCGGATGAAGCGGCTCAAAAAATTCATAAACTTACGACCAAAAGTGCGATGCGCTCTTCACCGCAGATCAGATGCAGAGTGCAGTCAGTGCAGATCTTTTGTATCCTTTTGTTGCAGATATCAGATGTTTCTATTTGCAGAGAACGGTTCACGTGGTCCGCAGCGCTTGTGCGGCTGCTAGTAGTGCTACCTATGGCCTAGGCATAGGCTAGGTGGCTACATGATTCGCACCCTTCGCGTGCTCAGTGCTTCTGCGCGCGGCTGCTACTGCTACTCGTACTGATCGTGTCTGCTATGTATAAGTATAAGCGCTACCACCGGCCGTACCTACACTGTTCGCACGCTTCGCGTGCTCAGCACTTGGTGGTGGCTACACGATTCGAACGCTTCGCGTGCTCAGTGCTTCTGTACTGTGCCTGTGGCTGCTTCCGCTAGCTACACGATTCGCACGCTTCGCGTGCTCAGTGCTTCTGCGGCCGCTAGCTACACTGCACTGTGCTACACTGTTCGCACGCTTCGCGTGCTCAGGGCAGCGCTGCTCCGCAGCGCTTCAGCGTGACACAAAAACACACGTCACAGGTGCCTCTTCTTTATAAGGAGCGTGACACACACACACACACAGACACACGTCACAGGTGCCTCTCTTTTATAAGTAAAGATGTAGCAGATAGATGGTGCAGGCAGTAATAATACATGCAGTAATAACACCCAGTGAAAGATTTGTACATTGATATAATCAGTTTACGTAACCAGGCGCGTCCGCCGGTGCCCTTCACGGGGAGAGGTTCCGGGGGGTCTCCCCCGGAAAATTTTCAAAAAATGAAGCAAAATCCTGCATTTTGAGAGAAAAAAGGGGGGTTCCGGGCACCCAGGAACCTATACGGGGCACGCGCCTAGTAACGTAGTCTCTGTGTCCTTCTAGTTCTAATCTAACCACTCCAGTACATACACGACCATATCCAAGAGTCAGACACTATCATTCATAGTCGTGCAGCCTTTGTTAACAGATCTCAGTAGAATGATGGGATCATGGTGAAGGTCCATCAACTTAGTAAAGTAATAGTTTGCAGCTCCTGTGAGGCCCAGGCCCAGGTCATGTGCGTGTAACGTGCCCTCCTAGTCCTACTCAGTACTGACCGGTATTCATGCCAGAGCATGCAGATCTGGGCCTCGGTCTGGAAATTGCAGAACTACTGCAATGGGAACCAATGGTAACAGCAGATTTGTATACAAGAAGTGAATCATGACGTGACGTGATACCAATTTATACACCAACAGAATTGATGACTCGGCCTATAGCTAGGCTTCTTCTTCTCAAGATGCAAGATGCAAGATGCAGCTGTAGCTAAGTTACTGTACTCAGTAGTGGCTTTTGTCGGCCAATGAAAGTATGACTATGGTATCGGTCATGGGTGAAGCACCACAGTTTCTCAGGCCGTGACAGTTATCATGGTTAAGGCACACAGATATTAGGGTGTTGTGTGCCGAGTGGTGTGCCTGACGATGATTCCAAATTCCGCATTACCCACTCCTGCATGCGCAAATAGAGAACACCAACAAATGCTGTGCCTCCAAAACTTCGGGGAGTGAAAGCACCATCGGGCAGTCTGTAGAAAGTGTAAGACAGTGCCTGAATGCCCATTTCCTCTTCATTGCAGGTAGACAGTTACCAAGGTATTCCGTACGCTGTTCCTCCTGTTGGCAAGCTGCGCTTTCAACCACCTCAGTACCCACATCCGACCTGGGCGGCTGTGCTGGATGCCACAAAGCAAGGTCCAAGCTGCATTCAGCACTTGGAGAGTCAACACATACCAGGTGAACTACATGTCATAGCAAGCGTACAGTCATAACTGTTTATGTACTCTTTTGTTATAGTCACTGCATGCTGTAGACAGTGAGCTGTTTCGGCCATAACTTAACATCCTCATCAGTACAGCTACGAGCTTTAAAGGGGAAGTTAAGGCAAAAATTAAAATTTCACCAGTTGTAGTCTTCGGGGTGCTGAGTCGAATGGTCTTGGTCCGAGGAAGCTGAGACGCTCCCTTCCTACTTGAATCCCAATCGAACTCGCGCACTTCCACCGAAACTGGGTGACTGCGCCCTACTAGATGGGGATTTGTATGCAAAATGTCACTAAAAGCGCCATTTCGTTCTTATAAAAGCACGGATGACCGCGATTGGCCCATATGTTGTAATCTTTTGGACGCTGAGTCGACTGGTTTTGGTCCGAAAAGGCTGCGATGCAGCGTTCCTCCTTTATTCCCAATCGAACATGGTTGAAGAAGCGGTCACGTGCTCCTGGGTGCCCAAATCACCTGGTCACCACGCCAGCAGGTGACAACTTTCACACCAAGGTTCAACTCGAGTTCAACTCGAGTGACAGGACTGCACCCAAAAAAGGTCAAACAGGCTAGTAAGTTGTACCCTGCAGGCACGGTGACCAGGTGACTGGTGTACGCAGGAGCACGTGACCGCTTCTTCAACCATGTTCGATTGGGAATAAAGGAGGAACGCCGCATCGCAGCCTTTTCGGACCAAAACCAGTCGACTCAGCGTCCAAAAGACTACAACATATGGGCCAATCACGGTCATCCGTGCTTTTATAAGAACGAAATGGCGCTTTTAGTGACATTTTGCATACAAATCCCCATCTAGTAGGGCGCAGTCACCCAGTTTCGGTGGAAGTGCGCGAATTCGATTGGGATTCAAGTAGGAAGGGAGCGTCTCAGCTTCCTCGGACCACGACCATTCGACTCAGCACCCCGAAGACTACAACTGGTGAAATTTTAATTTTTGCCTTAACTTCCCCTTTAAGTAAGCCGAGTTGCCAGCCATGGTGCAAAAGTTGCACCACAGACATTAAGACAACTTGTTGCTCTAGTGCCAGAGTGCTCTAACTATGAATTTCCCATTTCGCTAGCAATGGTACATTGTGACGGGAAGTGGGAGTTGTGCTAGGAGCTGAGAGCGAGATATAACAGTGTATTGCCTATGATGTCATAAATATTTCCACTCAAATCCAACCGGAACTTCACAGCATGCAAAAAATAAAATCACGAAACCACATCAGCAAAGTTGCCTTTTTTTGTGAAGCGAGACTATGCATGTGATAGGAAAAGGAACTATATCCAAATGATTACGTATGAAATAACCACCTACACTCAATGGGAGGGCGGGTGGGGCACTGTTATATCTCGCTCTCAGCTCCTAGCACAACTCCCACTTCCCGTCACAATGTACCATTGCTAGCGAAATGGGAAATTGCGCATCGGAGCTTCAAGCTTCGATATAACAGTGTATTCTTCAAAGCGGACAGAACAAACAAAGCCCACGTGGGATAAGCATACTCATGCCCAAGCATGGACAACATTGAAGTATGAACCGTCATTGACAATGACTTGTGGAGTCACGGGACAGGCCCCAGCCTAATCCCCGGAGCTGAGAACGGCTGCACTGTAAGTGGCCGCTGCCGCTGATGCCGGTGCTACGTCCCGGTGGTAGAAACGGTGGAAGGTTGACGCACGCTTCCAGTCAGCTGTATCCATGATCACGGTCGTCGACACTCCGGCTCGAGCTGCCGCAGATGCGGAGGCCCCGCGAGTTGAGTGGGCGGAGAAATCAGAAGTGCTGATTCCGGCCTGTGAAAGTACGTCCTTCAGCCAACGGGCCACGGTCGGTGAAGACTCCGGCTTGTGTGGCTTCCGGAACGACACCAATAGGGATGGCGAGGCGTTGTCCGCCGTACGCCACGATGCGGAGCGCGCAATGTACGCCAACAAATGCTGCACCGGACAGAGCTCCGGTACCGGAAAAGGTGCGAAACACACTTGCTGGAGAGGCTCACCAGAACGCTGTGTCTTCCTTGGGCGCAGCAAGGACAAACGGATAGAACCATCCGATGTTTGGCAGAGGTGGTGAGACAGCATCCGCAGTTCTCCACAGCGATGAGCACCGGCCAGCGCCAGGATCATGGTCAAACGTAGAGTGAGCTGCTTATCGGAAAGCTCGGCTGCCGGCGGCCAGGAGCGCAGCATATCAAGCACCATTTGCACATCCCAGGTGAATGCATACCTTGGCTGCGGAGGACGTAGGTTGTAAACGCCCTTCAGCAGTCGAGACACTGTGGGGTGACTGCCTACCGCTGCTCCATCCATTGGAGGCAGGACCGACGACAGAGCTGACCGGTATCCGGACAGAGTCCGGAATGCCCGTCCATCCTGAAACTGGTCCGCGAGGAAGGCCAATATCTGGTTTAGAGCTGGTCGAGTCGGATCCACCTGCCGTCCACCACACCAGCGACTCCAGCATGTCCAAGCGCTGTCATAGTGACGTGCCGTGCTCGTCCGCCAGGAGGCGAGCAGGAGGTTGGACACCTGATCCGAAAATCCTGACAGCGCGAAGGAATTCCGGAGATGGTCCACGCGACCAACAGCAGCTTGCTGTCGACAATCAGGGGGTGCTGTTCGCCCAGAGGACCCTCCACCAGGTTGGGCCAACATGGGAGCAGAGTTGGAGAGCTGGTGGCCACTTGCAGCAAAGCCGGGAACCACGTTGCTCCCCGCCATAGCGGAGTCACTAGCACGAGCTGAGGAACCTTCTGCATCTGCACTTGCCGGATCACCCTGCCGACCAGCGAGAATGGGGGAAATGCATACGCGCTCATTCCTGCCCAGTCCAGGGAGAAAGCATCCGTAGCCATTGCCTTGGGATCCGGGTGCCAGGACACAAATGTTGGTGTCTGAGCATTGACTCTGGAGGCAAACAAGTCGATACAGCAACCACCCAAAGAGCCGCGAATCCACGAGAAGACTTGAGGGTGGAGACGCCACTCCGAAGAGCTGTGATGGCGTGACCAGAAATCGGCGATCGTGTTGAGCGCTCCCGGGATATACTCGGCACGAAGGGTGATCTGTCGATCGAGACACCACTGCCAGAGATCTGTTGCCACTGAGTTGAGAATCTGACTGTGTGCTCCACCCATGCGGTTGACATAGGCGACCGCTGTTTGATTGTCCATCTGCAGCAGAATATGGCACTTCTGAGCATGACGAGCAAAGCATTGCACTGCAAACATCCCGCCAGGAGTTCCAGGACGTTGATGTGTAACTTCGCTTCCTGCATCGACCAGCGACCGCCCGTCGCCTGGCCTGCACAAACAGCACCCCAGCCGCCGCCCCCGCCATGGGAGGCGGCATCGGAGGCAATGATGAGGGCTGGTGGATCCAGACGTACCGGCCTCCCATTCCAGGTGTCGAGGTACTTCACCCACCAAGTCAGATCGGCACGGGAGTCGGGGTTGAGAGTGATGGCTGTCTCCCACGACATGTTCCGGCGCCGAGCCGAGTTTTTCTGTGCCTGGAGGGCACGCAGGTGTAGAGGTGCTGGGGCTACCCCCGGCCATGCGGAGGTCATCATCCCGACAATGCTGGCCAGCTGTCGAATGGAGATTCCTGGCTCCGCCAAAGCGTCCCGGCAAGACCTGAGTATCTTCGTCCGGCGCTCGTCTGATATCTGAATTGTCAAGGAGACCGACCTCACTTGAAATCCAAGGAAGGTCATCTCCTGAGCGGGAACCAGTACAGATTTCTCGAAGTTCACGATAAATCCGAGGCCGCAAAGAAGATGGATAGCTGAAGCCGTGTAGACCAGCGCTGCTTTGCGCGATGCTGCCAGGATCAGCATGTCGTCCAGATAGATGATTACACGAATGCCAAACTGCCGAAGTGTAGTCACGACTGGGTGCAGAATCTTTGTGAATGCCCAGGGGGCCACAGACAGACCAAATGGCAGGCACTTGAACTCGTATCTCGTGCCTTGCCAGAGAAATTGCAGGAATCTCCTGTCGTCCTGCGCAATCGGCACTGTCAGATACGCATCCTTGAGATCGATTTTGGTCATATAGTCCCCCGGCTGGAGAAGATCGCGCAGGGAATGAATGCCCTCCATCTTGAAATGGTGGTAGGGCAGGAAGCTGTTCAATATCCTCAGGTCGACAACAGGCCGCATCTTCCCGCCTGCTTTCGGAACCACAAACACGGCACTCGCGAATCCTGGCGGCTCCCAGGAATCCACACTCCTGACTGCCTCTTTCTCCAAGAGAGACTGAACCTCCTGAGACATGGCTTGTTGCTCGGAGGCGGACAAGGGTCGGGAGCTGGGCACGCTGTTCTGGGTAGGCTGCGGATGGAGTTCGAGGTGGTAACCTTGAATAGCTCTGAGAATCCAGGGATCGGCAGACAGCTGCCTCCACTCGCTGGCGAAAAGGGCTAGGCGACCCCCGAGGGGCAAAGCCCAGTCCTGCGCCGAGACAGCGAACCGCATCCACCAGTCTGGCAGCAATGACTCGGCGACCCAGACCTCCTCCGGCACTAACATTTGCACCGCTGGAGGGAGGAAATGGCTTAGGAGCGGCCCCGCTTTGCTGTGTAGCTGGTGTTCGCTCCTTGCCCGTCCTGCTGCCTGGTCGGGGGGAGCATCCGACCTCGGTTGGCATAGCCCCGACCTGCTGAGCTGTACTGGGTCTGATTGTACGGGCTGCTGTAGGGCTGGTACCGGGAGCCACCGCCGTACCTGCTGACCCCGGCCCCTCGAAAAAACTGGCGTCCACCCGCTGGTGGTCCTCCAGAGCCAGACTTGCTGGTGCTCGGCTTCGGGGGAGCTCGAGCGTCCTTATATTGTTTGACCACCAAGCCCAGAGCCTTTTGGGACTCCGCCTTGGATTGGATGCGGTCCATCAGCTCTGGGCCGAATAGGGCCGTGCCTGCCTTGTCGAAAGGCTCCTCCGCCATAGGAACAAGGCTCTTGTCCAGGTGTTCCAGGAACTCCTGACGCCTCAGCACGGATATCTTGTTATTGGCGTTGCCCAGAAGGGACAAACCAGCCGGCACCATATCCAACACTGCTTGCGGATCCAGGCCTGTGCCAGCGTCCTGCGCTGCCCTGGCTTCCATCATTAGAGCAGAGAGGGGACCTAAACAGTCCAATACATTGCTCTGCAGCGAGTACAAGGTGTTGTCTCGCGACTTCTTGAAAGACTGCCGAACACCAGGCAAATTCATCACTTCTTGGTCCAGCTTCGGTGTGACCGCCACGTCCACCTCAGGCCGGGGAAACTGTTCCACCAGGTCCCTGCGCTCCTTGCTTTTCAAGGGTTTCCTGAAACGAGTTTGCAGGAACTGCTTGATCTCTGAGGACACCGGAGCATGCTCCGGGTCCTCTGTGCTTACGTCCACACACGAGGGTGCCTGCCCACTCGTGGTGTCGTGCAATTCAGCGTCACTCGAGCAGGCCTGCCCACTCGAGGAGCTAGGTGGAAGTAACAAACTTCCACGAGATAAACCAGACTTGGGCCTGCCCAAGGAACTGGCGATCTCCTGAGATTGAGTGCCTGCACCCAACCTGGAAACTTCGGAATCCGATTCCCTGGATCGCGAGGACTGGCCCTCGGCCAGGCTCGGTCCACCTTCCAAAACACGCAAACGATCATTGATAGGACCAAGGAGGTCTAAACTTGACGGCTGACGAAACAGCTTGACGGATCGTGTTTTCGTCCATTTCTAATCGCGAGAGAAGAAGAGCCAAGATTTACTAATCACTTCGGTCGAGCGGAAATAAAAAAGGCAACTTTGCTGATGTGGTTTGGTGATTTTATTTTTTGCATGCTGTGAAGTTCCGGTTGGATTTGAGTGGAAATATTTATGACATCATAGGCAATACACTGTTATATCGAAGCTTGAAGCTCCGATGCGCAACGGTAGCGAGCAATGCGTAATGCAGCAGCACTAAAGCAGCCTACCAAGAATGCTCGACAAGACAAATGTCGAGGAGCGAGATACACTAGTTATCACATACAACAGCAGCCACCCTAGTTAATAATTATACAAATCACAGTGAGTACACCATTACAATGATTGTAATGGTGGACTCACTGTGGAGCGTGTACATGCCATGTACACGCTCCACGTGTTCATGTTGTTTCTCTAGGTAGCACGGTTCTGTTAGTATGGCTCTGGATAGTATGGTTCTGCAGTGTGCACCACAGCGAGAAAGAGATGCTCTGCCATTGGTGCCCAGCCATTTAGCTTACACCACCCGCATGGTCGTTAGAAGCGGTGCTGCTGCCCCACCGGGGGAAATCACTGAACACAGGGTTTACTGGACTCAATCGAATACACGTTTATACTAGTATTCCATGTGCAATGCCTAAGACCAATCAATGCAGCCAGTAACGTTACCGGTACCTGGTTTCCCCTACCCATGGATGCAGGTGTAACTAATGAAGACTGTCTATTCATCAACGTCTTCTCGCCGCAAATCATCGGCAATGTAAGTCCACCAGGCTGCATAGTAGGCCAGTAACATCACGGGGTCTGTTGTGGCCCGGGTGCAATAGAGCCAGACAATGCAGCATTCATTTCCCATATTTTGCCTTGCGTTCACGGTGCCCCTAATGGTTCACACAAATCTATGTATTATTTCACCTCACGGCATTTTGAGTATCTATATAATATTGTGTTACTTGTTGATTTAGGTTTGCCAGTAAATCCTTCGGAAGAGATGGCAACGGAAACGTTTTTAAACGTTTCCGTTGCCTTAAAAGGATACTTAACCTGTGCGAATGGTGTGTGTATTGAATGCGCAACTAATTGTGTTGATTACAAATCTATGTGGAGTAAATAATTCAAAGAACAGCAGATGTTGAAGTATTATACAGGCTGCATTAAGCATTGTACATGAACTGCTTTCGAGGGTTGTGTACGTTAGTTCTGTGATAAAATCAGATTTGTTCTCCCCGCTGCTTGCAGACCTCATCATTGCCGGTAATGCTGTGGATATATGGCGGTGGATTTCGTGACGGTTCCAGTGCATTGTATCCTGGCCTGACGTTGGCAGCGCTCGCTAATGTGGTTCTTGTGACCTTCAACTATCGCGTTGGCGCCCTGGGATTCTTCTCGTCTCCAGCTGATAGCATACCGGGCAACATGGGACTATTGGATCAGTTAGCAGCCATGCGGTGGGTCAAGGACAACATAGCGCACTTTGGCGGCGATCCGTCAAGAGTCACTATCTTTGGTGAATCAGCCGGTGGTGCTTCAGTCGCATTGCATCTGCTCAGCCCAAAGACGCAGGGCTACTTTGTGCATGCCATTGCCGAGAGTGGCTCGTCACTGTGCCCCTGGGCATGTCAACTTCCAAAGCATGCCCGTGAAGGAATGGTGGCGTTCGCCGAGCAACTCCGCTGCACAACTGTAGAGGGCATCAATATGGACTGCCTGAGAAATGCCTCTGCCGACACAATACTCTCCGTGCAGAGTGCAGTCTACGCAGAATGGGAGACAATGAATCGAAACGCACCATTCATTCCTGTTGTAGACGGAGATTTCCTGCCACTAGACCCAGTTACCGCTCTGCAGACAGGGCATTTCCAAAGTAAAGTTGAGGTACTGACTGGTGTTAACCATGACGAGTGGTCGCTGTTTCTCAAGAAGCACTTTGAAAGCAACCCAGCACTGAATGAGTCCGCATACAATGTGTCAATCCAGCGGTACACGGAACGTGGCTTCTGGGGGTTTCCCAATGTGACGTCCAGTCCAGCCATTACCGAGGCAGTGAAGTTTGCCTATACAAACTGGACAGATCCGGAATCGGATGAGGCCCGCCTGCAGCAACTCATAAAAGCCGGAACTGACTTTGCCTTCATTTGCCCAGCGCAAGCAGAGGTAGACTATTGGACTGCATCGAGTGGAGGTGCAGCGGCGGCTGCACCCACGCTCTACATGTACCAGTATTCGCATGCTGATGGCTTCTCTCCAAGCTGGGCAGGAGTACCACATGCTGCAGAGGTATAGTCTTTTTTAAACATCCTGGATATGAAGTATGAACAGGCGAATCCAACAGGGGAATGGAACACGTAACACGTCGGATATCGGACACCTGTGTGTGTGTGTGTGTGTGTGTGTGTGTTCTTGTGGATGCGTGTATGCACCGTTCTAAAACACGTACTCTTTGACGTACTCCTTTATCCCGGATGGATTATACTTGCATGCAATTCATTATGATAATTATGTGTGTAACACCTGATCACTGCTTTTGATGAGTATGTGCATCACGGTGCAGTACAAGTGACTAGTAGGTTAAAAACTGCTTCGGCCTTTGCTTTTGTACTTTCACTGCAATCCTACTGTACTACAGGTTCCATATGTGTTTGGCCTGCCACTGGTACTACCTTTTGAAGCAGACAGTGAAACCAAATCTCTGATGGACGGGAGAGCACAAGCCAGATTGCCAATCTACACAGTCGCGGACAAAGATGTCAGCCGCAACATCATCAGCCTGTGGAGTGCATTTGCTTGGAACGGGTAAGCCCACGCATGGTAGAGCATCACAGTACTTCTCTTGGCCGTCTGCAGAATGAATGCTGTTTGCATACCTTTTTGATAGTCTCTAGAAAACTGCAAGGCGGTTGACTACCAACGTCGTTCTACAATAATTATGATTTACTGATTTCCATCCACTTCTGAACAGTTATTGGTTTCTTTATTTATGGATTCCCCAAAGGCCGAGGCCTAAGTCGAGGGGGTCTCCGTTCATGGCTTACTGGGAATATATCTGCAATGGTTTAGAGTGTGTGATGGGAGTGTAAGTATAAGTCTTGGCGTACGTAACAGATATGCACTGTCTACCCCGTATGATACACACGCCCCAGATATGTTGAGCTAGACCACCGTTGAGCTAGACCACTGTTGAGCTAGACCACCGTTGAGCTAGACCCGGTAACCGTGACAATGCAAATGGCGGATTGTAAGTTATGACTGTGGTGTTATATTGCCATCTTTTGCTTCCAGCAATCCATCAAGTGGCCTACCCCATAACTCCAAGATCACACAATGGCCGGTGTACACACCCAAGACAAAGCAGTACCTCAACATTGACACAGAGCTGACCGTGTCCAGTCATCTCCACGCCGACAAGTGTGCGCTGTTTGCACGTCTTGCTCCATATCTGCATGAGAACTGCCCAGGAAAGTGACACTGTGAAGAATTGAGATAGACTGAACATTATGCTTCTTTTGTACCATTACTGGCTTTAGAGAGTAGTGTCCACATCTTTCTGGTCATGTGACACCACTGTTTTTTTGTATAAAGTGATCATGGCATGTGGACGGTGGAATAAATATGGCTGACATCATGTGACCCTATAGATGCAAGCATGGAGCCCTACACATACACACGTATGGTATGTGTAGGGCTCCCTGGATGCAAGGGTTTACTGGAGTTGGGACCAACATGGCTATCCAGTATGGTTATGTGATGGATGTGAAGCCGCTATAATTCATTTTCATGGCTCTCTCTCTCCCCCCCCCCCCCCACACACACACGCACATCAACAAAAGTGTTTTCGGGAAGTTCAAAAATTCGTTATCTAGATACCTTGTCCAGTTCCTCTAAAACCCTTCTTTTTTCCCTTGGATCATTCCAAAGTATGAACATCGTCGCCAACAACTATATGTATGGGATTATTCCTTGACGTTGTGGCAAACAGTGCTTCCCCGTTTGCAATTTTTCTGGAGGTTTTGCAATGTGCAGGACACCAAACTTGAATCATTTTCATAGTTCACAGCTTTTTACTAAGGGTGAAACGACTACTAGTATACCGAATACTCGCAATAGTATTCATTACAAGCTAACGAATCGATTATTCGAAGCGTTTCGATTACTCGATTATGCATACAGCATTATTGATTATACACGTATGATTGTAGATCGGCCGATGTGCGAGAAAAATTCTCTTCTCCACAGGGTCAATTTTAAAATTCTAAATTTTCGCATTTTCAGCTTCTATTATAAATAAGGCTTTTATCTGTGGAAGAAATAATCGAAAAATAACCAATAATGGATCGATAAAGGTGTAGGTTATTCCGTAGTCAAAAAAGTGTAAACGTTTCACCCTTACTTTTTACCCAGAGCCCCAAGGGCTTTTTCCATACACGGATTTTTACGTACATGCGTAAGTATGCTGATCACGGATTTCCTTCACGGGTTTCCTTCACGGGTTTCTTTCTGAGAGCGGAAGGGAGGGTATTTCAACATTCTGCTCCTAGATAGCATTGGAATAAAAACCAAGCCTGGAAGGGCATGCGTGTGCCATAGCATCAGCATGTTCCCATCAGAAAGAAAGTGGAAGCGGATCAGTCTGGGTGAGGCCATGAGACCCCTGGGACAGGAAGTTCCAGTCAAGCGGTTGGCGGTCCATAGCGGATCTGCAGTGTAACCTGGTCGAGAGACAGTGCCCGAGTCTGCTCAGGTTTCAGCCACCACATGGTCTCTGTAAGACTGCCCGTGACCATTCTTTGCCCATCGAATGTTTTGAATGTCCAAGACTACAGCTGGTTTCAGTGAATCAGTGACCACCGGGCCACAGCCAAAGAGCACAATATTCCAGCCTCATTGGCTCAGTGGTCGCTGAAAGCGGACTTCATCTCTGAGTCACTACAGACAGTGGTTGGTGTACACACTCTCATTGGCTTTGCAGAACTCCTTGATCTACTCCACACATTGCACCAGGAGAATGATTATGATTGTACGGTGCTATTTCCTGCTAGAGACTGTGACGACTCAGGGAGAAGACCACCACCAGGGAACATACCACCAAAATGACTATGTTTTGTTACCCGTTTCCATTCCCAGCTTTGCGGTGGTGCGGTGCAGCCAGGTACGATGTGATGGTATGGATCTTTTGCTAGCTACTAGTATCATGAACAGTTGAACACTGTCAAACACAAGCACTTTGGCAGCGTCCAGGGTACACTACCGGTGTAACTCTGTTACCACTACCACTAGTACTAGGTACATTGTTCTTTTTAAAAGTTTAAAATAATTAGTACCCAGGGATTAGCTACTACTTGTACAACCAGACGCTTTCCTGTTCATGAAGACAGTCAGTAGTCTGCCATGGTCGACAACACAGCTTAAATCCAGCTGCTCCCAACTGCGCTGGTCAATTTCCGTTTTGCAGGAAGAGAACACAGGCAGGCTGAGGCAGCCAGGTACTCCGTGTAGGTCCAGCTTGAATCTGTTATGTCGGATTAATGTACAATGTACGACACCCTGACCTTAGCTACAAAACGAATGGCGTTTTCCCTTCATCGGGATCCCGACTCCCATCCCGGCCTGTCTAGTCATCGCTCGGCAAGGGTCGCAAACTCGCATTGCTAAATTCCGTGACCTACCGTATCAGTATCCACCTCCGGAGCTCCGGAGCTCCCCGCATGCTTGCCTGTGCAATGCAATCCGTCTATCCGGCGACAAACGTTGTTTGTCATGTCGCGGATTACACCATACCAGTCATAGTGGTGTCCTGATGATCTGCAAATCTCGTGCCAACAGAAGGCCTGTCCACGATACGACCTCCTTGCTTACCGCTGCTGCATGATCCCAACAACACAGGTTTGACTGCGGCAGTAGTAGAAGAGAAGGTATTTCGCTTTCGCTCCTGCACGTGTTTCGTTTTCGCTGCAATACTTTGTTGCAACAGGAAAGAAAAGAGACTAGTTATTGGCACTCTGGTAGATCCACAGGCCAAGTCTTCACTTTGCGGCAAAGATACTAAGTTGGTAATAGTAGCGCTGGCCAGGGCGTGCGGAGGGCTGAAAATAAGACCGTTATGTCCCAGTCTCTTGGCTGCCGGCCTCGGCAGCTGATGTTGGCTGTGGCGTTGCTCCTGCTTACTCAGTGGAGTGGTTTAGCAGAGTCGCAATCTGAGGAGATTATCTCAACGACCGTTGTGAATACAGTCTACGGACCAGTTCTCGGAGAGATTACTCGCATTTCAGCGCCCGACATTCCTTCGACATTGGTAAGTATTCCCTCGAAACAATCATCGCCTTCCATTCAGTGAATGCGTAGCGACTCTACGCCGTGGATGTGTGGAAAATACACCTGACAACCACAGGTATATTCTACGCTTGAAGGAGCATCATGAGTGAGTGAAGTCTCCGCGGGAAAGAATCTTGGTAGACTTTGCAAGTCAATCTTTATCTGAGGCTTGTCGCTCCCGTTCTACCATAATTCGGTGACGAGACTTGCCTTGTGCGGTATACAGTGCATCGTGGTTAGATCTGTCATTATTTTACAACAGTTCAGAAACCCAGAGCAGTTCAGCGGAGAAAAACTCGCTATGCGATTCACAGAGCCACAGAGATAGTTGCACCGCGCTGTTGCGTATGTACACTGAGGTGTTGACCATGCTAGGCTTTGGCCCTGCCCTGGCCCTGTACTGCCCCCCCCCCCCCGTGCAGGCTGCTCAGTTCTATGGATTTGTATGGCCTACATTCCTCCCTTTAAAGGCTAAAGAGCTGGAGGTTCCTGAATACAACCGTGCACTTCGAACTACAATCTCATTCAATACTAGGCCATCTTCAGTGGTTGTGTGTGTGCTCCGTTTTGTTGTCAACAGCTCAAGAGATTCAGGGGAATTCCCTTCGCGGCTCCTCCGCTGGGAGAGTTGCGCTTTGCACCACCTCAGCCACCTCAGAAGTGGAGTACAGTTCGTGACACCACACAGTACGGGCCGAGCTGCATACAAAATGTCGGAGCTCAGAGAATTACTAGTAAGAAGCAGCTGCTATGTTTACCACACACCATGCCATGCTCCGCAAAGATGTACCCACCACCTCACGTTCCAAGCTATAGGTGTATGCACCAGCTGGTGGCATGCACATACTTCTAGACCGCTGCTGGGTGCAGTTCAGTTGGCGGGCATGTGAAATCCACCCTCGTAGAAAAAGAATAGATGTGGTCAGTGTCACACGCACGTACGCGCGCACACGCACACACACACATGCACACACATATACACACACACACACACAGTTACACAGACACACACACATACACAGTTCGTAGTGCTACTTGTAATAATGTAATGACCCAAATTCTATCGTCCACTCTCCTTGATTCCTTCTCTGCAATCGGTACTGACAAAGACCACACCATTATAGAGGTTATGGGATTACATGATCAGTTAAGATGTTTAGTATGGAGTGGCAAAGCTGTGGTGCAAAGCTGTGCTGCAGAGCTGTGCTGCAGAGCTGTGCTGCAGAGCTGTGCTGCAGAGATGTGTTAGTGTTGGTTTCTTACTCAATATTTTGTGTCCATCAGCAAATCTGCTGACTCACACTATATTCTCAGTGGTTAAGTTAGTGTTAGCACCAACAAGTGAATCCACTGACTCGCTACCTTGATACCTCTCTCAGAACCTCCATATTATGCATGTAGCGAGCTGAACATCACTCACCTCCTTGTGGCATTTTGGACAATATCTCGTCATACGTTCTGCTCTGGTTACTTGCCTAATATGGTCATCTTGGCTGTCTATGCTATGATTATGTTTGCTAGGCGGGACAAGCGAGGACTGTTTGACTCTGAACATCTATTCGCCAGTTTCCAACGTAAGACGTGCAAAAGGTTGACCACACGATCTACACACTCAGCAGTACATGTACATGTACTTCGATGTGATGAAAATGTCTGGAATGTCTCCTCTGACTCGTGTTTTCCTAAGGGCTGGGCTTTCTTGGGAAGTTATTTGACATCACCTATTGCGGATAAACTTAACTTGCAAGTTTTATATTTCAGGCTTGGAGATGGGGCCACAATATAAATTATGGAGGAGAGGAAGCTAAGAGCAGTAGCACGGGCTCAAAAAGGCGAGTTCGGAATACCACTACCACACAGGCGGCTCTGGGAAGGTTTTGGGCCAGACAGAGAGTCGAATGGTCTTGGTCCGAGAAAGCTGAGACGCTCCCTTCCTACTTGAATCCCAATCGAACTCGTGCACTTCCACCGAAACTGGGTGACTGCGCCCTACTAGATGGGGATTTGTATGCAAAATATCACTGAAAGCGCCATTTCGTTCTTATATAAGCACGGATGACCGCGATTGGCCCATATGTTGTAGTCTTTTGGACGCTGAGTCGACTGGTTTTGGTCCGAAAAGGCGATGCAGCGTTCCTCCTTTATTCCCAATCGAACATGGTTGAACAAGTGGTCATGTGCTCCTGCGTACACCAGTCACCTGGTCACCGTGCCTGCAGGGTACAACTTACTAGCCTGTTTGACCTTTTTTGGGTGCAGTCCTGTCACTCGAGTTGAACCTTGGTGTGAAAGTTGTTGCCTGCTGGCGTGGTGACCAGGTGATTTGGGCACCCAGGAGCACGTGACCGCTTGTTCAACCATGTTCGATTGGGAATAAAGGAGGAACGCTGCATTGCAGCCTTTTCGGACCAAAACCAGTCGACTCAGCGTCCAAAAGACTACAACATATGGGCCAATCGCGGTCATCCGTGCTTTTATAAGAACGAAATGGCGCTTTTAGTGACATTTTGCATACAAATCCACATCTAGCAGGGCGCAGTCACCCAGTTTCGGTGGAAGTGCGCGAGTTCGATTGGGATTCAAGTAGGAAGGGAGCGTCTCAGCTTTCTCGGACCAAGACCATTCGACTCAGCACCCCGAAGACTACAACTGGTGAAATTTTGATTTTTGCCTTAACTTCCCCTTTAATAAAGTGTGACTCCTACCCACAAGAACAGTATACTAGTAGTAAACGAGACTCTAGTGGTTGGGACTTATGTCACCTCGACGATTCATGATCCAGTACTGCATGTACAGACCAATTTCATCATTGTGTTCAATGTGCTGATTTCCAATTCGGGGCAATATCATTTTAATATCCCGTGCTGTTTTGTAAGCACGGTGTCGACCTCCCATGTTCACTTTGAACTCATTTCCCTCAAAATTTTGTTTTGCACCTTTTAAAACACGGAGTTAAAACACTTTCTCTGTCCTCTTATTGTTTAAATTTTGTTTTGCACCTTTTTATGTAGTTTACGACGGACACCTTCCCAGTCATGGTGTGGATCTATGGTGGGTCTTACCGTGACGGCAGCAGTGTTCTCTACGATGGCTCAGTGTTGGCAGCGCTGGGTAAAGTAGTGGTCGTTACAATCAACTATCGACTTGGCGCTTTTGGATTCGCCTCATCCACCATCCCGGACAAAATCAGTGGCAACATGGGATTTATGGATCAGCAGATGGCACTGCGCTGGGTCAATCAGAACATTGAGACATTCAGTGGCGATGTTGCCCAGGTGACTATATTTGGCGAGTCAGCAGGTGCCGGTTCTGTCAGCTTGCACTTGATCAGTCCGAAGAGCCAGTCGCTGTTCCGCCGTGCCATATCCGAGAGTGGCTCCATGCTGTCACCCTGGGCTGTTCAGAATGCGGCCGACTTGACGCTGTCAGTACAGGCACTCGCTCAGGGCTTGCAATGTCTGACACCAGGTCTCTACGTTGACGTAACGTGTTTGAGGAACAAAACGGCAGAGGAGATACTCACTGCGCAGAATGTTATCTATGACTTTTGGAAGAAAACCAACCGCCAGCTACCGTTTACGCCAGTGATCGATGGCGCTGTCCTTCCCTTGGCACCGGATTTAGCACTGCCAGCAGGTGATTTCATGCCCCTTGAGGTGTTGTCCGGTGTCAACCAGAACGAGTATGGCCTGTTTGCTGCGTACGCAATAGCAGCACGCAATCCTCCCGTGCCATCAATCAACAGCACTGAGTTCAACGCGTCCCTGTCCAGTTTCACTAACCTAGGCTACTGGGGATTTCCCCCAGCGGGCTTGAGCAAGGCAGTCCATGATGTCATCAATTTTGAATACACCGAATGGGAAGATCCAAACTCCGGCGAGGCTCGTCTGCAGTCTTCGATTACTGCTGGCAGTGACTTCAACTTTGTGTGTCCTCTGCAACAGCAGGCTGACCAATGGTCCAAGGCCCGGTTTGCAGCACTTGGTGCTAAGCTGTATATGTATCAGTTCTCTCACAAAGACGGGACATTCCCGGACTGGGTTGGTGTGCCGCACGCAGCTGAGGTGAGTAGCTCCCAGGCAAACAGCTATTCTGCTAATTGTAAATTAATAGCTCCATAGCTGCATAGAACATATGGCAGAAAAGGTCCAATGCTGTCCGCTGGTCCCATAATGAAATTTATTCCCGTAGCTATGCAGAAGACGTTACTTCAGTAACGTCTGGCGCTAGCCAGGGTCCACACAGCTTTAATTTGGTGTTTGTTTGTTTGTTTGTTTGTGTCACGCCTGGCGCTATCCCGTATCTGTCCCGTACCGTACCATCAAACACAGCTGGCCACATACAGCAGGCCGCAATATTCAAATAGGGCTTTCAAACGCAAGATCATAACATGAAGCAACTTGGAAGAATGAGTATGAATGCGAAAGATATGGGAGAATGCATGTAGGGCGATAGTGCGGGTTCGAATCCCAGGTAATGCCTGAAAAAATAGGAGAATTGAAAAATTTATAACATCCCTATTCTTTTTTTGCCGTCATCAAGGTGGTAGACGGTGTCGTATTACCCTCAACCGTACCTGTCCCATACCTGTCCCGTACCTGTCACGTATCCCGTACCGTACCGTACCATCAAAGACGGCTGGCCACAATGCATATTCAAAATAGGGTTTTCAAATACAAGATCATAACGTGAAGCGACTTGGAAGAATTAGTATGTATGCGAAGTGTATCGGGGGATACATGCAGGGCGATAGTGCGGGTTCGAATCCCAGGTTATGTCTAAAACGAAAAGTAGAAATGTATAAGAATCTATAACATCCCTACGCTTTTTTTTGTCTAGGTCATCAAGGCAAAAGAGCATAGCGTAGGGCCCTGAGCTTCCAAGCTCTCTCGTTTATTTCACCTTCCCTTGGCCAGAGAATATAGGCCAATATGGAGGGAGGGGGGGGGGGGGCGAGAGCCAGCCATGGCAGTAGGCATATTGACAACTATGAAGCATATTACAATAGAGAGAAGTTAAAATCCCCCTATCCAAAGATATCCTTCACTAACTATTGGCTTATAGCGGCAACATTCCCGACTAGCTGATAACATACTGGAGAACTTGTCGAAAAGCCATCCTTGTAACTCAGGTCCGAGTCAGGGGTCCGAGAAGAGCTCCCGGATCTGACTAGTTTTCTGCACTTGTCCTCATGCTTGAGTTGAACACTACGAGGTGTGGGAGCAAGCCTGCCTAAAGCCTTTTAGGTCAGGACAGAATGTGAGTGTATTGGATCAGACATGGCTCATGCTGGCTAGCAAGGGATGAGGATCAACATGCATGTTGAAGCATGAAGATGAGCAGCGACAAGCGCGTGGTTGCATCCGATTATTCAAGTGGAATGCACATCATCATATACCAGTAGTCCAGTATGCATGTGTGTCCATTGGCTTCAGGTGTCAAACGGGACGGACGTGTTATTGGAGTCTGATGGAATCTCTCTCTCTCTTTCTTTCTCTCTTCTCCTGTTGTTTGAATTATAGCTTCCGTACGTGTTTGGTGAAGTGCTCATGACCAATTATCTGGCAAAACCACTCACAGGACAGTTGTATTACGTGACTGAAGATGACCGCAACGTCAGTCTGACCATGATCAGCATCTGGTCTGCCTTTGCACATACTGGGTAGGTGCTATGGGTATTCTAAATATTTTTAAATCTCAGGGGGTGGTTGACGTTTTTGGTGCTCCTCGGAACAGCTTTCCGGGAGCCCCCCGCAGCAGTTTTACCCTTCTACCTTTGTCCTTGCTGAAACTAAGAATGTCCCTGGACCAGAACCTTGATCTTGCCCTGATCGGGTACCAGGAACTAATCGCCATCGCTGAACGCAAGTCCCTGGACTCCCCTTCGAGCCTCGCCCGGCCAGAGCTGGTGCAGGCACTGCGGAAGCACGGCGTTGGAGGGAAGCCCGTCACTGACACCGGTACGTCGTGGATTAATGACTCTAAGCTAGATAGCCTTGCTAACACTATCCAGGCCTTGGCGGGGGAGATTGCCTCCATGAGGGAGGACAGGGATAGCATAATTTTGTCCTTGAAGCTGGAAATTTCGGAGCTGAAGGGGGAAGTGCAACAGCTTCACCAGCAGCAGTACAATGGTTCATCCAAGCCCGTACACTGCGACACTCCAGACATGCAATCCCGTTGTACTCGTACAGTGAGTACGAATAGCACACAGCCAGAAGAGGATGCACGCACTCTACACAGCAGGTCAACTAGCACTAGCAGGGCCACCGTACCTAACACCAACCACATGGAACGCAGGAACATACCCGTACACACTGGTAGAAATGCAACAACTGGGGGCGCACTTACAACAGCAGGCGCCGGTGGTGCACCAGTACAGCCCACATGTACTCAGGGTGCTGCTGGGAGCACAGAAGGCGATCCCCATCAGAACAACTGGCAAGAACAGCGGCGAAGGAGCAATAAATCAGCGGCCCACAGCGATCCCATTGCCCGGGCAACAAAATCCAAAGTTGTGTCTGTCTACAGAAAAATGGCCACAGAAAACCCCAACCCCAACACACTCACTGGCACACATCTTCCCAAGCGATGTGCCTTCTTTGTCGGGAATGTTAGCCCTGGAAGTAAGGCACAGTCCATTGTCACCTGGTGCGCTGATAGGGGCGTTGATGTATACGCATGCACAATTGCCGAAACCCAATACTTTGGTACCTGCTATGCACGCGTTTCTGTCGCGGAAGAGTTTGAGCAAACGCTGCTTGACAAGGAATTCTGGCCCGACACCATTGCGCACACCGTCCGCAAATGGCGCTATGCCGACTCCGCTAGCAAGTGATGGGTCCTCGGTCACCTAGCCAACAGCTAAATCCTCTTGCCCAACCCTTTGTGCCCCACGCAAGTTCATCACACCCTTCCCCTCATTGCGTTACATATTCTTCTATATCTAGTGGTCATATTCCACTTGCACCACCATTCCTTCCTGATTCTGGACGACAAACTACTAAAACTCCTAATCAACAGCAGCTCCACGACGCCCCCTACCACAAACTAATGTCGGTCTTCACCCCGTTGAGCGCTCATGCTTTCCCGTTTTTCCCGGACCACGCACATTCTATTAACATTGTAACTATCAACTGTCGCTCTGTAACAAACAAACTTCCGGAATTGTACGCAATATGTGATGCCAACAAGCCCACCATAATATGTTTAACAGAAACCTGGCTAAGCCCGTCACTTTTATTCAGTGTTCCAGGCTACACATGCTTCCGTAAAGACAGATCTACACATAAGAACCTGAGATCAAACCTACGTGGCTATGGTGGCGTGGCCATTCTCATACGTGATGGGACATTTCCACATTGCACCCGTCGCCATGACCTTGATTCTCCCCAAAGCGAGGCCGTATGGCTTGAGCTTGGTGCACCGGCAGGTCTCCGGGCCAATCCGCTACTCATTTGCTGTCATTACCGCCCCCCTTCACAATCCCTTCTTGATATCACCTCCTTTTGCGACACACTTACCGACACGCTGTGTTCCTTGGACCTCTCTTTATTTGATGTTTTTCTTACCGGTGACTACAATGCCCACAATTCTGACTGGTGGAGTGGTGACACCACATCGCGTGCTGGTACGGAGCTATCACACGTGTTCTCTAGCTTTGGCCTCCAGCAGCTTGTCAATTTCCCCACCCGTGTCGCTCCGAATGGAAGACTGTCCTGTCTGGACTTGCTGGCTACGAACCGCCCCCTCTCTGTACGTTCTGTTGACGATGCTGCCCCGCTTGCTGCATCGGATCATTTGCAAGTCATTACAACGCTAGCCTACAACATTGCCACTGCTAACACCTCTTACAACTGCTCTCAGACTCCTACCCCTCCGCGACATGCCTTCCGCAAGGTTACACCCTCCACTTGGTCAATCATCAACTCTGCACTTTTTGCCTGTGACTGGCATCTTTTATTCACCTCCACTACTGTTGATGAAGCTGTGGAGAAGTTCACCACAGTTCTTGATGACGTGCTCTCCTTCTATGTGCCACAATACGGAGCAAGACCCGCTACACCCAAACATGGCAGCCACCACCCTCGTCAGTCCAGCCGTGACCCCAAGATCCCTTGGCTCGACAAAGATCTCCAAGGTGCAATTAAACTCAAATACGACTACTACAGCTTAAGTAAGAAGTACTCCACCTATGCTAATATTTCTTTATACAAAAAACAGCGCAATCTGGTGAAGTCATTGTCACGTTCTAAGTATCGAGCATATTTACGTTCGCTCACTACCACCCTATCTCACCCCTCTTCCAGGCCTAACCTGTATACCTTTGTTCGCACTCAAAGGACAACTAGTACACGTCAAGACATACCACCGTTATTAGCTTCCAATGGTTCGATGGTGACTGACCCCAAGTCTATAGCTAATACTCTCAATACGCAATTCACATCAGCTGGTATTCCAGACGACCATTCCTCTCCAATACCACCTCTGCAACGTTCTGCGACTGTGCCTTCTGATCTGCGCTCTATACATACCACCACATCATCTGTTCGCAGCTACCTAAAAAGACTAAAAAGCAACAAAAGCCCTGGTCCTGATGCCCTACCAAATGAAGTTCTCAAATTTCTGGCTCCATCTCTGGCGTACCCACTGTGCCTTATATTCAACCTTTCCTACTCCTCCGGCGTATTTCCTGATCGTTGGAAGATCGCTAAGGTCACGCCCATCTACAAGTGTAAAGGCTCCCGATCACAAGCCTCAAACTATCGTCCAATATCTCTTCTCTGCTCCCTTTCAAAAGTATGTGAAAAGGTATTTTACGACCAGTTGTATTGCCACATTTCACCATGCCTTAGCCCTTCCCAATCTGGCTTTCGGCGCAACGACTCAACCTCTGACCAACTAGCTCGTCTAGTACAAGACATTGCCACCCTTCGTGATGCTCGACACCATATTGCTCTCTGTTTCTTTGACTTGGCAAAGGCCTTTGATACTGTCTGGCATCGTGGCCTCCTTGCCAAGCTACATATTGTCTTTGGTGTGTCTGGCCCTGCTCTGTCCTGGCTGGAGTCCTATCTGAGTAGCCGATCCCAGTTTGTTTCTGCCCTCTCCATCAACTCTGATCCTCTACCAGTGTCTTCTGGAGTTCCCCAAGGCTCCATACTTGGACCTCTTTTGTTCGTAGCATACGTAAATGATTTACCCTCTATAGACCCAGGTGTCTCGTTATTTGCTGATGATACAACCCTACTGTCAGCATCCTCGTCCTCAGCGGCTCTTGTACCTCGAGTGTCGGCTCAGATATGCAGTGTCCTACGCTGGATGCAAACATGGCGACTTAGACCCAACCTGACTAAAACCGAAATAATGTTCCTTCCCCCAATCTCATCCATGTCACTTTTACACCATCCTGATTTCCCAGAACCCATAAAGGTTGTTTCCAACCATAAGCACCTGGGAATAATGCTTGATGATCGTCTCTCTTGGTCTTTCCATATTGATGCTCTTTGCAGCCGTTCAAGCTCTGCCCTAGGTGTTATACGTCCCCATTGTTTCCATCTTCCTTTCAAATGTAAAATTTTGTTTTACAAACTGTACATCCTGCCTCTTTTCATGTACGCTGCTGTTAGCTGGTGTGGCTTGTCCTCGGTTCTCGCTGAGCGTCTCGAAATCCACCATAGAAAACTTCTTCGTATCCTGTTTAGTCTACCCCCTCTCTACTCTTCTGCTTCCCTGTATGTCCTTGCAAATGCTTGCCCACTGTCGACCCACCGTCAAAAATTAATTTGCACTTTTGCTCACAAATTTAAATTAGCTCTACACCCTCCTCATCTTAACGTGTATAACTGGTTCCGAATCACAGATGGCTCCCAGACAAGATGCTCTGTTGCCCTCCCCTTGGCTAAAACGTCCTCCCTTGTACGCTCTCCACTCTTTGTTGCTTACTCTGCTTGGCTTGCGCTGCCCGCTACTACGCGCAATGCCAGTACCCTGGACGCATTTAAATCTGCTCACTAGATTCACCATCACCTGTCCCTCCCATGCTTCTCCGTCTTGACCATTACTTTTCTTCTTTTATTCACCATGGTTGGTTAACACCCACATCTCCCGTACTGGCTGATTTTCTTCTCATGCCATGAGGTGTTGTCTATAATAATAATAATAATAATTCATGGGGTAGATGCCAGGGTGGTTCACTGGGTGCCGGGATGCCAGGGTGGTTCACTGGGTGGATGCCAGGGCGGTTCACTGGGTAGATGCCAGGGCGGTTCACTGCTGAGTCGACTGGTTTTGGTCCGAGAAGGCTGCGATGCAGCGTTAAGCCCTTATTTCCAATCGAACACGGTTGAATAAGCGGTCATGTGCTCGTGCGTATACCAGTCACCTGGTCACCGTGCCCACAGACTACAACTTACAGCCTGTTTGAGCACGTTCCTGTCACTCGAGTTAAACCTTTGAACCTTTGAGTTGAACCTTGGTGTGAAAGTTGTAGCCTGCAGGCACGTAGGCCAGGTGACTGGTGTACGCATGAGCACGTGACCGCTTACTCAACCGTATTCAATTGGGAATAAGGGCCGAACGCTGCATTGCAGCCTTTTCGGACCAAAACCAGTCGACTCAGGGTCCAAAAGACTACAACATATGGGCCGATCGCAGTCATCAGTGCTTGTATAAGAACGAAATGGCACTTTTAGTGACATTTTGCATACAAATTCCCATCTAGTAGAGCGCAGTCACCGGCCCCAGTTTCGGTGGAAGTGGCGAGTACGATTGGGAATAAAGGAGGAAGGGAGCGTCTCAGCTTCCTCGGATCAGGACCTTTGTCATTGCTGTGTGATAATTGTATTACTGGCTCTGTCCACTGGACATAGAGCACTGCACGCAGCCTGAGGACCTTAGAAAACTGTCTCTTACATCATGTGGATAGAAGAGCAAGGTCAAATACGTCAGCCGGGGTGTTCCTGGGTCAAATACGTCAGCCGGGGTGTTTTTGGGTCAAATACGCCAGCCAAATACGTCAGTCGGGGTGTTTCTGGGTCGAAATGGAAACTATACTGTGTAGTGAAGTGGTATACCGGTCAGGCACTGGCTACCAGTATACTTCAATGATTCATTCCCCGGAGTGTACTGCTGCAAAGATCTTTTTGAAATGCATGATATAATTGATGCTACTCTGGGCTGGACTGGATAATATCGTCACTTCACTGACCCACTGTGCTCATGCCATCGGGCCTTGCTAACAGGCAATAAGGTGATATGCCAATGGCTGTGGGTATGTGGGTATGCACGCATATGTGTGTATGTATGTGTGTGTATGTGTGTGTGTGTGTGTGTACGTGAACGCCACTGCTCTGTTCTTTCCATCGCTGTTTTCAAAGTGACCCAAGCAATGGATTGATTGAAACCGGCGCCAACTTCACAACCTGGCCAGTGTTCAACTCCACGACACGCCCCTACGTTGACATCAGCATCAACCCAAGCCAGGGCAGCTTCTTGCACAACGAGAAATGCCAGATGCTGGCGCAACTCACACCCAAGCTCATCAAGTACTGCCGTACTGATCCAGGACCAAACTCGCCGCTTACACGTGGAACTGAAGCACCACCACCCGAACAGCCCTGCTCGAGCAAGAGCCAGGCATACTTCTACGCCACCATCATCCTGGCAATCGTTGCTGCCATGTTCCTGGTCGAGATAGTCTTCCTCTCCTTCCGGGTTCACGACGCCAAGAGAAGAGCCAGGGAGTATGACGTGCGCAAGGGTCTGATGAGTGACTAGCCACGCCAGGCCTACTCGACCACGCTTGCCTGTTTTTGTGGCTTCATACAGACAGGCGGGTCTGAGCCATCTTGATGTTCACTGCAGTCAGACGCGAACGGCCGATGGCACGGCAGGATGGCGGCATTGTGATTACGACTTTGATGATTTGTAGCGCAGGGACTGTGTCTAGTATAGACTGCTTTAAATAGCTGTATGACCCCACCTTTTAGAGCACTGTCATGATTTCCAGCAGATTTCTTCATGTTAGGGACTACTGGTACATACATACATGTACCTGAACAGTCTATTATACTACATTACGAGTACTAGTGCTGAGGACCGTGAGACGGTATTGCAAGTGTGCCGCATTCTATGCATTATACAGTACAGCACACCGTTTCACAACTCACCCTTTGCTTTGTTGCCGCGCTGACAACATATGCATGGTTGCTAAAAAAAACACATTAGCTCAGTACCCGGCAACCTGCTCTCCCATTTTCGTTGGCTGCTCCCCGAGCCCGGCTTTGTACTCTGAGATAGTGTGTTGGGCTATGTATGCAAACAGCTCGGCACTTTTCTTTACTCATGCAACTGTGCTACTGTGTGACAATGATCTCACAATGATCTCACTTCTCAAATTGTGAGGGTGGCGTGCTTCTTCCTGCTCGTGACGCTTGGATAGTACTTTTCAGAACCGTTGGAAACAATTTTGGATTCGCCTGGTCATACCATATTCTTTCTTTATTTTTGTGTATGATAGTATAGCAGAAAAACGTGATCTCCTGAGCTGTAAACACACGTTGGTGGCCAAAATGTTTGTCTGGCGATGACCTGACCAACGGGACCGGTTGCGCCCGGCTGGCGTTTTCAGCTTGACATGCCACACGAAACTAATCGAACTGAGGACCGGAGCATATCCATAGGGCAATGGTCCGCATACTCATAGAGGATTTCCCCCTGAATCATGCATGCAGGCTTGCACCCCATGGCGGTTATACATGTCCACTTCCAGCCCTTGTGCTTTGGTAGCTTTGTTGGTATACAAGACCTAGTGGAATAGCATGAGTAGACACCAATATTTCCTTTTCTCCTTTTTTAGAATTTACCGGGTGTTAGCGGCCGTTGTGAGTTCCCTTCGGGAACGGACATGATAGTTTACTCTTTTTTTTAGGGGATTCACGAACATCAGAATAATTATACAGCTATAGATTATACGCCCAGTTCGCAATTTGCAATTCAGGCATTGATTACGTACGGGCCACAACGTCGTATTGGCAGGGTCGTAGCACTAGGATATCAGGTGAGGTGATCCGTCCGAATGGGGTACAAACTTAGACTCTTAAAATAGTACTGGACCGGAAATGAAAACTATTGACGAAATGACCATAATGCACGAATTGGGTGTGTCCACTCTCCAATACGAACAGTAAAGAGAGAGTGCTCGACCAATGAGGGCTCCCGAGTTGGGTGTGTCAACTTATTCGAAACAAGGTCCGGCCATGGCCTGAGAGGCCGGACCGGCTGCTACGGCCTTGAATGCTATCATAATCGATGAGTATCAACAAGTAATTCGTTGGGGCAAACATACGATAGGCAATGGTGGAGTCAGGACTGACAACTAATTTAAATTATTACTTACTTTTAAACTCTGAATAGTACTAGCACCCGTATATCCGTAGTAAGGCTGGGTTGATTGCTGTCCTACATTGTAGTGGAGCTCACGATTCCTGCAGACCTACAACTATACTTACAAGGCTACATGGTAGGCACTTGAGTGACATGACTGACTCCCGACTCACGATTGCGATCCGGAGTACACCAGGAGCCCGCCGAACTAACTTCCCGCTCGACAAACCTGCAAGAAAGCACCATGCACTCCCTGCATGCTCAGTGCAGATGAGAGTATTTCGGGGACCCCTCGTCAGTTGATCTTTTGCAGACTAATGAAAGTTAGACATCACTACGAGTGTAGGGATTCAAAGCGATAGATAAAGTGACTCGTGATGCTCTGTATTCATGGTACAATGTACTATTAGTCACTATTAGCAGATCTTGCATTTTATGTTTGCGTGGCTCGCGCAATCGGCATGGCCACCCCAGTGTGGGTTCGAATGATCAGTTGCATACCGGTATTGAATAGATAGTTTGTATGGTGCTTGTTTTTCGAGTTAGTTGTAGTCTTTGCTTTTGCTTTTCTCATTGTTGCACAAAATGGCTGCCAGAAGCTATTCACAGCACTGTCACCTTCAACTTTTCAAGCCGAACTGTGTTCGCGCGAGGGACAGCGAACCTTTTACATTATTATTATTTAAAAGAAAGGTTTGCTCCCCACACCGGAGCTCGCGCTATTCCGCCGACTTTACTTGACACTTGACTGACTCACGACTGCCATCCAGAGCACACGAGAAGTCCATCGAACCTTCGACTCGGCAAACCTGCAAGAAAGCACCACTCCCCGCTCAATACACAGTGTTTCGGGGAATTCACCCCTCATCAGTTGAGCTTGAGTAGGCTGAGGAAGATTGTGCCTGAAGAGCACCACTTATATAGTGCTCTCCAGGCACAAACATCACCAGGGATACAAACTAACAGAGACGCTCCGCTTCCAGTGCGACAAACACCTCGTGAACACCAGATAGTAGCGTGAGTCAGTGTCGCTCCTGGACGTGTCGTGAGTCGTGAGTCAGTCAAGTGTCAAGTAAAGTCGGCGGAATAGCGCGAGCTCCGGTGTGGGGAGCAAATCATCGCCGAAGTCGCAACCACTACTTCGTATTATTATTATTATTATTATTATTATTATTATTATTATTATTATTATTATTATTATTATTATTATTATTATTATCTTTATTAGAGGGATGATCCAGAGGCAGGCAGCCTATCGAGGGGTTCTCCACTTGTGCGATATTGAGTAGGTACATGATTGTACGAACCTAGCCCTAGGCTAGCTAGGCCTAGGAGTAGGAGTCGGGCAGTAGACCTACGTGCAGTACAGAGAAGTAGGAGCAGCGACAGGAAGCGTGAGCTCCACAAAGGAGGAACCAAGAAACTGCGTGAAGTGACAGTGAGCTAGTGACGACGACGACGACACATGCGCTTCCTATTTTTGTCACAATTTTTGTTTTGTTTTGTCATCCATGGCCATGATCCATGCTGCAGTCAGCTCCTCGGTTGGAAACATAACGTTCCAAACTAGAATGAGTCTTTACTATAAACCCAGTTATACGACTATCTACAATCTGTCTACTACTAGTAATGTATGTCTGCGCTGCACATTCTTGCAACTCAGATTAGCTCCGCGGCTGAGAAAAAAAGCAGCGTGGGTTCTTACGTTGTAGTCACATCGATATCGGTACATTTTCGGAGGTAAGGAGGCCTCAGCGTGAGTCTGGCATGGGGTCATTTGTATGTTTCCCCGTTCTTCACTCTAATCTTGTCTTGTCTATCCTGCAGTGCAACACAATCATGTTCTTTGTTGTGGATAAATAACTACCGGTATACTTACTTTGTGTCTCTCAGTCTCAGTCTCAGACTCATACTATTATGACTCATAGCGGTTTTCCAGTGATCCGCAAATCTCGTGCGGACACACCATACAACCTGTTACAATGCAATCTTTCGTTGCACATCGATGACACGAGAGAGTCGCGAACGTAACGTAAACCCGTCAATGGTAGTCTGAGCAAAACGCTGCAAAGGCAAGAGAGATCGAGAAGAAAAGGTATTCTCGATCTCGACAGTCGAACAGACGGCAACACTCAGCCTTCACTAGGCTTCTGTCAAGTAAGTTGCTTTTTTTTTAGTTTGCGGTGGACAGCAACCGATATAGTGGATTATGACATGGGGAATCCAGAGGGTCTCGAGGCTCTAATCAACGACAAAACCATGGCTCAGTCTCTTGGCTGCCGGCCTCGGCAGCTGATGTTGGCTGTGGCGTTGCTCCTGCTTTCCCAGTGGAGTGGTTTAGCGGAGTCACAATCTGAGGACATTATCTCAACGACCGTTGTCAATACAGTCAACGGACCAGTTCTGGGAGAGATTATTCGCATCTCAGCGCCCGACATTCCTCCAACACTGGTAGGTCTACTAGTACAGTGTACATATCCCTGAACTACTTTCCATCACCTTTCATTGATTGAACACGTACGCAGAGATTCAATGTTGCTGATATAATTTTATTGTGATGAATGTCAACTACTCCACTAGTCTCTAGATATGACAAGATGCCAAGCTGCAAGAGAGGCAAGAGCAAAAAAAATTCACGATCATGATGAATGAACCCTCAAAACGGGCTTGGTAGATGTACACCAAAACTGCAAAAGTCACAAACTACAGCTCTGCCTCTGACCAGAGAAATCCGACCTCATGGATAATGTGGTGTCACGTTCAAGGGTGCGGCACGGTATGTGTTGCTAGGGCTGCGTAGCCCCCCCCCCCCCCCCCCCGCTATTATGGTTCATGAGGTTGGATTTCTCAGGACTGTGGAACGTACATTGTCATGTGCATTCGCGATTGTAGGCGTTTAAATTTTAGTTTGAAATTTGTACCCTCCTGCGGAGCCCACGCTGCTTTGGCAGTGGCGGAGGCTCGCTTGCCGACGTAACCGTCGGAGATCATCATGAACAATGGACTGACTAATTATTCACTTGTCCTGTCTTTCTAAATAACATGTTGTTGCACATGTTTAAAAAAAATTGTGTACAACCCCGAAAAAACCCAAAAAAACCGTACATTGTACATAAAGTAGAATGTTGAACACCTAGTTGCAAGACAGAGCTCATGATGACAGTTTTCTATTTTATAGGTCCTAGTGCCCTTCTAGTCAATGTACAATGTCATGTATGTAGGTGTATGTGTTGGAAGGTGCATTCCCACATGGGATTTCATGGCTACTATTATGTGCCGATAGCCTAGTGCAATCAATAGAGAGAAGTGAGAATGATGGAGGTGATGATGACATGTATTCTGTTTCTCCCTGGTGTGTTTTACCTTTAGTTTTCCTTGAGCAGTGTTTCTGCTAAGTATTTTCCCTTTTCCCTTTTCACTTCCCTTTCGTCTCATCCACCCTTCCAGGAAACTCCCCGGATAAGTATCCATTTACTTTTGGAGAATCCCTCAAATAAAAGCCTGAATGAAAAATGAACCAAGCATGGGAATGACACAGTCAGTCAGTCAGTCAGCAAACAGTGCACACATTCCCTGTAGGTATCCTCCCACTGTCTTAGTGATGTTGGTGAACACCGTCATGGTCCCAGTCACTGTACTGTCTGTAGTGTGAGATGTGCAGTGATTCATGATGCAGGACCAGCGGTAGCAGTTTTTGATTGGTCCGGCCATACCCTACCCTACCGGCCTTTCGTACTCTGTGTATGATATCGAGGGAATACACATGACCACCCTCAGCAGTGAACACACTTTGGTGGCTAAAACGTTGGTCCGGTCATGGCCTGACCAACCGCACTGGTTCAGCTGGGCCTGTGATGGTGACCATGGTGACCTGAACAACAAGCATTGCCGCGGGTATGCATGCACGGCTGCATACTCTGCTCAGTTATGCATGTTTGGGTGGACTGCAGGTCTACCAGCATGCGCCCATACATAATTAACCTGTGCTTGTCATTCTACATGTACCGGTACTAGTACTTGAGTGAATCCCTAAGTTACTGTGGCTGTACTGGCTATGCCACAGTAGCATGTCTGACTAGTCATGGATACCTTCCATCAAGTCAGAATTTTGTTTTTGTTTGAAGTTTTATTTTACATCGCAAACCAAACGGGCATTAATGCCCAATATTATGATGGCGATAGAATAAAAAGTGTGGCCCGATAAAGCTGCACTTGAGAAAATGAGAAAACAGTCAATAGGAAGTATTTGTACCGGTAATTACAAGTCAAGTTCGAACGCAGTAACAATCAGAGAGAAATAGGAAGATGAGGACCTATGCCAGAGGGAGGTGCTATTCGGCCATATTAACCGTAGAAAAACACTTTCAGCAATTCACACCAAGAACCAGTTCCCAAGAGTTCAACCAGGATACATCGGGCATGCACTCAGTGACTGTAATGCTGCTAATAGAATATGCTGAGGAACTGTCACGGTACTCCCCTGAAACTAACACTTGATGCGTTCTGTTTTGCAACAGCTCAAGAGATTCAGGGGAATTCCCTTTGCGGCTCCTCCGCTGGGAGAGTTGCGCTTTGCACCGCCTCAGCCACCTCAGAAGTGGAGTACAGTTCGTGAGACCACACAGTACGGACCGAGCTGCATACAAAATGTTCAAGCTCAGAGAATCCCTGGTAAGAAGCAACCTCTAGCAATAAACACTGAGAAGCCATTTGAACGTCATGGTTATGATTTCTGCTGTTGGTGCAATGAAAAACTGGAGTGTATCATCTGTCAGTATATCATAGTTCAATTTTGTTTCAGTATCCTTTTGTACAATGACGATTCCTGATAAGCGTTGTACAAAAACTTGTTTGAATCCTTATCATCTGTGTTATTGTTTTGTGAAATCACTAAATGTATCGCCTCACTTTCACAGCTCCACTGCATGGTTATGGTCATAGTGTAGAGTCTACATGTCTGCCTCCCCCACCCCAAGTCGACTGCTTAACTTGCTAATGTTGAGGGCTACAAATCACCCATGTCCTTGCTGCATGTGTTTTTAGAGTGCATAAAGAATGGCCCTCTAGGCTCTATTATAGTAATTATGTCCTGCATCGGTGTCCTGCTTGCTTTTTCTCCTCGATAGGTGAAATAAGTGAGGACTGTCTGACTCTGAACGTGTATGCACCAGTTTCCGACGTAAGCATTTGTGTCTGCATGCTCAGCAAATGCTGACAGATGGTCTGAACTCGGGTAGTACTGATTTTCTTGCCTCGGAAATTTGGTAATACATGACCTCTGATTTGTCAGTTTGAGCACCCTCGACTACTGTGTGCTCGGATCAAGTCCTGCCTACCACTAATGTCCAGTCTCATGGCCAAAGTATCGCGGCACACGTGCACAGTTGCCACGATACCATCCTTTACTCATATACAGGCATGCATGCACCATGGTGTATCGAGACCGATGAGACCAGCAACATAACTTGGGACAGGCTGCCGATTTTGAAACTATGCCTCATTCCAAAATGATTCCACTTAGTGCATCGTCTAGGTTTCCCGTATTCTTTTTTTGGAATTTCTCTGTTTGTATGCCATACGTCTTCATGCAGTCTTTGACGGAAACCTTCCCAGTAATGGTATGGATCTACGGTGGATCTTACCGCGATGGTAGCAGTGTTCTCCATGACGGATCACCTTTGGCAGCTCTTGGCAAAGTAGTGGTTGTCACCCTGAACTATCGCATCGGCGCTCTGGGCTTCACCTCGTCCACCATTCAAGATGAGGTCGGTGGTAACATGGGATTCATGGATCAGCAGCTGGCACTGCACTGGGTCAATCAGAACATCGAGGCATTCAGCGGGGACATTGACCGGGTCACCGTATTTGGTGAGTCGGCCGGTGGCAGCTCTGTCGGTCTGCACATGATCAGTCCGAAAAGCCAGTCGCTCTTTCACCGGGCTATAATGGAGAGTGGCTCCATTCTCTCAGGATGGTGCGTGCAGCGCCAAGCTGACCTGACACTGTCCACACAGGCGCTTGCGCAGGGCTTGCAATGTCTGACACCGTTACTCCACATTGATCTGAAATGTATGAGGAGCAAAACAGCGGAGCAGATTCTCGCCGCTCAGAATGTTGTCTACGACTATTGGCGCAAAACTGGCCGTCAGTTTCCCTACACGCCGGTGATTGACGGGAATATCATTCCAATGGCGCCCGATGCAGCACTGTCCTCGGGGAACTTCATGCCTCTGGAGGTTCTATCCGGTGTCAACCAGAATGAGTGGGGTCTGTTTGTTTCACACATGAGTGTTCCAGCCATCAACAGCAGTGAATACGACATCTCCTTGACCAGGTTTACAAACTTAGGCTACTGGGGATTTCCCCCAGCTGATTTGACCGAGGCAATCCATGACGTTGTCAACTTTGAATACACCAACTGGGAAGATCCCAATTCCGGCGAGGCTCGTCTGCAGTCTGTGATGACTGCTGGAAATGACTTCAACTTTGTCTGTCCTCTGCAACAACAGGCTGACCAATGGTCCAAGGCCCGGGTTGCAGCACTTGGTGCTAAGCTGTATATGTATCAGTTCTCTCACAAAGACGATGCATTCCCGGAGTGGGTTGGTGTGCCGCATACGGCCGAGGTGAGAACTATTGGATGTTATGAGCTTATGAGCTGCTTGGTATTTCTGGTACAGTCGACCTACCCTTATAACGATATTTTCGTCTGACCAAGAAATATTGTTATAAGGGTAATATTGTTATATGGGGTAACTGGTTCATTTCATACACATACGTCATAATGCATGAATTTAGTTCTTTTTTACACTCTTCATAGCGTCAAAAGCGTATATACATGCACATTACGTACACAGCAAGGTGCCCACTGGTGCCCCCATTGCATGTCGTCATGTCCCAGCGACTTATCAAGACTTAGTGAAGCTTGCCCTACTACCTTGACAGTGGACGACTCTACATATCCCCTGCTGGATATTGTTATAAAATGGAAAATGTTGACTGGTCAGCCCATTTTATATTGTTATAGGGGTAATATCGTTATAGCAATATTGTTATAAGGGTAAGGCGTTGTATACAAAAGTCAATGGAGTGATTTGGTTTGGCATAAAAGTATCGTTATAGGGGTTATCGTTATAAGGGTAGGTCGACTGTACATGTGGATCCATGTGCAAGGGCGTCGGAACCGCACCGGCCGGTGGCCGCCTCACTTTTTCGGCCGTTTTTTTTTTTTTTTTGTATTTCTGGTACATGTGGATCCATGTGGTAGGAAGTGCACTGTCGACAGGAGGAGGCTACTACTTCATGGAAGTTTCGAGTATACACCATTTACCTGTTTATGCTTCTATAATAGGACTTGTCAATATTCATAAGTTTGAGCAGTTGAAAGGAGAAAAAGTCAACTAACTTATGAATAATTTCAGCCAGCGGAGTAAATGGGCCTCAACCAGCGAAAACAGCCCTTAGGGTCAAATTTTTCAAAATTCCTTTTTGGTTAGAAATTTGTTGAAACACATCTACTGAAGGACCTCAGCCAAGAAAAAGTTCAATATTCCGATTCAAAACGGGTGTATACACCAATATACAAGATGTACTCCAAATTGGTGCAATGTATGTATACGATGTATGTGTACAATAAATATTCAGCATTTTTAGGTGGGTAGGCAGCTTGAATACCTTTGAAATAGCGCAGTAAGCAGCTAGAATGACAAAGAATAGCGGAAGAGTGCGGAGACATGATCGACTTATTTGCAGCTGCATCCTGCGTGGAGTCGTTCCGCAATGTCTTCCATTTCTTCCTGCGCAGCTGACGACACGACGTCGCTGCCGTCACTAGCCCCAGACTCAGAATTTATCTCAGGTGATGACTCCTCATCTTCCGACTCTGACGAGTCATCGACCACCTTGAGCCGCAACGCAGCAGGAGATGACGGCTGCGATTCCGCCTCGCTGTCGACATCGATGTCGGAACCAAAGAACGTCTCATCCTCACTCTGAACTTCAGCGGCTACTTCAGCATCCACTCCCCACCAGGCTCGAGCTAGCTGTACACAATGACTGCCGCGTGTGCTCTGCGAACAGCTCTGGCGTCCGCAGCCATCGCAACAAGATCAAGGAACACTCGAGTCGCCACTCGACACCACTTCAACTAACTTCAAATAAATTCAAGCAAGGAGATCAAGAAGAACTCGTCGCGCTGTTCGCAGCGCGATCAAAAAATCGTTGAACGTCACAAATCGACATTTTTCTTGAAAAAATTACGAAACCTCTAAGGGTCGTTTTCGCTGATTGCGGCTCAAATGTTGAATCCTTTCACTAAGGAAGTTTCCAAGAGAATGTGTAGCAAATGGCTGCACGCTCTCATTAGCCGATGATAGTTGGCCCCATGCTCAAATTGAGAAACACGTTTCAATCAGTTGTATGTATTTCAATAGTCACGGACTGTTAATTGAGTAGATAACTTTGTCCACATTCCTATGTGTGAAGTATACACACGCGTGAGAAAAAGGTTATGTGTGCATGAGCGGGTAGAAGGATGACACACTCTACATGCATGGAGTTCCGCCAGGTGTCAAGCAAGATGGAGACATTATCTAGAGTGACAGAGTCCTCCCCGTCTCCCTTTAACCACCTCGTTGTCTCTCTTTCGTTTTGATAGATTCCTTACGTGTTCGGTGAAGTGTTGATGAAGGATGTTATGCCAAGGCCACTCGCAGAATCAGCAGGTGAAGACTATTACCATGTAACAGAAGCAGATCGCAATGTCAGCCTAGCCGTGATCAGTATTTGGTCTGCTTTTGCATATACTGGGTAAGTGCATTTCAATGATTCACTCGATGATGTGCATTTCGAAATAGTGCTAGCGACTTTGGCGATACTTTCACTCAGTTGAAGTATAGGAAAGTTAATTGGTCCCCACACTAGAGCTCGTGCTATTTTGCCAACTTGACTTGACACTTGACTGACTCACGACTGCCACCCAAACGCACTAAAGGTAATAATGTGATGCATTTCCTGGAACTCCTACCTGCATGCATCATCTGGTTTAACCAGCTGTTACTTTGAACTAATGTTAAAGGGGAAGCATACCATAAAATCAAATTTTCACCAGTTGTAGTCTTCGGGGTGCTGAGTCGAATGGTCTTGGTCCGAGGAAGGCGAGACGCTCCCTTCCTCCTTTATTCCCAATCGAACTCACGCACTTCCACCGAAACTGGGTGACTGCGCCCTACTAGATGGGGATTTGGATGCAAAAAGTCATTAAAAGCGCCATTTTGTTCTTAGAAAAGCACGGATGACTGCGATTGGTCCATATGTTGTGGTCTTTTGGAGGCTGAGTCGACTGGCTTTGGTCCGAAAAGGTTGCGATGCAGCGTTCGGCCCTTATTCCCAATCGAACACGGTTGAGTAAGCGGTCACGAGCTCGTGCGTACGCCAGTCGCCTGGTCACCGTGCCTGCAGGCGACAACTTTCATACCAAGGTTCAACTAAAAGGTTCAAAGGTTCAACTCGAGTGACAGGAACGCGCTCAAACAGGCTGTAAGTTGTAGCCTGCGGGCACGGTGACCAGGTGACTGGTGTACGCATGAGCACGTGACCGCTTAGGGACCATCGCAAAAGTTCGCAGAAGCCCCCGAAACGAAGACCGTGAGTTTCGGGCCTGACCCCCCTCCCTCCCCCCTCAAACGAAACGACAGTCACAATATGGGCTTCATTTTTTCACTTGGATGCTCACACATAATAATATTATTATAATACAGTCAAATCTGTCGTAAGCGACCGCCCCTTGGTGCAAGAAAAAGCGGTCGCTTACGGCAGATGGTCTCTTACGGCAGATGTATGGTAAATCCGGCATACCAGGTATATGCTTCCATGTACTCAAATCGACGAGAATAATGTGATTTTTAATATCATTTTATTGGATATTCAACGACGACCATACCCGTATAGTACGCGTATGCAACACGGCAGTAGATCGACACTGCCTGGACTTGAGAGCTACAGCACAGCCTCAGTACAGGCCAGGCGCCAGTCGATCGCACTTGCAAGACAGCGCATTTTCACACTTTGCAGTTGACAGCGCACTGGCAAGTACAGTTTCGCACCTTACTGAACCTGGGTCGCGGTCGCTTACAGCAGATTTGAATGCAGCCACCGTGCATGAAATCGCGGTCGCTGGTCGCGCACAGCAGATGGTCGCTCTGGACGGATCAGTTTGTATGTGAAACCGTCGGCGCACGGAAAATCGGTCGCTAACGGTAGATGGTCGCCTACAGCAGAGGTCGCTAACAGCAGATTTGACTGTATACTACACAAGCATTGTTGTATCAGTGTGTAACAATGTACAGCACTTTATAAATGCAACGATGATATCACCTTGCAGTGGGTGATCTAAGAACGAGAACAGCTAGAGCTATGCAGTTGTATTCTTTGAGCATTACAATAAACGTTGATTGGTGTATATTGCTTTCACATTCAAGCGATCTACGCCGGCTGTGATGGCATGCTAATCCTACAGCTCCTATAATTATGTCGTCAATACTTTTTTGAATTGAAGCCCGGTTTGCGATTTTCGCACCGACTCCCTCCCCCCCCCCCCCCCCCCAAACGTATGCTCTTCGTTTCAGGGGCTTCTGCGAACTTTTGCGATGGTCCCTTACTCAACTGTGTTCCATTGGGAATAAGGGCCGAACGCTGCATCGCAGCCTTTTCGGACCAAAACCAGTCGACTCAGCGCCCAAAAGACTACAACATATGGACCAATCATGGTCATCCGTGCTTTTATAAGAACGAAATGGTGCTTTTAGTGACATTTTGCATACAAATCCCCATCTAGTAGGGCGCAGTCACCCAGTTTCGGTGGAAATGCGCGAGGTCGATTGGGAATAAAGGAGGAAGGGGGCGTCTCAGCTTCCTCAGACCAAGACCATTCGACTCAGCACCCCGAAGACTACAACTGGTGAAAATTTGATTTTAGGGTATACTTCCCCTTTAAAAGCATTATCTGTTGTAGGCTGGGCTGGTGCCATTTTAGCCTTCGTAACCGTCACAGGCTCTGGTCAAACTACACCAGAAATTTGGTTGGCATCTGTAGTGTGAGAGTTTGTGTGGCTACCTTAAACTAAGAGCTAGAATCCTGGGGAAATGTCAGGGAAAGTGAGCACCCAACTGTCCTGGATCAATCCTTGGTAATCAGCTACCTGCATATTGAAGCACATACTCCATTTTTGTTGCGTGTATGTGTGTATATTGTAAAAGTGTTGTGTGTATTTTTACTGCTCTGATAATTCTTTCCATCGCTATTTTCAAAGTGACCCAGGCAATGGATTGATTGAAACCGGCGCCAACTTCACAACCTGGCCAGTGTTCAACTCCACGACACGTCCCTACGTTGACATCAGCATCAACCCAAGCCAGGGCACCTTCTTGCACAATGAGAAATGTCAGATGCTGGCGAGGCTGATACCCAAAATTGTCAGGCGTTGTCGCACCGAGTCAACAACAACCCCGGCCACTCATTCTACCCATCTTCACAAAAAGAAAAGGAAATACTTCCGTCGCACACCTCCGTTTGGTCCAAGGCCCATGGGATACAGCTAAATATACACTAGTAGGCATTTTAGCCATTTTATTCTGTTGCTCACCCCTTTATCTATTTTTATTACAAGTAATCTATCAGGCAGGCATAGGGGGATGGTCTAAGACCATGATTGAGAAACAGAGGGTACCAGGTTCAAGTCCTGTTTGGAAGCGGAAGGAATTTTCCAGCCGTGCTGGGACCCACAGTGAATTGGGAACTCGTGGCCTGGCACGAGGGTAACATGAATGCAGCTAATGGGATTTCGGCCTTTGACCACTTGGTGGCGGTTCTGATCTACTCACCTCCCACCGTTTAAGCGCTGCATCTGCGCCTTTGATCCTAGAGGGTGGTGGCGTTCCCACGGCGGATGCGGTAAACTCGGCTTCCAGCCGAGTCTCATGCGAACCGTGAATTTATTTTATTTATTTAATCTAGTTTCACCAACATAGCCAGGATAATTTCGTTGAGACATTGAAATTGAAAGCTCCTTCAAACACCAGGTTTTCTCCTGCAAAGTTTATCACAGAGGTAGGTGCTCATTAACTATCATTTTTATATACATGTATTTCTAAATGCGAGTAGTCACCTTGTACCACGTTGCCTTAAATGCAATTGGTATGATGATGTGCACTTGAAGTAGTTCCAAGGAAGCTGTACTCAGTCTAGAAAACGTTGGACCCGGGGACTATAGCACCATGCATGTAGATCATGCCTACTATCAAGAGTACAATACATACATGACCAGTGGTTATGTACACTCTTGCCACTATCTGTCATAACTTCATAGAGGGACTTTTTCTTTCATGTTAGGAACAGTACCACACTACAAGAAAGTGATTGTGGAAACTTCTGGGACACGAAGTGCCTTTACTAGCACACCAACTCAATATCCTTGCTTTGGATCATGTAACAGACCTCTGCATACTGCTCTCCCTCTCTCCTCCCCTCCCCCTCCAGTTTTGTACCCTGGTATCGCACTTTCTGACTACTTAGTACATACTTATCTTGCTACACAGTAGTACAGTCGTGGATAGTTGCTTCATAACTCGTTTTTCCATGTGATTGCTTCTACATGTATTTTAATGGTATTTGCTGGCTCAGTACCCGAGATAAAAGTACCTGTTGCATAAACCAAGGCTTGCTCTGCTGTTCATATTAATTAATTAAATTTCATTGTACACTTTGGTCACTGACTCATTGTATGCTACTCTATTCCAATCACCTGATTTCTCACAGAGTCACACTGCAAGAGTGGTGTGCTTATTGCTATACGTACACCTAGGATAGTGACGATCACCAAGAGTCCACAACCAGTTAAAATACCGTATAGTTATGTATTTACTGTCATACGATTGTGGCAGGTTATACAATGACAGTAGACTCTAGGTGGTTCACGTAGTAGATCTTCTACCTGCCATTGGTCACAAAGGTGATAGCCATGCATGCGAAAACTGAAAGGCCTCAGCAGACTTGTATTGGCCAATGCTGGCAACCCGAACTGCAGGGCTGCTCAATGAAATCCGCGATTGCATGAATCAAGCTTGCGCCCTATCCCTGCACCAGTTCACCATCCCAGTGTTCACAGGCCTAGGGCTACACAGCGCTGCCCGGTGTGACAAACACTCGTCTGATCGGATTTCACTGAGCAGTAGCGCACAAAGCAGTGTATCCACACGTCCACAGAAGCATTGTTGTGGTTAAGGTTAGTTCATTTGATGCACAGAAATTGATGACCTACCGATACATGAGGCTAACGCTATCAACATATCCAACAGTAATAGCGATACCAGATCATCCCATAATATAAATCTACTTCAATTATATGTTCCGTGATAAGTATAGAAAGACAATGCCAATAGTTCAGGCTCATTCTCAGTTTAAAACTACTTCAAAGCACAGAAAGTTATAAAATATAGAGTGGTGAATATAGATTATATGAAGTACACCTGTAAGTGTCTGTATGTTTCGTTCGCGGGTTACTATGATAGGATGGCGAGGAACGGTAGCAAGAAATTGTTCTCTGCAGTTTCAGGCGAGAGAGTTCTAGTTTGAAGTAGAATTTGAAGAATTGGAGATCTACAAAGAAGCCTTTCGGAGAGGGAGAGGGTGACGTGTCACCTGACAGAGTTTAGAGTGGCCATCATGGAAATGGAATTAGTCACAACACGCTGCTGTAAGAGACAGGCCAGGCATTAGGATGGATGCTTGCTATCTTCCTGGTGGTGAAAAGAGAGGCTTCCCTTACCTCTTACCTGCGTCCTTGTCCAAAGGCATAGGAACTGGCTCCAAATTGCCTGGCTGGACAAATGATGGGTTGAAATTGCCGACAGCTGCCAACCTACTTGCCAGATTGGCAGCACTGTCAGTGGAAGAATCGTCGTCTGAGTCAGAATTGCTGCTGGAGTCGTCTTCTGAGGCAGAGTCAACGCTGGCAGCCGAAACACTGTCGAGAGAAGAGTCACTGTCACTTCGGACTTTCAAGGATTTGCCATCAACCAGCACCATCCCCGCGAAGAGGCCAACGAAGGCCACCAATACCACGAACTTCATCTTTCTTGCTTCTCTGCACACGACCACGAGTAAGAATTCCTTTGATAGGCGCACTTGGGATTTGATCTTGCTAAATGTGTTCTTCGAATCCTTTTTATATCAGTGAAGCTCTGTCGGTGCGTGCTGAGGCTCGCTGCCGAGGAAGAGCTTCGAGCGGTGAATGCTGATAGCACGCTGCTGAGGAGGAGCTCTGCCCTTCGAAGATTATCTCCAGTATCACAATGTCATGTCTTTGTCATGGTGCTCCCTGCCCAATCTCTGCTTACTTGCGGCCGCTGCTTTAGTTATCCCTTCGTGTTCAGCCTTGGGAAGGTGTCGTGTGACATGGTCACTATATCAGGCCAATATCTAGAGCTGATGACATGGACGAACATTCCTTCGGGCCATTAATTATTAAGCAGGTTTGGCCTATCGACGCCGCCTGACGGATCCATAGACAGGCGCTATGGCTATCGTGCAGGATTTTGCCTCCGTGCGTTCTGTTATCTGACACGGTCGGTAAGGCTTTCGCCAACGTTTCCTAGCAGCCTAGCCCGCCAGCATAGGCGAAATGGACACCAGTCCGACGGTTGGCCACGGCACGTCACCAGTTCACACTGAGATACCGAGAGCTGTGTGAACACGGCATCATCACGCATCGTATGTGTGTGACGTTCTCATGTCTGCTGCAATCATAGGAGTAGAAACATTGAGCGTGGATAGTTGGGACCAGTCGAAGTTCCGGCATAAACCTTGCTAGGGTTCCGATTGCTTGCGACAATCTCTGGAAGGCGAAGTTACACTGGTTTGGCACACCGATTCGTCATCTATATATACTGCATGTACATGTACATGACGTTCTGATGCAAAGTATTATTATTATTATTATTAGACACAATCTCATAGCATGTGACAAGCATAGCTAATGCAGGGACAGAATCCCCGGAGACAAGGGCGTTGAGCCAGCCACGGCAATAGTAAGCTAGGAAAACAAAGCAAATATGAATTAGAGCAGAAAATGAATGGAAAATTACAAAGAAAAACGATTAACGGAAGTGAGCACTATCAAAATTCGTGCATCACCCAGGTATTCGAGAATGTTCTTCGATGATAATTATTGCGTCTAGTTCAGTTGTGATAGTAGATCTTTAAACTGACCAATAGAAGAACAAGTTTTCAGACCGTATGGTAATGATAACCAATGAGAGTAGCCGGAAAACAAAGGGGACTTTAGATACTGGGCTGACTTAACAAGAGGCAGGATGAGCGCGTTACGGGTTGAGCTTGTCGAAAACCAATTGTACTTCATCATGTGTGAAGGGGTTTTATGAAGAAATATTTTATGAACCAGTGTACAGAGATGGTGCTTATGACGAACGGAGAGAGGAGAAGTGTGTGCAAGTCGATAAAGGGCATCCGAAGGAAAACATCGATCCTTGTTGTAAAGAATTTTAAGTATAAATCTATGGTGGACTTCTAATTGGTTCAGAGTTGTGTCAGAAAGGCCACACCAAGCGGTATCGCAATAGTCGAATATAGGGAGAATATAGCACTGATAAAATAATAGTTTACACTGGATGGGCAAATGAGTGCAATGTGGTTGTAGTACCCCTAATGCTGAACTGGTTCGCTTGCATACACAGTTGACATGTGCAGCCCAAGAGAGTTTGCAGTCAAACATCACACCGAGATGTTTGTGCTGAGTAACAACACGGATAGGCATAGTCGAGTCAGGGAAGTATAATGGTTGATCAGGAGGGGATGAAGAAATATACATGGCTTCTGTCTTGTCTAAATTGGGCTGGAGTTTCCACGTTTGCATCCACATGACAGTGCTGTTGATGCGATGCTGCATGGTAAGGAGTAATTGTGCAGGGGAGGAATCAGAACAGATAAGGCCAGTGTCATCCGCATACAAACTAACATCGGGGACAACTGAAGGTAGGTCATTAACGTAAAGCAAGAATAACAAAGGACCCAGAATGGAACCTTGGGGCACTCCAGACGTTACAGGGAGGGGATCAGACAAGAAATAAGACAAGCGAACAGCCTGAGAACGAGCAGACAGATACGAGGATATCCAACGCAAGGCAGCATCCTCCACCCGGAAGGTGACCTCCAACTTGGCAAGTAAGCCACGATGCCAAACGGTGTCGAATGCCTTAGCCAAGTCGAAAAACACCATTCCCACATGCTCCCCACAGTTCCTCTTTGTCGCTATGTCTTGGACAAGTCGAGTCACCTGGTATTGAGTTGAGTCACCACGGCAGAATCCCGACTGAGCTGGTGAGAGAGCCGGAGCGATGTGCAGGTAGAGGGAATCGAACACAATACGCTCACAAAGTTTGGAAACTGTGCGCAGCAGAGAGATGGGGCGGTAGTTTGCCGGGCAAGCACGGGAGCCTTTATTCTTGTAAAGCGGTGTCACGATGGCGGATTTCCAATCCTGTGGGAATGTACCAGTTCGAAATGACATATTAAAAATAATGGCGAGAGGATAGGCTATTGATGGTGCAAGAGACTGCAGCACTTCATTCGGGATCCCATCTGAGCCGGGAGACTTTCCACATTTCAGGCGCTTCAGATATTTCCGAACTTGAAACGTAGTGACAGTGATTGTACGGAACGGAACAGATATGAAAGGCGACTGGGACAAAGGGGGAATGCGCCACGAAGGATCATCAGGTAGCCCAAATGAGGTGAACTGAGTGTTCAGAACATCACCTATGCTCTTGGGGGACGTGGCGACCGTACCGTCGGATGCTATCATCGTTTGGGGTATGACACGGCCGGTATGACAAGTACGTGCACAAGAACGACGTAATGGGCAAACGATTAGCAAGTGGTTTATCAATCAGTCTGATGGGGATGAGAAAATAAGAATAAGGCCAAACTAAAGAAGGTGTGTGGTTCGACTAACATGGACATTTTTTTTACGGGCGGGCGGGCGGATTTTTTTTTTTTAATATATTTTTTAGTACATGTAAATACACTGTATACGCGTATCGAGTAGACTCTACTACCAGCACAAGGCAGCAGTCGTACCACTCACTGCACTGCACTGCAGTACAACTAAGTACAAGTCAAGTCCAAAAGGAGCCGCCTGCGTCCGCAGACTCACGCCGCACAGCACGTAGACGTGGACGTGTTCAGTCCACGTACGTCAGTCACACGACAGCCCGCCGAAAAAAAGTTACGGTCGGGCTGAAATTGTACGGTCGGTCGGGTGAGTCGAACCACACACCTTCTTTAGTTTGGCCTAATGTATTCTGCTGGCTTTGTGACGGTGAGACACGTACCTATAGGCTATACCTGCGTGCAGCATTGCTCACGATTTCCTGTCAACGCCTGTATCCATGATCCAGGGCTATCGTAAGCGTTTTACTTCTACTTCTAGAGTGGGCCAGACGACAGTAACCATGA